GTTATTCGGGGTTCAGGTATTCCCGAAACACCACTTAGTTGCTGAGTTCATAAGCCCCCCAAAGTGTACACCTTCAGTGCCATAGTGGGTAATATTCTCCCAAACTGTGCAAAGTGTATCCAGTCAGCTACTAAGACCACATACACCCCAAAAAAAACAATCTATGCTTCTTGGTGTCCAGGGCAGGTTGCACTTAGAGAAGCGGCTTATCAGTAGAGGCATCAGTCCTCAGCAAGTGGATGTACGTTGCTTGTGAAAAGCTCTACTCTAGGGATCTTACGACTCATATATCAAGGCTCTTGGGCCCAAAAACCATACTATATAAAGCTTTTGGGCTGTTTTGATGTCGAGGGTTACTCTGCAATGGGTCTGGGACTTGGGGATTGTAGAGCCTTCCCTCGGAGCACAATTATCTTTTGAGGTGTTATCATTTGGGTCTTAGCGTTTAGTTTAGGGTTCGAGAAAGAAGTCTGTAACACCCCATGCTGAGACCAACTGAATAGGTAACTGGGCCGCTAGGGCTAGATCAGCCGCGCTTCGGCATGAGGAAGGCCATCATCGAGCCGCCGACGTTGCATGCCACACACATGCACCTCAGGATGCGCCAGGTTCTGCGAGAATAATACGGTTGATGATATAAACCCTGCATTACTTTAATGACCCTAGACTATCAGAATTACGGTATATTCCTTATTATGGATTTAGATCATCAGCCGTAAGACACCCGGATGGGGTGTTCTCGGGTTTAGAGCTTCGGGGTTGAAATAGTTGAGGTCCTCAGGATTTGGGAGAGTTGGATGTGGGGAACCCGAAACCCTAAACCCTCACCCTGAGTGTCCGAGTAGTCCTTATGTATGGTTTTTGGTACGTCAAGAGGCCCAACACTCCTATCATGTGGAGTACTTGGATTTTTTGAGGTCTTGGTTCAGAATCTGAACACTATGCTGATTCTAAAGGAAGAAATAGCAATAGCATTCCTTACTATAAGTCTACTATAACGTACCCCAAGGCCCTATTCTAATGGAGGAGCTCCTTTATGGAAGGGTGCTCCGCAAACTTCCAGCGAAGGTAGGCCACCCTGTCCGAGTCGGCCATGTCCATCGCGAGAAGAGTCACCATGCGAGGGAGCCACCCAGACTGCTTCGGCACCGGGTTGCAGCCCTCCACCGGTCCTGCTCGCATCGTCCCACCACTCGAAACTCGCACCGGCCCAGGGCAGCTTGGCATCGAGCGGCTTCTCGCCTTCGACCGCGCCCTTTACCATGATACATCGTCCCAGGCACCCCAGTAGACCGTGCTAGGTTTAGTGTCTAGGGTGTAGGGAACTATGCACCCAGATGCAATGGCGATGTCGTATACGTTGGGGGTTGCTGGTCTACTATGCGTTTCTTTGTTTATGAGCTGTTCGCCCAAAGACAGCAACTACCTACAAGGGGTGGCTTTATATCATATGAAAGCCAGGGCGCAGTGTGGCTGCGACGAGGCAGCAGACCTTCACCAGCACAGGCACATTCAGAAACCAGGCGCTCTGCGTGGACGCCAACCTCAAACCAATAGACACCCAAACACTTCACTTCATGACCCCAAGCCAACTCAAGAAGCACAAGAGATATGGCCTTCTGGGGGCGGGGTGGAAATTCCTTAGTGATCGTACGTACTAAATATGAGATGGCCATATAATAACTAGAACAAGGATTAAGCCCAAACCCAAATCCTAAACCCCTGAACCCTAAACCTTGAACCCTAAACACTGTGTCTTTCTTACGTATATTTCGAAAGGTCCTCGGAGCCCTGTCCCAAGAAGTCCATCACCACTTGCCTGGCAGACATCGCGGTTGGAGTTCCATCGATGCGCCGGCCTGGCACAGCACCAGGCAGACAGGGTTTGGAGTTTAGGGTCTAGGGTTTGGGATTTAGGAACCCTATAACCCTAAATCCATAACGACGCTTGAGGCCTCAGACGTTTAGGGCTGTCACAGCAACAAGAAGAGACGGTGTAGAGTTGAATGCTTAGGTTTTTTTTTTTTTTTTTTTTTTTTGTGCTTAGGGTTTCGAGCTCAGGGTTTAGAGGCTTCAGGGTCCGGATTAGGGTTTCAGATACGGGTCCGAGAGTCTCAAAGGGCTTAGGGCTTCCTGGACCCTACGGAACCTACCTTTTTAGGGTCCCCCCTAATATGATTTCTTTAAAGGAAAGTCACGTGGGGTTAAGCTTAGGGTTAAGGGTCCCAACCTTTGTCAAACCTCGGAGAGTTGGATATGGAATTTGGCTAATACTAGTTGTACATTCTGCTTAGGCAACTGTTGGCACACATTCCCTCACTCCCTCCTCGCACAGCGGCTTGGGTCTGAGAGGGTAAATGGTCAGACTGGGAAATGCACCGCGAGCATCGTAAGACTAACACTATGTCCCAGGTGTCCTACGTGGCGAGGCTTATCGGTTCAAGCTCTAACTCGATCTTCCCCGCCAAATCCTGAAACCCTGTCATAAGCTATGGGGCCGCGTGGAGGGACCCCGGACATTGGACAACACTCAATGAAAATAAGCTGGGAGTCGCAACTCCATGTCGGCTGCTAAGAAAATATTATGAAGGATTAAGGTTTAGAGTCTAGGGCTTACGATAGCATTACAAGGGTCGTATTTAGAAAATCCCGTCTTTGAGCAAGTCATGAGTAGTTCGGGAATACCCGGTGTTAAACACAAACAATACAGGCCTTTTACCGTCCTCTACCATGTGATATAATACTGCATACAGGTACGTCTGCCTATCCATGACATGGAAGCTCATGTCGACCTTTCTGTCTACCTGCCGACTTACATATCAATCCTGCTACTTACCTACCTATCTGTCAATCATCTGTCAGTCTACCTACCTATCTACCTAGCTGGATAACTATCTAGCTAACTTAACTGTCGACCAATCCATAGCTGTATCTTTCTATCCACTTACCGTCCCCTATTTTGGGAAACTTAAAGGCTAACTTGTGGGGGGATATAGGGATTGTACAGGGTGTATTGTACCCCAACAGGTTGAAGGTTACCTCCTCTACTTCCAGGGTTTGGGGTTTAGGGTAGATTATTAAGGGTGTATAGTACCCCAAAACCAACTTGTCGGGTACCAAGGGAACTAAAGGTTAACCCTTTTTGGTGAAGTAAGGAAAAATAGGGGCAAACCTACCCAAAAAAGGTTAAAGGTTACCTACTCGACTAGTTCATGGTTGGGATAGGATTAAAAATTTACATGTTTATTCCTCATTGGGTTTAACTACCCATAAAAATGTAAAATGTTACCCAACTATGACAAAGTACTAGGTACAGGGTGAAGGCTGGTCTTTCTATTCAGCAATCCATCGAAAGATCCAGCGGGCCTCGATTCACAAGGGGCGGCCATGGGATGCCATGGGCCAAGGGCGCTTTGGGCTTAATAAGGCTTTAGAGTTCTGGGTTTCGGGTTTTGCATGTATAGTTCTGGGTTTAGGGTCTAATTAGCGTTGGTGTTTTTTCAGCTTTGCGTTTGGGGTGTAGGGTGTTGGGTTCATCGGGCTAGGAGTTTAGGTTTGGGGTTTAGAGAGCCTGTGGCCTCGTGGTGCTATAGAGGTCCACAATTCCTCTATGGAATGTTTACAGCAGGTTGGAATTTGAGAACTTATAGTTAGTGTAACTATAGTCATGGACTACAAGGGGGTCCTGTATTTACAGTTTAGAGCAGCTAGCGGAAGAAGTAAGGACAACCATTTGTCGGCGTTGATGCGTGCGGGAAACAGCTTTCGTGGTGAAGTGCTATAGTGCTTATACAATTGGAAAGCTTTGAAGTTGTGGAGTTACTGGTGTGTATATAATTATATAATTGTAGTGCTTCTGGAATTGTAGAGCTTTGAGTGTTGTAGGTTTGTGGTGTGTAATTAAGGCTTGGTGGGTGCCGGGTTGAGGGGGTTACGGATTCCATAGAAGCCTTGCTGCATGACTATACTGTGGCTGACTGTGGCTAAGTGGCTCTATATATATATATATAAAGCTGGGGCCCAAAGACAGCAAATGAGCACCTGCAACTGGGCACTTACGGCTGAAGCAACTACTGCTCAGCATCAGGAAAGCTAACAACCAATGCTTTAGTGGCTCTTGCACTACTTGTCTAAAAAAGCAGTGCCGAAGTGCAGGCTGGGAGGAGTTTTGCATTCAGGGTTTCGGTACTTGATACAGATAGAGTTTAAAGTGCCTCAGTCTAGGTGATGAATAGCTGGAGTTACCTTGCTTAACCTTAAACCCTAAACCCTAAATCCTGAACCCTAAGCCTCAGATCCTGAAAAACCTGAACCCATTCATGAACCTTCACGTAAGCGCTTCGGGCGTTAGACCGACGTGTTGCATGAAGGAAATGTGCCTCGGAGCGAAATAGTCAGAGCGCCGTTCGTGTTTAGGGTCTAGAGGTCAGGGTATCCGGACGTTTTATTATAAGTGCAAATATCTACAAAGGTTACAGAGGTCTCTGTGTATGCATGTATGTATACATATATATACATATACATGTATGTGCTGATAGAGGAGGTGACCCTGAACCCCAAACAAAACGGATCATGACTTGTGGTTTGGCCAACCCACAGGACTTCTACAATGAACAGAGCAGGCAATCCTTGGAACCTAATCCAAGTATGTAAGCCGAAGACCGTTACTAGTCCCTGAAACCCAAGTTTGAAACACAAAATCCGACCGAAACCTCGTAAAGCCCTTGTGAAGCCCTTCCACTCTCTCAAATCGTAAACTCTTGGGTTAAAGGCATCCCTCCAACAAGGCCCGGAATCTCTTCAAACAGCCCTGAACGCCGGAAACTTTCAAAGCCGCGATACCTGCCCGAGTCTATATATCTATGTATCCATTGATCTATCTATATACCTGCATATCTCTACATATCTATATCTATAAACATATCACTGTATCTGTACATATTATATGTGTATATACACATATAGAGGCTATGAAGCCCCAATCTTAGAAACCCAGGGGCCTCTGCCCGGCCGTTCCGCGAGATGCCAGTGTGCAGCAAAAGAGGGTCGGGCAGCGACCTTCTCGACAACCACCCAGAAAGCCCAATACTCGTTAATTGGGGAATTTACCTCAAATAATTGGGGCCAGAATACATATATATATATACACATATACATATACATATATATATATATAGAGAGAGAGAGAGAGAGAGAGAGACAGAGCGAGAGAAAGAGTAATTTACTTAAAGAGTATTGGGCTCTCTGGGCAACTACCGAAGGATCCTTTACCGGCCTTCTACGGTTCCTGTAAGGGTTTTGGGTTTGGGGGTTTTGGATTGCTAGTTAAGGGCTGAGGAAACAGATTGAGTTGGGCACTACTCGGAAACCTATAGTCTTAAAGTTCGGTTGGCTGGTACTGTATGGGTTTGTGCCGTCGGCCCAGCCTTGGTCTAGGAGAGTTCAGGGTTTACTTGGAGGGTCGGGGGACTTAGTAAGTAGCTATTCTGTAGACTTATAAGTGTCATAACCCCAATTGGGGACCCTTCTTAGAGAACTTATAAGTCTACTTATTACCTACTTACTAAGTCCCCCGACCCTCCAAGTAGGGTTTTAAGGAACCCTAAACCTAAACCCTTGAATCCTACACCCCTGAACCCCAAACACTAACCCTTAAACCCCTTAAAACCGCTAAACCCTTATAGATCCCTCTAAAGGAAACCTTGAAGGATCCCTTCAAAGGAAACCCTAAACCTCTAAAACACTGAAAAAACTCATAAACCCCCAAAGTTTAGGATAGTACCCTTATAGATCCCTTTAAAGGAACCCTTAAGGGATCCCTTTAAAGGAACCCTTAAGGGATCCCTTTAAAGGAACCCTTAAAGGATCCCTAGAGCCCCAGAACTCCCGGGCTCCAGACGCCAGTCGCCGGGAGGAGCGGCACTACTGAGGACACGTTGCTGCTGACCTTTGGGGCGGCCTTAAGCGGTTTGGGACACGGGCGATCTATCTATCTATCTATCTATATATGTATACATTTTTATTTATAGAGAGAGATAGAGGGATAGAGAGGTAAAGAGAGGTTTTTGGGCACGGGATTTAGGTTTGTAGGGGTTTGTGAAGGGGACTTAGCGTCTTTGGGTTTAGGGTATGTTTTGGGCTTAGGGCTCTGGGGCGGACTGTAGGGTATAGTTGCGCAACCGCGCGGCTGCCAGACGCGCATGGCCAGGGCGTAGGGGTTATAGGGCTTCAAGGGCTTGAGGTGCGAGGCCTAGCAAAAGGCTTCGCTACACTTTTCTATGTAATTAGGTTCTTTAATTTAAGCCTTCATCCCAAAACGGCCAACGACTTCCTCGACTGCCCACAACACCTCAGAAACTCAACACTCTGAAACCGAAGCCCCGCACGCTGAACCCTACCCCAAAGCTGCTCTGCAAACTAAACCCTACCCTATAGTTATTTTTATAGTAACCTTAACAGGAAGCTAGGATCCCCTGAAAGAGCCCTTAAGGCTAACTAAGCCCTACCCTACAATGAGCCCTTAAACTCGCTGCCCTGTACCCAACAAGTGTATGGTAAAACCCTCGTCACCACTACACACTGAGATCCTGAATGCCCCTTGAAAACTAAACCCACACTCCCACTTCCTTCATGCTCTGCTTTAAAGACCCCAGAAAGAAAATACAAGATCATCATAAGACCTTACATGAATTATGGAGGCACCTGCTGTTTATCCTTGAAAGAGCAGCAACCTGCTGCAACCCCAAACTGCAACATTCAATCCGATAGAACCCTTCAAAGCTAAATGGAAACCTTCAAGGAACCCTAAGCTCCGACAGTAATAACTAGTAGCTAACATTGGCACTTGTAATTTTCGGTTATACTGGTTCGTAATAACACTGCTACTACGACTAACTGGAATAGTAACCGCGGCAAGACGAGCTCCCCCAAAAACTTTATCCCTGGATCCCGACCCTAAACCCGAAATCCGAAACCCTAAATCCAAATCTTGAACCCGAAACCCCAGACCCTAAACCCTAAACCGTATCCTTAGAACCCCTGAAAGGGAGGCCCGGCCGCCGTGACGAAGATGCCGTGGCCGCTGCTGAGAGTGACCAAGGCAAGGCCTATCTTGTTGCGTTTAAGCTTCAAGGGTAAAGGGTTTAGGGTTTATGGTTTAGGCCTTAGATTTTAGGGTTCAGGGTTTAGGGATTGGGATTTAAGGGTAAAGGGTTTAGGGTTTATAAGGGCTTAAGGGCTTTGGGATTTAAGGGTTTGAGGTTCAAGGCTTTAGGTTTTAGGGTTTGGGTCTTCAGGGCTTCAGGGATTTGGGGTTCGCGGCCTAATCAATTGACTCAGGCTTTGGGGTTCCATGGTTTGGGGGTTCGGGGTTTAGTTTAGGGCTTAAAGGTTGCAGGGGTTTCGGGACCAGGGTTTCGGTGTGCAGAACTGGTTATGTTCCTTTGCTGGATTTGTTGCCCTATGTTTCTGTGCTTGTCGGGGTTTCTTGCTGGTTGAGTTGTTTGTTGGGTTGTGCTGTGTATTGTATAACACTTGTCGAACTTGGGGCGTCTAGGTGTGCTTTATAGTGATTTGGGTTTTTATTCTTAGAAGCAATCAGTTTAGGGGATATGCGTGAGGGCTCAGTGCTCAGGAATCTTCGGGGTACAATGGGTGCAGGGTTGAAATCAAGATTCAAGGGCTCCCACAACCCTTAACCCCTAAACCTTAACCGTACCCTAAGCCCTAAACCGGACACAATCTTGCATCTGCGCGTTCGACGTGTTGTTTAGCTAACCACAGCTGGTGAAGTCGGTTCAGGGATGTTACGATCTTGGCCCGTTTCGTAGTGCGCTCTCTGGTGATGCTGTTTCCATGAGATTCCGAATAGCCCAAGGGAGGCATTATTTAAAGACTCCAGACCCTATGACTGCGACTCTGCTGGCAATAAAACAGCTCTCAGTACGGTCACCACTATGACCATCATCTTGAGCACTGCAACCCCTAAACTCTCAACTCCAGAGCCAGAAACGTTTCAGCATACAGCCTTGCAGGAAAGATCGAGGATCTTCTGCCGGGGACTTCTTGTCGTCCTTCGATGGGCTGAGGATGGATGCCTTTCACACAAAAGCCCGATTCGTAAATCCTTCTCTCGTACTACGGAGCCCAAGGGGCCGAAGGGTAAAAGTACACAAAGAACTAATAGTTTAGGGTTTAGGGTTTAGGGTTGAGGTTTAGGGTTTAGGGGTTAGGGTTTAGGTTTAGGGTTTAAGGTTTAGGGCTTAGGGTTGAGGTTTAGGGTTTAGGGTTGAAGTTTAGGGTTTAGGTTTACGGTTTAGGGGTTTAGGGGGTTTGGGCACTTGGACTCTTAGGTAAGTACTACTCTTATGGCCCCTGGGGCAAACCGTGCTCAAGGTGGCGACTTCAGGAATTCTGGGCTGAGAGGGCAAAGGACGGGGCTCAAGATGATCTTAGACCGCGGTCTAAAGTCTATAGAACTCACCCAACATGGGTCCTAGGTGTTGTTATGGGGAATACTTCCCCAAATCATAATAGTAATTCCTAAGATAGAAACCCCTGCACTTGACTATCTAGTTACTTTGGACTATTTGGGTCACCAAAATGCCCACTGCACCTCTTTCAGTTATGACATATGATCCATCCTAAGCCTCAAGCCCTAACCCTAATAAGTCCCAAACCCTTGTGAACACTGCAAAGGAGTTTCCAGTCGAAACAAACTAGGATCCCTGATGGTGTATCCTCGTCGAGTATCTTCAAGCAAACAAGTGTGTCAATCAAGCTCCGAAACCGCACCTTAAACCCTAAACCCTCCTGTGAACCGCCCAAACTTCAAAGGTATTCTGTGTACATCATGGAATGATTCAAGAGGACCCACATGGCAGCACGTTCTTATGCTTGAACTCTTGAACCTGATATGTTGGGATGGGCAAGCTTCCCCAGGGTCCAGGTACCTAATTATCATATACCCCCTCAAATAATCTACATAACTAGTATCCTAAGCCCGAGTACCTAATTCGTGGGCCCTGTGGACCCGTACGATACAGTCCAAATCCACACGGATGCTTTGCAGATCCCGAAGTCTTACAATCAAAAGCTCTCCTCAAAACCCTAAACCCTAAACCCTGACAGACCACAACCCCCAACCTCCGAAACCCTAAACCCCCGAACCCTAAACACTAAAAAAACCCTCAACCGATCCTTCTTTGCCTTGCCTTTCTTGCCGCCTTCACACAAGAGCGGACGCAAGGCACGGCTTCGGAGGTCTAGAGTTTCGGGTTTAGGGTTAGGGTTTTCCTGGGGATCCAAAAAACCTACAGTTTCTAGAGATCTAAGGACTCATACATTAAGGCTTTTGGGCCCAAAGACCATACTATATAAGGCTTTTGGGCAATTTTGATCCCTAGAGTGTTTTAAAGGTTATACCCCCTAATTAGGGGTTCATAGCCTACTATGTTGTAGGGTTTGGGGATACGGGTAACCCTGAACCCCAAACCCTAAACCTTAAACCCTAAACCGCAAACCGTAGGGGATACAGGTCGTGTTTAAGGTTTAGGGTGCAACGGCTTGCAAAATGAAGCTGCCTGCTACTCATTTACCTGAAAAACAGGCCTCCCTATTGACTCGGACTTTAGGGTTCGGGGTTTAGGGTGGGGACTTGTTTGTCCAATTTTAAGGTCTTGGCATTTCGACCAGGGCTTTAGGGTGTGAAGAGATCGTCGTCGAACGACAAGGCAAGTATATCCACGGTTGGAAGCGCTGATACAGGGCCTTGCAAGACACTTCGAGAAGTAGGTAGGTTTCTAAAATTGGGGTTTGGGTTGCCTGGCAAAAAACATGGGGCCGTCCAGGCAAGGAACGAATGAAGTACGCAGAAAGTAGCGGCATGAGCTGCCCTGCGATTGATGTTGTCGTCGCACAGTGCACGGCAGGAGATATATATTTGCACGCCGTGCTGGTTCTCAAGACGTCTTCTGGAAAGCCTGGGAGCAAAGTGCCCATCGATGCGGATGGCCCATCCTGCACGTCAACAAGTTCCAGCCGCACGCAGTCCACAGCTCGTACCACAAAACCTTTCTTTTCTCGATGAATGAGGCTGTTCTCAAGCAGCCGAAAATCTCCCGTGTCATGAATAGAGCAAGTCAAATGACGTCCGCGTACTATTGAATGCGGCTCTTTCGTCTTCACGATGACCTTGCTGACAAGACTGCGGATATCCGCCACACGGAAAGGCCGTCGCAGGGCCAGCCAAAAAGGCAGCCAAGCTCCTACCTGGATGAAGAGAACTGATGCCAACGAAACTTGATAAAAGACAGTCACTGTCTGCTCAGCACCATCGCATACCATGGTGCTCGTGGGTTGTGGGATCCTATGTCGTAAAGAGTGCCTGTCAGCTGACCACCGCAAGTGCAATTGCCAGGACAATGACAAACCTTTACCTTAACCCTGAATAACCTACTTTTCAAGGTTCCTTATGATGATTTCCTTCTATAAGTCCTGAAAAAGGTAGGCTATTCGGTATTAGGGTATACTTTATTAAGTACAACTCTTTCAGATGACAGCTCAGATGTCAATTCTTCCATTTGCGAAATCACGACACTTAAACCGAATCCCCACACAAGGAGAGTTCTTTCTCCGCGAAAACCCCAAAAAGATCGCCCGAACCTGCGATTTTTGGGCAAGGCCTCTTGGGTAACAAGCTGCTAGCAATCGAGGCACGAAGACCGATCAACATCTTCTGCACAACAGCAATCAGACATGGGAAGAGAAGGGAGAGCTTCACAGGCAGCACTTACCTCTAAGCTAGCTGGCGCAATGAAGGCCTTCTTTGGCATCTTTGACATCCGTGGTCTCCTTGCTGTCCTTCCTGTAGCACGCAAGGTGTTGTAAGAGCCCGAAAGGAGGGTTTACCCGAAAGGAGGGTTTACGGTTCCGGGACTAGAATTCCGAAAGCACCAGATCTAAGCTTAGCTACCGGGTTCGCAAGCTTCGCATGGGTGGTAGTTTCATCGCCATCGACTCCTTCGGCCAACACCTGCCTGCCTCTCCACCAATACTCCTAAGGCCAACAAACCAGACCGAGACAGTACCAACTCCCATCCATAGTTCACAGGGCAAGTGTCGGTGTCGTTCTACTGCCAAATCTACTGCACAATGACCTGCAGTCTGGAGTCTTGGCAACAGTGGTATGTCACAGACTGGCGGATTATGCATCTTCCCAGAGATGATTACCAACATACAAAAGGATCCCTCAGGCCAATCTGCAGCACTCACTCAGCCGAGCTAGTCACTGGAGTCTCCCCGTCGTCTTGCGCCTCCCTGCTCTCGGTCGCGCTCTTGGTCGGCACGTTCCTGCTCTCTAGCTGCCGCGGACGCCGCCCACCGCGGCGAATGCAACTGACCTGACCGCCAAGTCAGGGAAGGAGGCCATTTTGGTGGAAGCATAAGCGACCAGGGCGATGGCTCCAAAATTAGTGGCCGAATGCACGGATCCGCCAAGCACACCGTATGCCGTGCTTGCAACGCGTGTAAGCGCGGCCGCGTTGTCAGCACAGCGGTGAGCCGTTTTGTAGTTTTCGGCTGTGGCTGCTTCCACGAAGGCGTGGGCCTCCGGTTGTGCATTGCTGAGAGCCCTCGTCAGCTCACGGAGGTTGTCCGGGATGGTGTCGATCACGCCGGCCTACTGCTCTTGCATCCGCTGATGCAAGTAGGGGTAGCCCTGCAAGCTACAAACTTGGAACATACCTATAACAAAAAAATGTAGGATCTTTTTTTGATGAAACATTTTGAGTGAGGATCCATGTACCCAAATAGTATATACTTAGGGCCAAAAGTACCAATACAGGGACTACTCTTCGGCCAAATTATGTACTATTTGGGTACATGGACCCTCAAGGATTCTAGTGAGTTTAAATATCTAAGAAGAGCAGCACTAATGTTTACCTGCAGTCTCCATTGTAGTTCCTTTTTGGGGTTACCTTGAAGGATCCTTAATATAGAACTGGTTAAACCAACAAAAGGAACTGCAATGGAGGCTATAGGTAGGAACTCTTCCCTGGGCAGGTCATTCAATAAATCTGCTGCAAAGGCACACCGACACCTGCCTAGCACTCCGCTACTTGCTACCATGCTACTATGCTTTGTTGGGGTTTAGGGTTGATGGTTTGAGGTTTTTCGAAACATGGGCTTCAAAGCTTGCTTTGTGGAATCATTCCTTTCGTACCGGAACCTTCAGAAGAAAAAAAGAAAAACAATGCGACGTGCCTTCATGACACAGAGTAGCTCGGTAGCAAGTCGTTCTGGCAAACCTTACAGCCAGTCCCTACCCTACCATAGCCCCACTAAACACTCATAACTCCCCAAGCCTCACCCCTCAACCGCAAACCTTAGGCATTCAGTCCTCAGTAACACCGCAACCCCTTGAAGCCGAAACTCGAAAACCTAAAGCCGCTGGCACCCGAAGAGGGTGGAGTACATGGCCCGTGCAACTCGCTACTTCAAAACTTGCTATAGGCGTTTATTGGGTTTCAGAGGTTTCTCGTGGTGATACTTAACGGTTCCGTTAGGGTTCGTGTGAATCAAAATCGCTCTTGAAGAAAATCCCCCTGAACCCTAAACTTCTAAACCCGGAAATAATCACGAAACTCAAACTGTTGATTTGCCAGGAATCTCTGCATCAGCTCCCTGGTGGTCGTCGACCTCCAAGATTTCGGGCTGAGGGTTTTGCTGCTAAAGGTACGGGTTTAAAGTGTAGGGTAGGCATCACTATAGTGAACTTAGAACCCTAATTAACAAAAAATATAATTTTAGCTGTTTCTTAGGGATTATAATAACCAAAAATGAAAAAAATATTTCTAAGTACCCCTAAAATCAGATTATCGGGCACCCCAAACACTGCACCCCTGTCCGCAGTCTGACACCCAGATCCGAGAACCGGAACGTTGCCGAACCAAAGCCGAACCCGAGGTAAACTGAGCTCACCCTTAGTTGCAGAGTTCATAAACCCCCCCCCAAAAGTGCACGCTTTCAGTTGTATAGTGGGCAACATTGTCCCAAAAAGTGTATAGTGTATCCACTCAGCCACTAAGGACCTGCAGCCGAAATAAAGCCAAGCCAAAGCCCTCAATGTTCCGCCGTCCAAGGCCTATAGAGCCTATAGGATCGGAAGGCTTAGGGCTCGTAGTGAACCGTGGCAAGTTGGATCATGTACTTTGCTTGACCTTGAGGGCACGAGGATTCTAATGATGCCTTCAGGGTTTAGGAGTCACAGCAGGCCTTAATTTGGGACCCTAATTAAACCCTAAACCCTACGGCCCTAACGGGTGCTTTATAGGAACCTTTAGGGTGACCTGTAACCCCTTGAAACCCTACAAAAAAGTAGGTTACGACTACGCTCCAACCAATGCGTTGGGGATGAGCTGCCAGGCAAACCCAAAGCCCGAAAGCCTAAACAGTAAGCCCCAAACCCAGCTTGAAACCGTGAAGCGCCCCAAACCCTGATTCCTTCTAGAATCCTTGACGGAGCCCTTAAAGGACCCTCAAACAAGGTCGTAAAGGAACCCTTACAGGAACTCTTACAGGAACCCAAAGAGCACTCTGGCGCTCTTGCCTTCACCTGCGTCTCCAGCTGCATCCAACATGCAAAGGCAACCGGTCCCGGATGGTTCCTGCGACTTGCCATTCGCGAAGAGTCCAGCTAACTAAATCGTAGGTTAGGGTTTGGGGTTTAAGGTTGAGGACCTGGTAAGGCTTATGTAGAGTCCATACAGGGCTCAAGGGACAGTAGCCTGGAAGTTAGACAACTAGGCTCGCAGGGATGAAAGTAAGGATCCCAAACAATATGGGTAGTTTTCTAAATTAAAGTCCCTTTGGGGCCCCGTTGTATAAGGATGCCGTACTCTTTTCGGGACCTAGAAATGACAATGGGGCCCGAATTTAGAGAACCTCCCACACGTAGGTTTCTCGCGAAACTCGCCAATATCAGGAGATCCCACACTGATCACTCTGAAACATACAGGGGTTTAAGGTCTGGGTGTACGGATTGAACTTTTCGGCAGCCCTGCACCCTACTTGCAGACTGTGACACCCTCAAGCAGCCTGAACCATTAGCACTTCGTAAACCCTAAACCTAAATAATGAGGATCCAAACACTACGCTCTAAAGACTCTAAAGATCTGGGTAAATCAAACCGCAGACGTAAACCCGAAACCTTATAAACCATGAACCCTAGGCCCTGAACCCTGAATCCCAATTAAACCCTGAACCCCTTAAAACCCTCAACCCAAAACGCTAAAACCCTAAAATCCCGAAACCCTAGAAGCCTATCCAGAACATATGCGCCACCTAAGTTTCAAGTCACCACACAAACGAACAAGCATCCTCATCCGGTGGATCATGAAAGTGTCGAAGTGGTACCACAGGTGAAGTTGAACCGTGGTGAAGCCTATCCAGAACATATCGAGCCTGTCACTTTGTCAAGTGATTAAAACTATACAAGCCCCACAAAATCCCCAAACACCCCTCAGCTCACTGAACCCTACCAACCCCGAAACCCTAAAATGCCCAAACTCTATACAACCCTAAAATCCCTAAGCCATTTGGGAGTTTCCGAAAATTAGGGGTACCCTAGGGTCCTTATAATAAGGATCCTACTATCTAGGGTACTATATTAGGGTCCCCTATTTTCGGAAACTCCCATATGGCAGCAGACCCGATACCAAGCCCGTCCTCGTGCTGAGAGGCTCGGCCTCCGGATGCCAGGGTGCTATAGGAAATAGCAGCGTGTTGTTTTACGGTTTCATGCAGCTTTATGCGGTGCTATAGGGTTTCGGTTTCATAGAGGTTTTGCGGTTCTACAATACTTTGTAGAGAGATTTCGATCTTGACTTAATGACATGAATAGGGCCCTTTACAGGGGTTTAGCATTGAGGGTTTAGGATTTAGGTCTTGACTTAATGACAAGAATAGGGCCCTTTACAGGGGTTTAGCGCTGAGGGTTTAGGATTTACGGCTTCGGCTGACTGTGCGAATTCCACGACAGCAACCTACTTGCTCTTGAACCTTGATCTGGTACGAGTTTCGGATTTTACAGATGAGGACATACAGATGAGGATAACACCTGTTGCCATAAATACCCTTAGCCCTAACCCCTAATCCCTAATCCTCAAACCCTAAAACCCTAAACCCTAAACCCTAAGCCCTAAACCCTAAGCCCTAAACCCTAAGCCCTAAACCCTAAACCCCAAACCCTGAACCCTAATCCTCAAACCCTAAATACCCACTGCGAGTCCCGGGCTTCTGGGCGTTCTGAACAAAACACAGTTGGGTGGTTGTCAGAATTAGGGTCCCGTTTTGGGTACCCTAAATAATAGGTGCCGTATTAGAATAGGGACCCCAAATGGGACCCCAATATTGACAACCACCAAGTCATCTCTTAGCACATTCTTCTGACAGTTGCGTGGTTAGACCCCGGAAAAAAGAGGACACGCCCAAGAAGCTAAGGTCTTAAACCTATACTGAACTTGGTACCCTTGCAAGAACAAAAACTTTTGCAGCTTCTTACAAATTATAGTAGTATACAAAAAACAAAATCATGTCCGAGTACCCCTAAGAAAAGGCAGACTCAGTGCCAGACGTTGCCAGGACCATCTGAAGCATTCACCGTCCTTAATTCCCAGGCTCAGGGCTCTGGCTTCAGACTTTGTGCTTAAGGCTTAGAGCGTAAGAGTTTGTGGCTTGGGTGTTTAGAGCTTCGAGCGCTTAGGGCTTAGAGTGCAGGTTGTAGGGCTTTGGTTGGGGCTCACCTTAACCTTGAAAAACCTACCTTTTCGGGCTCCTTATTGTGGTTTCCTTATATGAGTCCTCAAAGGGGTAGGTCATTCGGGGCTCAAGCAGGGGATTAAGGTTGTGCGGCTTGGGGCTCGAATAATGATTCAGGCCGAGAACTTAAGACGTGTGGCTTCGGGTTTAGGGTTTGGGTTTTAGGGTTTGAAAGGGTTTAGGGTTCGAAAGGGCTTAGGGTGTAGGGTTTGAAAGGGTTTAGTGTTTAGGGTCTCCTCGGCTTCGGGGATGACATCCTCAACGTCATCCGAAATGCTTGGTTTAGGGATCCCCAACACCAGACAGTGCACCCTCCAACCCTGAACCCTGAAGCCAGAATACTTCGTAGTTGCGTGTCGGTTGTCTGTCCGGAGCATCGAATTTGCAAGTTTGGCTTCGACAGCATTCTATTCGCGGAAGCCCAGCCTCTGTTTCAGGTATTTTGCATGATGGTTCATCTTACTTCAAGACAACGTGCAACATGCCGAGAAGCCCGTGCTCGAGAACGAATCGCCACAAACTCTGGACCCGACCAGTAAACGACTTTGCACCAAGAAAAACAAACATAACACAAACCCTTATATAACTCCCTTGAAGATCTTGTACTTATAACCACCCAAAACCCCAGACGGTAAATCGGGTCAAGATTCAGGCCCCTAAACTCTGAAACTTAAAGCCCTGGGAACTCATCTGAACCCTTAACCCGTAACCGCTAGTACATCCCCAATTGGAATAGTTGCTGAGTTCCTGAGCCCCAAAAGGGTACACTTTCAGTTGTATAGTGGGCACATCCCCAAATCCTAAACCCCTAAACCCCGAACCTCGAAACCCTAAACCGCAAATCCGGGTCACGACTTAGACCCGGGCCTCCCAAAGTGCGGACATCCCAAAGCCCGAAACCATCCACAAGAAATCCTAAACACTAAATCCGAAACCATAAACCTCCGATCCTCAATCCTATAAAACCTAAATCCCAAATCCAAAACCCTATACCCTAAACCGCTAACCCTCCAGACTCAAAACCCTACAACCTTGAAAAAGCCTTCTTTGTGGCATCTACTCATTCTCATGACACAAGAAGCTAGGTTCCCCAGGTAGATCCCACATAAAACCCTTTAAGGATCCCTTTCAGGAGGCCTTTGCGGATCCCTTTAAGGAGGCCTTTAATCCCTTCAAGGAGGCCTTTGAGGATCCCTCTAAGGAGGCCTTTGAGGATCCCTTTAAGGAGGACTTTAAGGAACCCTGTACCAGGGTACTACTCATGAACCTAGGAAGCGACTGCGCGGCTACCGTAGCCGGGGCGCAAGGCACCCCAACTGCCATCCTGCAGCCCGTACCTCTCGCTTTAGAGTTTGGGGTTTAGGGGTTACGAAGTTGAGGGTTAAGGGTTTAGAGTTTAGGGGCTTAGGAGTTAAGGAGCTCGGGGTTTAGAGTATAGGGTTGATAGAGGTTAAGGAGTTAAGGATCTAACGGTTTAGGAGTTTAGGGTTTAGGGTGAAAGAGTTTATGGCTTAGGGGTTCAGGAGTTTAGGGTTTAGGGTGTAGGATTTGGGGGTTAAGGGTTTCGGGGCTTCGAGTGATCCCTCTCTGGGTTGACGGGTTCGCGCTTGAGGTAACGAGTACTTGATGTGAACGAGTTCTTCGTACCTGGGGCCAAAGATCCCTAGCTCGTTTGGACCCTTGGCCCCAATAACTTCGTTTTCGGCACAGGTGTTTGGAGTTGAGTTGTTTAATCTAGAAAGCATAATAGTTATATGCCCATAAGGTTTTGAAGGGGGATACTATGGCATAGTTGAGGTAAGGAATCCAAGGAATAGTATTGGTTCTGATTCCGCCCGGATATTGGGGCGCTTGGTGGGGTCCTTACAGAAACGTATAAGCAATAAGCCAACAGAACGAGCAATCCCCGAACCCTACAGCTCTTGCAATAGTTGTTCGGAGTCTTCGTATGCTACCTGCATCTAACTGCAGACCATGAGTGCCTTACTGTAATCTTTTGAAACGGGTCTTGGGGTACTTGTATGTTGAATTCTTGTAACAATTAAATAGACACAATAACAACCCCAAACCCTAAACTTATCCTAAAGCCCTGCTAAGCCCTAACCCCCAAAGCCCTGAAGCCTTAAACCCTAAAGCCCTGAAGCACTAAACCCTAAAACCCTCAAGCCTGAGGCCTCTGATCAGGCCCCGCCAAGACACGAATGCCAGGGCTCCCAACCCAAAGACACTGAAGCTGCGAAGCTGACATCCTTGAAACCGAATCACGAAACAAGAAACAATCGCAAGAACATTGCAAATGCTTAGGCTTTAAACCTTGGGCTTTGGGGTTTTGGGGCTTACGGTTTAGGGCTCTAGGGCTTAGACAAAGTTTGTACTAAGCTTTAATCAGACGTAGACGCCCTAACCCCAAGCCATTGACTGAGACAACAGCAACCGAGGGCCGCGCCCCCAGGCGCCCCGGTGTGGTGCCAGAGCCGTGACAGCACTGCGGAGTCCTCTCCAGACCTTGGCTTCCGACTGCATTTTTGGGGGGGTTTGGGTGTTGGACTATGGGTTTGGGGTTTTGGGCTTTGAGCTTTGGGTGTTGGGCTTTGGGATTTGGGCTTTGGGTTTCGGATTTTGGGCTTGGGCTTTGGGTTTTCGGGCTTTGGGCTTCGAGTTTCGGGTTGGGAGGGCCCCGAACAGTTCAGGCTTCCTTTGACGGGTGATGTGCGGGTTCTATCAGGGTTACCATGAGGGTTTCGTGTATTGTTCCTTGACTTCAGGGGTTCTAGTGAGGGGTAGGTATATAGTAATGAAAGCCCGTTGACGGCTGAGAGGTTAGGGCTCACTGAGATTGTCCCCAACCCTGAGCCCTGAACTCTAATCCCGGAACCCTACACCGCGGCTCATTGGTGTGTTGTGCTGCCAGCTGGAAAATAAGCCCTCACGCTACTCGCAAGTCACTGCCCCGGGATTCCACATCAGGCGCCTCAAAATCACTTAATTAAGCAGTATACCATAACCTAATAGGATCCCTTAATATGATTTAAGGTACAATCCTTAAATCAGTGACATTAAACTGCGACTATCGGGCCGGTGCAACATCCAATTGGCCATTCTGCATCCCCAGTTGTTTGTTGAAACATTTCTCTGCAGCCATGGCTGTGGAACTGAAGCTTAGTGTCCTTTTCAGTCTAAGTTAAAGTCTAGAACCTCTTCCAACGTATTAAAGTCTCCGCCAGGGGCCAGGATTGAAAGGCATCGGTATATACAGTTTCGAGAGGGTTCGGGCTCAGGGTGGAGAGGTTTTTCAGTTTGGGGTTTAGGGTTTCATGCATCCCAAAGCCTCGAGGGGCCCAGTCCCCAAAACCACAACGAGCAACTGTCGATCATACCTGCGCCGCTGCTTCATGCTTTCCTCGTAGGACTTGCAAACTTTACGGTTCGGCAATTTACAATTCCGGATTGAGTTCCGGGTGTTGGTTGTTAGAGAGGGGCAGCGTAATTGAGGGGGTCAGAGCTTGTTGGTGATTGGAGATAATGTCGAAACTCGGTGTCTAGGGATAAAGGCACCCAAAAGGTATCGGAACTCAAGGCGCCCGACCACCCAGCAGTGCTGTCCTGGGTGAGGCTGCAAGGCTTCCGGCTAGCGCAACCAGGTTGGTTGCAAGACGTACAGCGAAGGTGGACGGTTAAGTCTTTACACAGGTCTTCCAGTACGCGCTAATCGTTTGAAGCAGCTTTACTACAGGTTGGGCGGGGGGTCCGATCTAGGTCGGAATTGACGCAAGTAGTACTCCCGTAAATCCCTATGTACATATATATATATATATATATATATATATATATATATTTGTATATCTATGTATGTATACATATATGTATACATACTTAGTCTTACAGTCATTGTAGTAAGAAAACATGAGAAACCGTATTCCCAGTGAGGCCTCTGTATCACATTCTTCGTATGCGCATGACCCTCCGTTTCCGAGTCGTATGCCCGAAACCCAAAACATTGGACCACCGCCGTTGAAAAACAATGTTTCTGGGTTCAGAAAGTCTTGCAGCTCCACGTTCTCCACATTGTTTTTTGGGGTGAGGGGTGGAGTTCAAAACGGATACACAGGATCCGGAACATGGTGTATTATGGGCAGGCTGCAGGTACACCCTTTTGAACCTCGCGCGGCTTGTAGGTGACCCTGTCTAAACTTAGAGCCTCTGAAAACACCAAACCTGGGCCCTAAACACTGAAACCCGAAGCGCAATCTCACGATTTAGGGTTTAGGGTTTAAAAATTAAAGCCCGAAACCCCAAAGCCCCAAACCTCTACAGCTCCAAAACTTTCAAGCCCCGCGAAATCACAGGGCATCGCTAGACCCTCCACTGTGTCTCAGGCGGTGTTCGCGATGCATAAGATCGACGACGCGGAGGCTGTTGTCGCCACAGCCTCGGCGGGCTGAAATCTGAGGGCCTTAGCTGTTGAGGGCGCTGCGGGTGGCTGTGTTCTATGTAAGCTATCATAGGGAGCCTTAAGGAATAGTATTATTGCATTGTGAACCGGGCTGCCACACCGGATCTGGATGAGAGTTTATTGGTCTTTATTTGGGCTTGGGGCATCGCGATAGGAAGCTCACATGGCTGCCCAGACACCCGGGGGGATCCAAAAAGTAGATCCCTTAATGGAGGTTCCGATACCCTTAGTACTAAAGGGCATCAAATTAGGGGATCTACTTTTTAGATCCTCCGGGGGTCTAGCTTCGGGACAAGGCACTACAAGCCGCACTATACACCCCAAGCTCTGAGCCTTAAGCCAAGCCCTAAACTCAGAAGGTCTAACCCTAAACCCCTAAATCCGAAACCCTAACCCCATCAACGGATCGTGGACAATGGGCCCTGAAAACCTACCATGAAACCAACGGGTCAGGGTTCAGAATTTTGACTAACCTCACATGGACCGAGACCTTCAACCCGTGTATAATCCACGTCAAGCCTTTGCGAAACCCTATGAAACCCTGCAAATCCGAGCTAACTACATATCCCACTTGTTGCAACCCCAGCCAGCCCTAAACCCCACAACTCTATCTTCTTGAGGGTTTATGCACACGGATGTCATGATCAGGCAACCCGAAAGTTAAGAATCTTCGGGAAGTCTTTCGTGTTTAGCAGAACCTGAAACTCATTAAGACCCCAAGCCGCTGATACAACCCTCGTACACCCTTTCAACAACATGTAATTGAAAATGTGTCGGGGGGAGATGGTGTGGCTCCGGTGAGGGGGCCCTGGTGTCGGGTCGGCGTGGAGTCGGCCTTCGGTAATCGGGATCATATTCCTGAATTAGGGCTTTTTGGATAAACGGATTTCCTTGGGATGGTAACTCAAAGTACATCCCTTAACAAAACTCCGGAACAGCCTAAACTTTAAACCTAACCCCTAAACCCTAAACCCCTAAACCTCTAAACCCTAACCCCCTAACCCTGAACCCTAAACCCTAAGCCCTAAACCCAAAGCCCGTGAGGCCCCAGCCAAGCATCGCCAAGTTCGCATCGCTCTTCGCTGCCGTGATGTGCCCGCCCAGGCATGAGAGGCGCCACTTCCTCGACTGCGGGTTTAGGGGTTTAGGGTTTAGGGTTGACTAAGGGCGTAAAGTTTATGTTAAGCACCTCTTCAAATTCAAACCCCAAGGGTCCAAGTAGGGCTTATTTATGGGGTTTTGGTACCCGCAAAGGCCCAAATTCGTTCAATGATGAATACTGGGACCCTTAGGGAAAGAGTTTAGGATTTAGAGGATTTAGGGGTTTAGGTTGTTTAAGATATAAGGCTTCTTAAAGGGATCTACAAAGAGACACCACTTCCTCTGAACGGGTGTTTGTACGGTTTGTTCCAGGAAAGGATTTAAGGGGTAGGGTTCTTGTACGGGTTCGTCTTTATAGGGCACCAAAACGTGTAGTGCCTGGCGCCTAGAATACTTGGGCACTTGTAATTTTAGGGAACGTTGAAGGATCCGGGTTTGAGGCGCTCTGTAAACCCTAAACCCTGAAACCCCCTGTGGGGTTCATATTCGGACGTCTTGTGCTCCCGCCTTAGCGAATATATAGAACGGGTCCATAAGTCTATGGTCCACGAATCGCGCGAGGTTGTTGGAGTGTGGATAGCGCATGCCTGTGACGAGGTTCTAAACCTCGAACAACAGCCTTTTGGATGGGACACGCACGCAATTACGCGAAACTCCGCTGATGGCAACGCCGAGCGGCGAGGCCTAGCAGTCTAATCCCAAACACTTAACCCAAACCTGCAACTTTTAGCAACCTAAACCCAAAAATTCTAAATCCTGAACCCCAAACCCTTACACTGTATATAGGAACCAAAACCTTCGTAACCCCAACATTCTAAACCCTCTAGACACCCTAAACCCTAAAAGGCCCTAAGCACCCTAAACCCTAAACTTGCAGCTTCAAATCGCTTCTGACCTGAGGGCCGTACATCTGAGGAGCAGTCCCGCTGGCAGACACGCTCCTGAATGGACCGTGACTTACCATAACCACTACGTTAATGCTCGGGGGCCCTGTAGAACATGTGTGAGGGCTTGCCCTCCTCCTCTTCCGCGGCCCTGCCCTGCCCTGCACCGCCCTGCCCTGGCCCTTGCTTGAGGTTTTATCGACTGCAACCCCTGCTAACTATATGGTCTCCACCTTCAACATTCATGAGCCCAACTATTTGGAATAGACCTTTGGGGTATACCATGCTATAACTATATGGGGACTATGAGGGAACACTTACCATCCACTCCTACCCTTTATCACGCACAAACCTGACATGATGGTGTTGGTACTTAGGGAGGGATGTAGGGTTTATGTAGGGTTTCGGGCTTATGGCTTAAGGTTTAGGATTTAAAGTTCAGGACTCATAAAGGCTTATAGGGTTTGGGGCCGTTTCTCGAAAATGCCACCGAAGGCACCAGAGCACGATGAAGCGATCCATGCCAGTAGTAAGCACCTTGGTAATTTCGGACATGAGTCGCAGTCTCTGCTTCAAAACTGGTCTCTTTTAAGGAACTGCATTCAAGCTACAATAATTCAGGGTTCCTTCGAGGGCTGTGTAAGGGTTCTATGAGGGCTAGGGTTAAGGCATGTAAGTTGGCATAATACGGGTCTTTTGCAAGCAGTAATACGGGTTCATTACCATGGTAACTTCAACTACATTCCTTAACAAGGACCCAGTTTAGGGCTTTGAGTTGAGAGTCCTGATGTAGGGGTCTCTAAAGTTAGAGTAGGGTTTTTGGGGTACATTATGGTAAAACTGTCATCGTTAAGGAACCCAGGAACTCAGGCTTGTACATAGGCCCTTGCTAACCCCTACAAGTAACCTCTAAAATGCTCACAGTCACGTGTTCACCGCTCGGGGCTGCCGAGTGGTCGGTTCGACAGGCTTAGGGTTTAGGGGTGTATAAGGGTTGAGGGTTCGGGGCACTCTGGGCTTCAAACAAGCCCAAAAGCTATGTAAACCTCGAACCCTAAGCCCCGCCTTGACCTACAAACACCTTCGATTTTGTGGGTTCTTGTTACAAACCCTCATATGGATTGTTTGGGATCCTCATTTCAAAAATCCTGGAAACCCTAAACCCTGAACCCAAAACTTATAAACCCTAAACCCCTAAACCCCAAACCCTGAACCCCAAACCCTAAACCCCAAAACCCTAAACCCCTAAACCCTAAACCCCTAAACCCTAACCCCTAAACCCTAAACCCTAAACCGCCTAAACCCCAAACCCTAAACCCTAAACCGCAAACCCTCAACCCGAAACACCGAGGCCTTTGAGCCTCCTGTCTCGAGATTTTCTTTCTGGCGTACCTATCGTAACAGAACCTTTTTAAGGGTTTTGGGGTTTATAGGGGTTTGGGGGTTTAGGGCTTAGGGTTTAGGGTTTAGGGTTCAGGGTTAGGGGTTTATGTTTTAGGGTTTTAGGGTTTACTGTCAGACTTATGGTAGAATGTAGGGGTCCGATATTTGGAATTACTATTTTGATATGGGGAAGTATCCCCCATAACAGTACTTTGGACCCTTTGGGAAAACCTTTTTAAGGGTTACTGTCAGACTTAGGGTTACCAGAGGCATTATGATGCCAAACAAAGCTTCAATAAAGGATACTATAAGAATAGAGGTTTCGATAAGGTTTACTGTGAAAACAAGACCCTGCTTTTGTTTAGGTTTGAAGGTTTCGGGGCTGAGGGGTTGGAGCCCATCCGGAACGAATGCAAGGGCCATGATAATTAAAACAAGTTTTTTGGTATATTGGTACTATAATTCTGACAAGGAACACCGCAGTAGTGTTGGTGATTTTCTTAGGCCAGCTGTTACACCGAACTTCCGAAACCTCATCTCTAGTGACAAGGAATCCCAAACCATTGCTACCTGAACCCTGAACCATAAATAACTCAAAGCCCCAAGCCATGTGATAATACAAACCCTAAACCCTACACCGTAAACTCTCAAGCCCCAAAACTATACTGAACTTAGAACCCTAGCAAACATTATAATTTTAGCTGTTTCTTAGGGATCTTAATAACCAAAAATTTAAAAATATTTCTAAGTACCCCTATGCAAAGTAGAAGTGGGCTGGGTCCTCCTGCATGGTCACTCCCGACGGCCCTCATTCCAAAGATGGGCCGCGTGTGGATAGGCGCCTGCTTTTTTCGGGGTTCCTTATTGGAGGCCTCAAAAGGTGGGAGGTTTAGGGTTTAGGACTTTAAGACTTTGGGGTTTAGGATTTAGGGTTTAGGATTTAGGGGTTTGGCATTTAGGGGTTGGAGACCGCAAAGGGTGGGAGGAAGGTAGGTAGGATTCAGGATCCCCTATACAAGGACTCCCATTAGGGGATTGCCCCACCTACCTTCATCCTAGCTTTTGAGGCCCCTGACCTTATGGGATCCTTCAAGTTGAAGGCTCAGGGCTCCTTTACGGGTTCCGATGAGGGATCCTGTAAGGGTTCCTTTAAGGGCTCGGCTCCTCGTTCCTGGAAATGTTGCACCATATAGTTTCGGGTCTTCAGGGGCTATGCAGATATTGCCATTGAAGGACTTCGGACTTCGCAGCATCAAGGCCGTCCATGTGTTTGGGGTGTATGCTTCGTGTTTGTAGTCTGAGCTGGAAGTGTTTGTGGGCTGTGGGGCTTGAGGTCTTTAGGGTTAGGGATTTAGGGTGTTCAGGGCTTGGGTTGAGGGTCAGATGGCTTTAAGGTCTTATGGGTTGTGGTGTGTACTTAGGCTGTGGTTGTGTGTTACCCGAAGCAGATGTTGCTTGACCCTACGAGGTCTGGTAAGCACGTAAACCCTATACCGTGAAAACTATCCTAAATAACTGCCACCCCAAACCCCAAATGCGGAGCCCTATAATTACCCTTAAACCTAAGCCATAAACAGGAGCATCAGGAGCCCTACACCGGCAAACCTTATCAACCCACAAACCCTGAACCCTAAACCAAAACCATCCGTAAGAAACCGCCCAAGCAGCGTTTCTGGTTTAGGGCTTCGGCCTAGGGCCTAGGGTTTTTGCAAGAGCCCAAGACAAAACCCTACGACTCTTCAATAGAAAGCCTCATGTTTTGGCACAACCCAAACTCTAAACCCCATCCTGCTGCCAACCCGAGGACCCTGGAGGCTGCAACCCTTGGCCCTGATATTTTGTGACATTCTTTCTCAGGCCCAAACTGATCGACTTGGCTTCGTCCGCGAAGCCTGCAGCAGGAAGCTGCTGCTTAGATCGGCGTGCCGACGGTACATTTCTTCCTTTCCTGGTTGTTCCTACTCCCCCTCCTCCTGCTACCTCTACCGCTCCTTCTACTACTACTACTACCACCACTACTCCTGCTACTACTACTACCACTCTACTGCTACTACTACTACTACTACCACTACTCCTGCTACTACTACTACCACTACTACTACTGCTACTACTACTACTACTACTGCTGCTGCAGCTGCTGCCAACGCTGACCTCACAAATCTACTGCGGCAGGCTCAACTGGGGTTTAGGGCTTGGTTCGGGTCCAGGGTGTAGGGCTTCGAGTTTGGGGCATCGGGTTCAGGGTTTTAGGGTTTAGGTCAGGCAAACAAACTTGAACGGATACTGCAACATTTTGTCCAACATGAAGGCTTCAAACTGCTCAAACCCGATCTGATCATAATGAAACCTTTACAAACATGTCACTGTGATGGCCGAGCCTCCCAGCAAAAAAGCTCACCTCGTGCCCTGCGAGGAAAGACGGGCTTTGCCGCGTTTGAAGTGGTGGTAAGTGCTTTCACGGGCTATGCATAGTGATATGGACTCTTCAGAAAGCTGTGAAGTAGAAGTACAGAGGTGTCAAAGAAGTAATACACTACTGGTATGGTAGTACTGCAGTGGTCGTGGTAGTAGTAGTAGTAGTAGTAGTAGTAGTAGTAGTAATAGTAGTGGTAGTAGTAGTAGTAGTGGTAAAAGTAGTAGTAGTAGTAGTAGTAGTAGTAGTAGTAGTAGTAGTAGTAGTAGTAGTAGTAGTAGTAGTAGTAGTAGTAGTAGTAGTAGTGCAGCAGTAGGACAATAGTAGTACAGTTGTTGTACAGCACTGCATCAGTGTAGTAGTAGTAGTAGTAGTAGTAGTAGTAGTAGTACTCTACAGTAGGAGTACAGGAATAATGCAGTAATGGTACTGTAGTAGCACTGTACTACAGAAGTAGTAGTATAGTGGTGAGCTGTTCAGCTGGGGGTTTAAGGGGGCCGCAAAGCCTCGAACAGAAAAACCCACTCGTTCTAACTAAGATAACGACCAACATTCACGTTGAAGCTTTTCCTTCCTCCGATTTCTCCGGCGTCTGCCTATCCACCAGTAGAACGAATGAAAATTCAAAAACAAATAACCCCGGCGATGGTCCCAAACATTTGACGAATCCTGAATAAGCAACGGTAAAAGACATTATAGAGTGTCACGTCGTTTAAACGTAGTGCGACAGTGTACATGTGTACACATAGACATGTACATCCAGCTGGCCCGGTTCATGTCAAGCACACAACCAAAACCAAAGGCAGCAACAGACGTGTTCATATTTCACGGTTCGACTGCTATGCACCTTTGGAGGCTGCTTGGTGCTTGGTTCTTGGTGGCAAGCGTAACTAGCGATCAACGACCTTGGCTTACAGGCATCATCCGCCACATGACTATTGTATAAGCATCTGTCCTCAAGTAAATCATCCTGCCCGTGGGCAGCGCGTATGTGTCTGGGCTAGCGCGTGTTTCCGTAGTAACATGTTGTTATGCAGCGCGGACTTCGCTTTACAGTGCCTGCAAGTGGTTTGCTTTAAAGGCATAAACCCGCGACACTATAAGACTGATTCCCAAACACCTCAATTCTGCAAATTTGCCTCCTGCTGCCACATCCCGAAATCACTACGTGAGTAATCCGCAACCTCGATGTATGGCTAAACCCCTAATTGACCACACTCCTCTACTGACGTAAGGCATCAACCTGAGCGTAGGGCATACACAGTTCATCGCAGCGACGAGCTGATGTAAGGTAGTGTACCCAAATATCCTTTGTGGAGATCCTACTTAAGCATCTCCGCCGACCCTCTCCCGATGACGGGGTATGGAGGAAGCTACCGAATTTATCAAGAAAGAGAACTCGGCACAAATTCCCAAGTTTCCAGTACTATGTTGAAGGTGCACTTGATGCCAAATGGGCTATGTATGGAAAAGCCGTTTCCCTTGCGAGGCAAAAGATTGCGCGGCTGCCGCATGTTAACTGCATGGATTCGACGCCAATATTCGTGACGGTCCATGACGGTCCGTGGCACTGCCACCGGGAGCAAGGCCATCGCGAAAATGTTTCAATACATGAATGCAAACCGGCTGGTTGAACAAAATCCATGAAGACGAAAACTATAGCCATACTCATGATTGCACACTCTAAAGACATAAAGAAAAACGATGAATCTCAGGGTAGTGGTAGGGATACAGAAAGAGAGACAGATTCAAACACACAGCAAGATAAGAAAAAACACGAAGGCACGGCCCATGGAAACAGAAGTGGGTACGGATGTACGCGGAGATGTAAAGAGATAGGCACACACGTATACATACGTGGTCCATTGCCGAAATCCGACTTCCCCAATGGATCACCAAAGCAGCATGTAGATCGCTCCTGTAACGAACACCAGACAAAGGACGGTAATGCGGAGCAACCCCCGATTGAAAACAACTACTATGTAGCTGATGCAGTGGTGCTGGGAACGAACTCAACGATAGTTGTAATTACATCAGAACCAACAGGTCTCGAATTGCACAACGTTGTTGAGTTGCATTAAATTCCGTCCGCATGCTGTCAAACGGTATAAAGAAGGCCGTCTGGAGCACATCGAGGTCTTAAATAAATCCATCCATCCAGCCATCCATCCATCCGTCCGTCTGTCCGTCCATCCATCTATTCACACATCCATCAGTACGTACATACATACATGCATACTCACTTACTTACATACGTAACTACATACTTACATACCTAACACTTACATACTTAAAGCATGTATACATCCCTACATCCATGCATGCATGCAGACATGCATACATGCATACATGAATACATACATACATACGTACATACATCCATCCATACATACATATATACGTACGTACATACATACATAAATGCATAAGCACATACATGCGTGCATGCATACATCTGTAAATACATACTGTTACATGCACACATTCATACATAAATGCGCATGTACACACATGCATATATACGTATGCATGGAAACCTACAGACACCTTCTTCAAGGAAATAAGCAGGGAAACGATAGTCCCAAAGCAGTCAGTGCCTCTCGTATGTTGAGCAGTTCAGCGGGAAGCGCATGCTCTTTGTCTGGCATGGTACTTGCTTTTGACGGCCAAACAACAAAGAACATGCAAAAAACCCTGAACTTTTGAAGCCCCCCCCCCGTCTCTTTCGATGTAAACCCGGGGCTCTGAATGAAAGATATAAACCTGAACCTTTAATTTAGAGTGAAATGAGTTCTCATGCAGCGTGCACCGACAAGCACATGCCCGTCGTTGCTCTTACCCTCTGGGCCAAGCACCCGCTGTACAGGATGCAAGTAGCAGACAGTGCACAAGCACAGGTCCAGGCACGACCTCAATTTGAAGGCTTTGGTGGTCGTGGTGCATGAGCTTGAGACGAGTTGTGGGTTTCTCAGAGCTCAACCTCAAAGCCTCAGCACAAAACATCAGGTCAAACCAAAACTGTAGGTGATGACCAGGACAAGCCCTAGTTGTCCAGTGAAGTTACCCTTTTGAGATGCTACCGGGATCATACTATTCCAACATGGTTTCTCGGAGGTAGCCTACTCGACGACTCAGCTCGCAGTAGGGGCTAGAATGGGGGTTGCAGGTATGTTGTAACAACAGACGATACAGAACTCTGAGAAACAGTTATACTAATATCCGGGCCCTAAACCCTATAAGCTCCATATCATGTAAGTTGAACACAGATATACAGGCATTTCCACTGAAGGCGTGGCTGTCGCCTTCGCGAAAGGTTCCTTCTGCCTGGGCCGTCCAGTGTTAGAGAGGCTGCTGTGATTTGTGCAAGAGCGGGGGGGCTCAGCGTTCAGGATCTATAGAGTTCAAAGGGATTGAATTTTGGGCCTCTGATATCACTCAAGGTTGGGACTTGGGGAGTAGACGTTGGGGTTAGTGTTTGGAGTCTGGCCTGGCGCAGCAAAGAACGCAAACGGGATTGAACAAGGGCTGGCTACAACCACCTCGCATCCTACTGCGACTCTTCAAGCCTTCAACCCAAAAACTCACAATTAGTAATACTAGCCCTTTATCATAGTCCCGGTGATTGGAATAACAACACCCCACAACCCTACTCACTACCCGAAGATATGCAAAGTCGAATGGCAGCCCAAACATCATCAGCCTTCTCTAGTAGATCTTGAACTTGTTGTATCTTATGACAAAAGACAAACATACATGCATGCATACATATATATATAGATAGATATAGACAGATGTGGATATAGATATAGACAATAGATATTATGTGGCCCAAAGCCCCGACAAGCCCCAAACCCGATAAACCCTAAACCCCTAAACGCCCAAGGTGATAATTATGAGCCCAGAGGCTGGATGTTCATGCTTGCCTAGGTCTAAGCGCTTTCTTTGCCAAGGGTCCTGGGTTTAGGATTCAGGGTTTAAGTTTGGTGTTCAGGGTGCGCGGTTCGGGCAGGTCACGGCTTAGGGTACGACCCCGAAACTCCTTTCTGGGAAATCCTCAGCCATAAAACCCTCAACCCTGAAGTCAAAACCCAAGCGCTAGAAACCCTAAACCCTTCAACCCTAAACCCTTATAAGCCCCAAACCCTTAAGCCCAAAACCCTTACTGTGAGCCCTTACACCCAAATCCACACCGGAAGCCCTTCCCTGCCGCCCGCTTTGTTATCAGACCCCAAGGGTCCATGCACCCATGTAGTATTTACTGTGGTCCGACGCTACCTCAATAGCGAAAAGGCCCAAGTACCACCAATGTGATTACATGGACCGGTAATGAACCCCCTTCTCCCCGCAAGAAAAAAAATAAATAAATAAACCCTCAACCCTAAAAGTGAACCTTACGGCTTGCACCTCAAAGCTTGCGAACCACCAGAACACCGCACCAGATCCTAACACCCTCGACACCCAAATCCAGTATAGAACCCCTGTAGAGCCTTGAATGATGGGAGGCCAAAAGGGGGGTTTAAGATTCCATATGAACCCTATTATGGGAACCCTAATCCCTACTATTATACAGTAGACCCCATAAAGTTGGAAACCGGATAAGGGCCAAATAGTGCTGGGATTCCCTATATACTACTCTTGAGGATTGAGGCTATTGGGTTTCCAACTTTTCAGCTTTTACTGTAGTGCCCTGAAGCAGAAGGTCTTGATTTGAAGAAAGACCTTAAAAAACACCGGGTGTGGCCGAGGTGCTGAGGCAATCTGGGCTTCACAAGAAGGCTCCTGATCGAGACAGTCGTACTGGTGAAGGCTTGTGGTTCAGAGGTTTAGTGTTGGAGGGTTCGGGTTAAGGCTACACACAAAGGCCTTACTAGCTGGAAGAGGCTTCGTTGAGGATTAGTTTACAGTGCTATCAAAAGACGCGGGTTTTAGCATGGAAGCCTTTATACTTGCAACAGGGTGTCAGGAGCATACAAGGCTTTCATGTGGGCTACTCAAGTTCGGGAATCCTCTGCGAAGGAAGATGACTCTTCATGCTGGGTTCAATTTTTTGGCTTCATCATCAGCTTAAGACCCTGAACCAGTAGCGCTAAACCTTACGTTTAGGGTTTATTAGCTGGCTTGGATGTTTAGGTCTGGCTGTGTGCGTCTTCTTGAGTTTTCAAGCCTATAAGGGCTTTAAAGGCTGAGGTGCTTCATCTCGTTTAGGACCCTCCACCTGTAGCTCTACATCCAGGCTGTTCAGTGACCCTCTGGGACAAAGTATATACTTTTTTCGGCTTCTTATTTTATAATAGGAACCCAGAAACCTGAAAGTAAAAAAGTGTACGACTGAACAGCCTGGTAATCGAAAGCTGACACCCTACAGTAGAAGCCCAAAAGTTTGAAACCCCATAGCCTCAATCCTTAAGACCTTAAGAGTAATGTATAGGGAATCCCAGCACCATTTGGCCTTAATCCAGTTTGCAACTTTGTGGGGTGTACTGTAAATTTCGCTCAACCGTAGGATCGGAAAGCTTCTTGAATAGATACTCGGGCCTGTGGGGTTTAGGGTTAAGTACGCTATAATCATATACTCTCCGAAATGTTGAGCTACATAACTACTATCCTAAACCCAAGAACCTCAGTATTGGGTCCTTTGGACCCTTCGGGTGGGGTTTAGGGTTTAGCGCTTAGGGCCGGCTTTAGGGTTATGAGTTTAGGCTACGACTGCAGTAGGTCAGTGTGTTGAGGAGTTTAGGGTTTAGGGCCGGGCCGGGTTTTTAGGGTGTTGGTTTTAGGATGCGACTGCTGTAGGTCAGTGTGTTGAGGAGCATAAGTATCAGCCTACTAGCTACTTGGACCGGTCTCTCCCTAGCTCTCAGCATCAAACCCTCGTAAACTCTACCTAAAAGGCCCAAACCCAAAACCCTGAATCCTAACCCTAAGCCCTAAACCCAAAGCACTGATATGCCTCGAAACTCGAACACAAGCTGCTGCCTTAGATGCAAAGATGCGCAGGGTTGTCTTCGGTTTAAGGCTATGTGACAGCTTACGAGTTTGGGGCTTATGGTAGAGCGCAGGGTCTAGGGCTTAAGGGTTCAGGGGTCAGGGCTCCGAGATTAACATAGCGCTTACGGTTTAGGGCTCCAGGATCTTTTTTGAGGAGGCGTGGGTTAGGGCCTTAAAGGTCTTCGGGCTGACGGTTTAGGGGCTCAGGGCTTAGGGTTTAGGGAGCTTGGGGCTTGGGGCTGAATGATTAGGCGGTGTGGCTTGGCGATCCCTTGAAGGAACCCTTCAAGGAACCGTTTCCCTAAGACCTGAACCCTTGAAATCCCCCAAAGCTTCCTCCCTTCGCCCCGCGACTCCTCAGCGCTGGCAGCTTCTGGCAGCCTCTTCAGGGCAAGCTCACAGAATCAAGCCTGCTTGGAGGTTCATGGGTAGTTATAAGCGGAGTTATAAGTAGGGAAACTCTCGTTATAACCCATATCAGGGGACTTTATAACTCCACTTATATCTACCCATGAACCTCCAAGTAGAGTCCTCAAAGCCTGAACGGTTTAGGGTTCAGGATCTACAGCTTAAGAGTCGGCTTAGGGCTTAGGGTTTAGGACCATTCAAGGAAGCTTTGGAAGAACCCTTGCAGAGGAAGCCAGAAACGAACCCGAAAAGAACGTGCCCTTGAGGAGAATGAGAGGGACCCTTAACGGAGACCTGAAAGAGAACCGTCGAGTGCCGTAATTCCCTGACGCCCCCAACCGGATGCTGCCTCCAAAGCTGTACCGACTGGTCTTGGCATGCCTTGGCTTTCGGGTTACAAGTGGAGCTATAAGTCCCCTAATATGGGTTATAACTATAGTTACCCTACTTATAACTCCACTTATAACTAATTACCCATGAACCTCCAAGTAGGGTTCAGGGTTTAGGTTCCCGGGTTGAGGCTGTGGTTTACGGTTTGGGGTTTAGGGTTTAGGGTTAGGCTTCAGGAGGCTTCACCATCTCTCTTCAATAGCCGTGCCCAAAATATCTCAAACTGTCTACAACAGACCAAATAGAAACGACCAAACTAGTTAAAGTTCTCCCATTGGCTGCGATCTAAGGACGATGTCAAAGCCCATGCATAGACTTCGTGTAGCAGAGCTTCCTGAACAATCAGGGTTGGGAATGTCGTATACGATTCCAGCACTTATGCTCAGCCTACATTCTCAGACCCCGGATTGCGGATGCTATAAGGGTTTAGGGTTTAGGGAGCTAGAGCTGAACAGACCCCAAAGCCTAAAACACCTAAAACCCCACACACGGAAACCCGAAACCCAAATCCCAAAGCCCTAAAAGCCCTAAACCCCACACGCCAAAACCCCAAACCCCAAACCCCCAGCCCAATGCTGCCGTGTGCCAAGTTGGCTTTTTGTTTTGAGGATCTGTGGGATGTGCCCGGGGGCTATTAAGGTTTCTGTTTATCGATGTTATTTTATATCTTCTGGGTTCTTGTTAAGGAGATTACATCATTTACGGAAGGTCCCCATTGCGGCAACTTAGACTACATTCCTTAACTAGAACCCAGGCTTTGGCTTTGGATGTTAAGGTTTAGGGACGCTGTATATGAAAGCAGCGTCTACATGTTCAGAGGGCCCCAGTTATCCTGCACCCGATTTGAATAGCGGGGTGGTCGGCTGTGCTCGATCTGGGTTCAGTTAGTGAGACGAGACCCCAAAGATTTTAGGCTAAACAGGTTTTAGGCTCTAGGGTTTCGTTTCTTGGGGGGAGGTTCGATTAGGGTTTAGGTTTTGGGGTGTGGGGCTAGGATAAAGTAGGGTTTGGCAGAGAGAGCTGGCGTCGTGCTAGGCGTCGTGCTGTGACAAGGCGGTCGCTGCAGCCCGGAATGAAGGTCAGGCAGTGCCTCCGACTACAGATTGTTTAACACCTGTGGAACCCAAACCCAGTCGTTTAAGGTTTTCATAGAAAGTTCCGAAATAAGCCCAATGTAGAATGTAAGTATCTGCCGTTGGGGTAGTATATCGCTCAGCCCTGGGCCCTAGACATTTTCACAACCCTAAACCCTAAACCCTGGCTCATTGTCAAATTCCAGAGCCAACGGAAAACTCCTGTGATTTGGGAGTTTCGAGAAATAACAGGGTACCTTATCTTAGGGGTCCTTATAATAAGGATCCTACTATTTAGGGTACTATAATAGGGTTCCCTTTTTTCGGAAATTCTCATTTGTGTATTATGGTCAACCCTGGCTTGCTTGGATGACAGTGGCCATCAAGCTGACAACAGCACACTCCCAATCGTGGTGAGCGCAACGCAATGAGGCTTGACTACACTCTGAATCTCCTAACTTACGTCGCTAAACCCTAAACCCTAACCCCTAATCTTCGTTGAGCTCCGCAGTCAGAACCAAGCCTGTAAAAAGCATTGGAGTTCTCAGAACAAGATCCTCTTATTTCAAGTCCCCCCGGCTTAGATTTCTAGAACAACTCCCTAAGGGTCCAAGTGCCCCCCAAATAGTAGCGGGGGAAGAACCACAATCATGCTCGCAATGGTCCTGGGAAACCTACAACTTACAACCCACCAAATGGGCATTTGGACCCTTAAGGGCTACTTCTTCAGGAAGCTTTGCACCTGCTGAACCCTGGATCCCAAAGCCGACAGCTCATAAAACCGAAGACACCCCAAAGCTTCAAACACCTAAGTAGCACTATACAGTAAACTCAAGAACTACTGTCGAGCGCTCATAGAGTCCTTTCGGAAGCCTTAAAGAAACCCTTCAAGAACCCCCTTACACCCTAAACTCAAACCGCCTTACAGAAGCCTTATAGAAACTGCTGACCGCAGAACCCTCCTAAGCCCTAAGCCCCCTAAGCCCTTTGAAACGGAGCCTGCAATTAGGAACCCAAAAAGCACATAAGCATTAGCATTTTATGGGGATATCCATACCTTGTTGGGCTTCATTATAAAATGGGATTTATATGGGATAGCCCTATCCTAATTCTTGCTTATGTGCTTCTTTGGGGCCCTATTCAAAGAACCCTAAACCCTAAACCCTAAAACCCAAAACCCTAAAACCCTAAACCCTAAAACCCTAAACCCTAAAACCCTGAACCCTAAAACCCTGAACCCTCGAAACCTTGGTTTCTGAGTAGCCCCTTTATAATAAGGCTACCCTTTTTCCTGCTGTTTGGTCTTAATAAGGGAACCCTAAACTAAAAAGGGCAAAAGGGTGCCACTCAGGAACCTAGAAACCCTGAACCCTCGAAACCCGGGATTATAATCACCAAAAAATTAAAAACTATTTCTAAGTACCCCTAAGGCTTTTGGGGCCCTATTCGAAGAACCCTCGGTCTGGGAGCCCGGGCACGGCAGCGCGCAGCCGGAAGCTGAATCGCGGGAGCCGGGTCTGAGTCGCGGCTTCGTCTTTTTGCTTTTGGGGTTTTGGGGTTTAGGGGTTTGGGGGTTTAGGGTTTGGGGTTTTGGGGTTCAAGGGTTTGGGGGTTTTGGGGTTTGGGGGTTTCAGGTTTTGGGGTAGGTTTAGGGTTTATAATAGAGTTTAGGGTTTAGGGTTTAGGGCTTTTGGGTTTTGGGGTTGCGGGTTTCAGGTTTGGGGTAGGGGTGTAGGGTTTAGGCTTAGGGTTTGGGGTTTAGGGCTTAGGTCTAGGGTTTAGGGGTTCGGGGGCTTTAGGGTTTAGGGTCCAGGGTTCCCTAATTTGGGGTTTAAAACCCTACCCCCTAAGTCCTGAGCCCTAAACACTTATATAATCCTAAACCCTAGGCCTAAACCCTCAACCCTAGCCCTAAACACATATAAATCCTAAACCCTAGACCCTCAACCCTCAACCCTAGCCCTAAACCCTTATAAAATCCTAAACCCTTATTTTTTAAACCCTCAGCCCTAAGCCCTAAGTTACGTTCTGAGGCCTCGGAGTTGATGATGGTCACGGCACCGCTGTGGTAGCCCACGGCCACGACGTCCGGCTGAGCCACCTTTCAGAGACCACAACGGCCCGGAAAAATATCGAGGCTTTGGGCTATTTTAAGGCTCTAAAGGGATCTATAAGGGTTTAGGGTCTAATTAGGGTTTATATAGGGTTTAGGGTATATATAGGGTTTAGGGGTTTAAGGACTACCCTAAGGCTCCTAAGAGGGTCTTGGGCTTTCTGGGGGAGGGTTTCGGCTTTGGGGGCTAGGGTCCGGGATCTCACTACAAGGGTCCAGGAGCCTTAAGGTAGAGTTCAGGGTCGTTAGCATTTAAGACTTTGGGCTTAAGCTATGGGTTTAGGGCATAGGTCTTTAGGTTTGTCTTTGTTTGAAGGCATTTTTGGGGCTGAGGGCTCGGGATTAGGGTTTAGGGCTTAAGCTGTGGGTTCGGTTGGGTTTAAGCTTTGGGTTTAGGGTTTAGGGTTTAGCATTTATGGTTTAGGGGCAGGGTTAAGCTTTGGGTTAGGGGTTTGTGGTTGAGGGTGTAGAGTTCAAGGAGGGTTTGCACAAGGCCTGATTGACAAGCATCCAAAACTGCTGGTAGGACATGTGTTGTTCAGTCTTGTTGTGTCATGTGCTCTTGTGGGAGTTTCCGAAAATAGGGCCCCCTGATAGTAGTACCTTAAAAAATAGGATCATTGTTTTAAGGACCCAAAATAAAGTACCCCTAATTTTCTGAAACTCCCTTGTCGACTGCGAGAGACAACCAAACCACAAACACCCCCAAACCCTAAATCCGAAACGCCCTATAAGCCCTAAACCCAAAAACCTCAAGCCCCCTAAACCCCCCTGTCAGAAGCAAACCCAGTAGAGTTTTCCGACCTGACCGGTCCTTAAAGACAACCAGAAAAGCCGCAATTCATGATATGGGGGTTTCGGAAAATAGGGGACCCTAATATAGTACCTTAAATAGTAGGATCCTTATTATAAGGGCCACAAAATAAGGTACCCCTATTTTCGGAAACTCCCATATGAATAGCGCTGACATTACCTAAAACTGTGCTCGTCGACTTCTGACCCCTCAGATTGCCAATCCTTCTACATCCTGCACACATACAGAGCCGCAACCGGTTTAGGGTTTAGGGTTTAATCCCTTAAACCCTGGAAGCCCTTATTATGGCTGTATAATGAAGGATTGTGGCCGTCAGTCGGCCCAACACTAAATCGCTGAGGCAGCCACTGCAAGACAAAGCACGGATTCCTTTTGAGGCGCGATCCTGGCATCCGGTGGTTAGGATTCACCCTAACTTCTCACCCCTATAGACCCTAACCTCTGAACCCTAAACCCCAAACCCTAAACTTATCACCCCTATGCACCCCAACCCTAAACCCCAAACCCTAAACTCACGAACCCTATATTAGGGGTTTAGGGTTTGGGGTTCAGGGTTTAGGGCTCAGGTTGTAGGATTTGGGGGGCTTACCTAGACCCCCCAACTACCCTTCATTCTACCCCCCCCCCCCCCCCCCCCCCCCGCCCATATATTAAGGTAGCCTGTCGCTTTTTGGGTATGCATGTGTAGAATTCACGGTTGCTCAAGGATTTCGGCGGAGGGGGGGTGGCCGAGTTTAGATTTGTCAGGTGGTTGGCACAACATGAAGCCAATGAATGCGACGAGCCACATATTCAGGCCAGCAAACCCATTTTGGGGCTTGAGGGGTTATGGCTGTTGGGTTTGGGTTTTCGTGTTTGGGGTTTTGAGTCTTGTCCATACACATGCGATGCTGTCATGGAAAGCCTTCGAAACTGGTGGAGGGGTCAGCTTTCTTATATAGTGCTCCTCCTCATGCCCTTTGAGCACAAGGAATCCCAGCTCCTGAACCTTAATGTAGCGTACTGTAAGTTCAAACCCTCAGCGCTGAGCACGTTGCTTTAAGACTTCAGCTCGAAGCCAAATCCTGAACTCTAAGTTCAGACCCCTGAACACGAAGAAAAGCTTGGAAAATCCGTAAATCTGTAGCGAAGCCTGCGACAAGCAGAAGAAACCCGGTAACCCACTTCTTAACCTATCTAAAGCCCCAATTGCAAACTTCATAAGCACGATAGGTCCGTGGTAAACCCTACACTGGAAACCACCCAAAAAGCGCAAAATACTAGCCCAATACCTATAGACGGCTGTTATTCTGCGTACTTCTAGGGTCTACCTGTTTCCCCCAACCCTGCAAAATAGCAGGCCATGACCCCTTAATTAGAAGTAGCCCTAAGGGTCCAAGTACCTAATAATCATATACTCTCCAAAATCCTAACCTACATAACTACTACCCCAACCGAATACCTAATTATTGGGTCCTTTGGACCCTTGGGGTAGAGGGTATAACCCTGAACATGGTAGGTTGGATCCCCAGGCAGGTAAAACCCGGCGAAGGCCTTTCCACCGCTTTCCCGCCGGTCGTGGAGCCCGGTAAGGCCCAGAAGCAGAGGGTCCCCCCTGGCTGAGCCGAGTTGACTTTTGGGTTTTTATAAAAACATTTTTTTGTTTTTGTTTTTTATAAAAACAGTTGACTTTTGGGTTTTGGGGTTTAGGGGTTTTAGGGTCTAGGGTTTAGGGTGTCGGGTTTGGGGTTTATACTGCTTGGGGTTTAGGGTTTGGGGCTTGGGTTTACGTTAGGTTTCGCAGTTTAGGGTTTCGGCTTTCGGCTTTCGGGGCTACGCGCTGCAGGATTTAGGGCTTGTACGGGCGTTTGGGATCTACCCGTGCCTGAGCAGTCTTGGGCTTTAGGGCATTATAGAGTTTAGGGTTTAGGATGCAGGGTTCAGGGTTTAGGGGGTTTGGAGTTTCAGGACTGCTTCAGGTTCCGCAGTTGGTGAGCGTCGCTTTTGGTGCCCTAGCTGGACACAGGTCGTCAGGGCTTGGAAAACTGGGCTTTGGGGAAACCCTAAACCCTAAACCCTAAACCCTTAAGAAAACTGGGGTTTGGGGGTTCAGGGGTTGAGGGGCTTAGGGTTTGGGGTGTAGGGCTCCGGACGCAAGGCTTCCGGGCCGAGGGGTGTAGGGCTTGAGGGTTCAAAGGGCAGCATGCTAATGTAGGGGCCCCAATCATTACCAATACTATTTTGGGAGTTACCTTATTATAAGTATAGTAAAATGGGCACCGAAGACCTATTCCAATCATTCAGGCGCCTATATTAAGGGTTTCTAGGACTCCTTGTTGGAAATTGCTCCTCGCACCGCCAAGCCCGGCGGGTCCGCGCTTGTCTCCAGAAAGAGCGAACCTCACCGAGGGATTCGTGTTCAGGTTTACTTACCTTTGGTTAGTAGGGAATGGAGGAATGGGGTACAATTATAACTACTACTACTACTACTACTACTACTACTACTACTACTACTACTACTACTACTACTAGACTACTACTGCTGCTGCTGCTGCTGCTGCTGCTGCTGCTGCTACTACTACTACTACTACTACTACTACTACTACTACTACTACTACTACTACTACTACTACTACTACTACTACAATTCTTCCATTCCCTACTAACCAAAGGTAAGTTTAGGGTTCAGGCTTTAGGGTGGTGTGCTTGCGGCTTAGAGAGTTTAGGATAGTAGAGCTCTTGAAAGAATCTGGCTTTCTTGCGGTTTTGGGGTCCATATAATAAGGATCCTACTAGCTAGGGTACTATATTAGGGTCCCCTATTCTCGGAAACTCCCATTTGGGCCTGAATTGAGGCAAGCAAGGACGCAACTTTGATGCCTGATCTCCTCATACCCCAAGACGAACCCTTAAATATAGAACTTTTGGGGAATCCGAGCTCCTAAAGAACATGCAGCTTCTTTTTCAAACGGTTTAGGGTTTGGGGTATAGGATTTAGGGTTTAGGGTTCTACCTTACATAGCTTGCGGCCAAAGTGCAGCAAGTCGTTGGCGCCAACCTACTTCCTGCTAGAACATGCAGTTTGCGAGCTGAGAATCGACTCCCTTGAGAGCAGACGCAAGCATGCCCGATCAATTCCTTGAAAATGAGATCATCAACACAGCAAACCCATAGACCACCAGCTGAGCTGGCAAAAGAAACATCGCCAATCCCGGAAACTCCGGAATCGTTGGCTCCGGACCCTAAACCCTAAACTCCAAACCAGAAAGCCCGAAACCCAAAACACATAAACCCTGAACCCTTAAAGCTCTAAACCTGCCTAAACCATAGAAACCCTAAACCCTAAAGCCCGAGAAAACCCTGAAACCTAACCTTGAAACCTTCAAGAGCTACGAGACGAAAATGCCCAACCCAAACCCTGAAACCTTAGAAATCCCTGAACCCTGACATTCAAAACTGAAAAACCCTAGAACCTCTGAACCCCTGAATCCTAGCGCCGACAGCAAAGCATCTGGGCTCCCCGGCCCGCGGAGAAGAACTAAGGCCGAAGGCTCTGCGTGATGCTCCTGAGGGCCCAGAAAACAATGTGGAAAGGGCTATGGGTCTAAGGCTTAAGATTTCGGGTCGCGGGATTTGGGCCTAAAGATTTAGGATTTTAAAAGGTTTATAAGTGTTATGGGCGTGAGCCCAGAGACCTAGATTAAGACAAGCTGCCCGGGGCCGGGGCTATTGTGACGATCAGGCTTTGCCGCTTCTTTGCCTTCTGCCCCCAACTTGCTGCTTAGGTGTTTATACCGCATGTGACAAGTAGAAAACGATGCTTGCGCTGTACTCTCTATAATATTCCCAATGAAGGTACTTGCAACCAGAATGAGACTCAAGACTCTCTCAAAAAAATCCACACAATGTATCCCACCATGGCGTGTCTCTGTCAGGCTGGCCTGAAGTGCTATGTGCTCCCCCCACCCTGCCGGAAAGGCAACATCAAAATCTCCACATGGACCAGCAAATCGTGACTGCTGAATAAACCAGCAAAGGCATCGTGGCTACTGCGGCGTGATTTTCCCGCAATACTAAGGCCATTTTGCCCGACATTTAAACCCTAAAAGCCCCAAACCCTCGGAGCCATAAGAGCCCTATACATTCCTTCTAGACCCCGTGTAACAACCCTGCGAACAGCCCGCATAATGCCCGATAGAACTCTCAAGAGCCTGAAATAAAACCCTGAGCAAGACTGAAGAGTCCTGAATCCAGGAACCATCATTACATCGGCTCCCCTGGTATAGAAATACAAATACCGTCCCAATATACTTACGTTCTAATCTCCCCCCTTTAAACCCTGCTTAAAACTATTGAGGCCCCCAGAGTATAGAACCCTTGTAGTAACCCTTGTATAGCGCTTTCCTGGCCCCGATGTAGAATTGAATAGCCCAAAGCCCAAGACCTTAAACCCCAAACCCTAAACACCAACCATAAACCCCAAACTCTAAACCCTGCCGCCAAAGACCCCCCTCTGAGGTCCCTGTGAGATCCAAGGCTTTGCAAGGACTTGGGCTGCAGGGCCGTGACGATGCGTTCTGGCCATGGCAGAAGGATGAGGACCGGTTTAGGGTTTAAGGGCGCCTTGAAAGGGTTCGTTTAAGGGTTCTATACGGTTTTTAGTGTAAAAGGGCCATGTCAGCGCCTTTAAGGTTCTATACGGTTTAGGGTATAAGGGCCATGTCAGAAGGCTGAGGGCCGCTTCAAGGGTTTCGCTTCAAAGCGGGTTTAGGGTTCCTTTCAGAGCTCTGTAAGGGCTGTGGTCTGGAGCTTCGAGGGGGTTCAGGGTATAGGATATTCCTTAACCTACCAAACCCTACTTTTTTGTAGGGTCCCTGTAAACTTCATATTAGGGTTCATAATAAGAACCTACAAACAAGTAGGGCTTGGTAGGATAAGGTTGGGCTGAGGGTTTTGGGTTCAGGCGTTTGGGTTTGGGGGCTTCGGGCCGCACCTACAGTTTCTAGCCCTAGGCCCCAAAGTAGTTCCTTTTTGGGGTTCGTATATAGAATCCTATAGGGTAATCCCCAAAAGGAACTACTTTGGGGCCTATGGGTAAGCCTAATGCTCAGATAGCCTAAAAGCCTTAGATAGTATGGTCTTTGGGCCCAAAAGCCTCAAAATATGAGTCCTCAGAGCCTAAGGGTAGGGGTTTGTCGGGGCGCGAAATGCTGAGATATACGTATGTGGGTGGTTGTCAAAGTTGGGGTCCCTGTTGGCGGACCCTAAATAATAGGTGCCGTACTAGATTAGGGACCCAAAAAGTGACCATAATTTTGACAACTAACCATGTGTGCAGGGTCTATGGCGTAGTGCATCAGACTTTCGGCTTCGGATTCTAGGGTTAGGGCTGTAGGGTTTTGTAAGGGTTTAGGGTTTACAAGGGTTCAGGGTTTATAAGGGTTTAGGTTTTATGGTTTGGTGTTCAGGGGTTTGTGGTGATGTTACAGTCGGGCATGTACACAGTCCATTCTGTTGCGTTTTCGCCCTGGTTTGCAGTCATTTCTGCAGCTGCTTTTTTGTTTGGAGGGGTGTGTTCTAAGTTGATGGCTTCTGTAAGAAGTCATTGCAACCGAATGGTTAATTGAGCTGCAGGCTCCACTTGGAGCCTCGGCAGACTGCGTTATAGTAGGCTAGAATTAGAGTCCCCTAGTCTGGGATATCCGACTTGAAACTCTAATTCGAACTCTATTTGCAAAGCCCCTCCCCCACAAAGCTTGCTAAACGCAAGTGTACATATCCTTACTCTGTCAGCATCTGGACGAATCAAAGTACCTCAGTTCATCAATAGAAAAGGGTTTGCTGTAGTACAGGATGAAGATACCAGTTACAGTACGCAGGGACCGCATGGGTACGTTATTACGAACCGCTCAGACCTCTACATCATGTAATGGCGTGTCAGACATACTTCTGGGGCTGCAAGCATGCATGACTCATCAGCGCCTCTCTTCAGTTCCCGTGTACCCTCCGACTAAACCTTGCTGACCCTTAGACTATCAAACAGTAAGTGGCTCCTGCCTGTCGGGTGTCATGGGGATTTGATGGTTAACTTTTTTGTTTATATAGGAATTATATAGGGACTATACTACCCATAAACGGTTAAAGGTTACCTACTCTACTCCCATCGGCTGGGCCTGCTGTGCAAGCCACCACGATTCCTTCTGCGACAGCTACGCCTGTGACCTGCGAGGGGTAAGTTCCAAGCTTACCCTGAAGGTCCATGTACCCAAATAGTATAGTATACTTAGGGCCCAAGGTACCAATATAGGGGCTACTTTCAGGCCAAAGTATGTACTACTTGGGTACATGGACCCTTAGATTTAGAGCCCAGGACTTCTCGGTCCAAATGCCAAGTAAAGCTTCGAGTGTTAAGCACTGGAGGTTTCCAGTTTTTCTTTATCTGAAATACTAAACTAAACCCTCAACCCCAAAACCCTTTACATTCCTAAACCCTAAACCCCAAAACCTCAGACCCTTAACAACCCTAAACCACAAACCCCAGCGATGTTGCATGTGGGTAGTTGTCAAAATTAAGGTCCCTTTCTGGGTACCCTGAATAATAGGTGCCGTATTGTGATAGGGACCCAAAAAGGGACCTTGATTTTGACAACCACCCATGTGTCTCTTGAGTAAGTATGCTGCTCATGCGGATCCTCGGGGAGCTTGGAGGCTCGCAGAGGGTGGGGTCCCCGAGGACGTCGTGCCGTTATATGGGTTTAGCGTTTAGGGTTCAGGGTTTGATGGTTAAGGGTTTAGGGTTAAGGGTTTAAGGTTTTCAGGGTTCAGGGTTTAGGGTTTAGGGTTTAAGGTTTTCAGGGTTCAGGGTTTAGGGTTTAGGGTTTAAGGTTTTCAGGGTTCAGGGTTTAGGGTTTAGGGTTTAAGGTTTTCAGGGTTCAGGGTTTAGGGTTTAGGGTTTAAGGTTTGCAGGATTCAGGGTTTAGGGTTTAGGGTTTGAGGTTTTCAGGGATCAGGGTTTAGGGTTTAGGGTTTAAGGTTTTCAGGGTTCAGGGTTTAGGGTTTAAGGTTTTCAGGGTTCAGGGTGTAGGGTTTTCGGGTTTCGGGTTTAGGGGACACACCACACTCAAACCCGACGACGGCTCACAACAGACCTCTAAGATGGCATGACGCTTCGGCATGGCTCCAAGACGGCTGCATCCATCAAGGAACAACTGACACATGCAACGCGTCTGCAAGCTGTCCCCACTGCTCGTCAAAACCGAGCCTCAAGAGATGAAAACAAAACAACTTCGTCCCTACGTTCTTCGTCATCATGTCCGCAGGGTGGTCTCACCTTTGACCCACCGAAAGAACAAACGAACGCTCTCAGCCTGCAGCCTTAACCACGCAAGTCTGATTTCTATGTGCGTCGAACGTCGCGGAACGTCCTCGGCAGCAATCACATCCAGGCCTGTTTGGCTGTCTGACAGAACCTCCGTGTAGACAAGGCTCTCGCGCGTCTCCTCCTCATCGCCTTCTTCTAGTGCAGTCTGCAGCTGAAGTGGCACTCGCTCCTTCTCCAAGTCACCGAATGCAACCAACACGCTCTCCAGCAAGTGAGCAAACGCCATGCTCTCCTGTGCCATGTACTGGAGAGCATGGAGCTCTGCTTCACAAGATGAGAGGCACACGACTCCCTGAGTCTTGGACATAGTACACACCAAGCTTCTGGCAAAACAAATGGCCCCACCTGTGATTCCAGGACGGCCCAAGAACTTGTAGGACACATCAACAAACACGTGAACTCGACAAGCCAACTCTTCTTTGCTGCAAGACAAGACGACCTGCAAGACGTGCCTGTGACCGTTGCGGCAGTTAGGTAAAAGCATTCACCTAAATCCTGAATCATGACTTCGATACCAGCCGGTATTGAAAAACATGCCCGCGCACATATGAATAGTTGTCAAAATTAAGGCCCCTGTTTGAGTAACCTTGATATTAGGTGCCGTATCAAAAAGGCACCCAAAAAGGGACCATCAGTTTGACCACCACCCATGTAAGTGTGGGAGGCCCTTTCAAACTCTGTTGTTCCACATCCGCCCTAAACCCCCTAAATGGCATTGAACCATGAACGGACCTCAACACTATTTAAACGGCCCTCAACCCTAAACTCCCAAAGCCTCAAACGGCACTCAACCCAAAGGCTCAAAATAGCCCAAAAGCCGTATATGGTAGGGTCTTTGGGCCCAAAAGCCTTTAAAAAGGAGTCCTTAGATCCCTAAACCCTATAGATCCCTTTACAGGACCCCTTTATGGATCCCTTTCAAGGAGCCCTTTCGGAGTCCTTAAAGCCTAAGGGAACCCTTACTCATAGAAGCCGGGCTCCGCATACGCTGGGCTGCCGCACGCGACCCCGCAGCGGAGCGATGCCAGTGACCTGCCGAGAATTTTAGCCCTGGGCCGCCCCCGGGGCTCTCTTTAAGGGCCCTGCCAAAAGAGTATGATATGTTGGAAACACTTTTCTATATGAGTACGTTTTTTGCTGGATTGTGTTGTATTATAGTAGTAAGTAATACATTGTAGGTTATGACCCTTTAATTAGAGGGTATAGCCTTTAAAACAATAGGGTTTTGGATCCCCAGGTATATTATAGGGGTATTAAGAATGGTTACAACGCGGTTAAGCGCCTTGAGAACTTGGAACTAGAGACGGTTTAGGGTTTAGGGTTTAGGGTTCGGAAAGTCTATGGGGCCTTAATTAATGAATAGAAGAATAAAAGGGCCTCAAATATGTCGATTGGGTTTTGTGGACCCTTGTACCAAACTAGCAGCAGCAATCGGGACTACAACGAAATTCCGTTCGAAATTATTCGACCCGCTAAACCAGTCCGTCTTTCGAGGCTCCTTTCTAGGCTCTTCCAGGGGATCTATGCGGGTTCGATAAGTGTTTAGGGCTTACGGGTTTAGTTTCGTGCGTTGTAGTTCCTTGTTTCCGTTACCTTGCTGCCTGTATCAGTCGCAAGCTCCTAACCTTAAACATGGTCAACAAGTAATAGAAGTGCATTATATACGAGATGTATGGCTTACTGCAACATCGCCCAAAAACGGACAGCTGTTCACTATCAAGACCGACAGCAGCATCGGTGCCGTCACCTCCTTATTCACCATCTTCATCGTCGTCGCCATCGCAGCGGCAGAAGCAGCAGAACCCTCAAACATTCCGGGAGGCAATTGACAGAATAGGACTTGGCGGAGTACTTACCACAAACCTCGAAGCGGTTAGCCCGTTGTCTGCATCTAAAGCAAGTCTCGCGGCCTGTCGCGAGGTCGCTGTCACCAGTGTCACCGCCTCGCACACGCTATTTCGTTCGGGGTGGTGGCAGTCTGCACTTAGCTTCAGCCGCAGGTTCTTATTACAAACCCTAATGGCCCTAATGTGAATTTAATTTAGAAGGACCCTACGAACAAGTAGGCTTTGGCGGGTTAACGTAGACACCAACCAATTCCCTAAACCCTACTTGGAGGTTCATGGGTAGTTACAAAAGGAGTTATAAGTAGGGTAACTATAATTATAACCCAAATTATGGGACTTATAACTCCACTTATAACTGCCCATGAACCTCCAAGTAGAATCTAAAACCGGCGTAGGACCCAGGATTTGCACAGCCCAAGCCTGCTGGGTTCTACCGTTTTGGAGCTTGCGGGCTTCGGGAACTCAGACATTTGCGGGCTACATTCACCAGGATCTCAATCGGAATAGAACACAATTGCAATCGAAGGGCTTACGAAATATCGGAAAGAAAATGCAGAGCTTTGACAGCGTTACTATGCTTTGGTTTCCGGGGGCTCCTGGATGTAAGGGGGTTTAGGGTTTAGGGTTGAGGATTCAGGGTTTAGGGTTTAGATGAAAGCTTCAAGGTTTATGATCAGTTAGGTGCAGCTCAGAGGACTTCGTAGGTAGGCCACACGCAGAATTCAAATGGGATGCAATCAGGGTAGGAGTACCTGAACTCAGAAAACATAACTCAGAATACCAGCAAGAGCTGAAAGCGCTTCAGGTATAGTCTTTCGGCCGGGGATCTCTGACTAAGTATAAGAACTCACGGTCTAAGAACGCAAGCTCCCTTTAGAGCCTGGTTGGTGGCAACTGCGATGGTGCCATCCGGCAGCGCATCGGCGACATGGGAGATGTACCTGACGTGAACATGCCTTAAAGTAACCATGGCCGTTTCAACGATGCTTCCATCGAGTTTCGTATCGAACCGCCCGCATCCGCCCGCTCCCGTATCGAACCTACCCGATCTGCAACATCTCGGACCGCACGTAACCGAAGCGAACCTCCCACCTCCCACTTCCCCTCACCTTCCACCTCTCCTCCTCCCACGCTCCACCTCCCCTCCCACCTCCCACCTCCTCCCACCTCCCACCTCGCCCCTCTCCCGCCTCTCCCACCTCTCCCACCGCTCTCCTACCTTTCTCCCCGTCCCTCCTGCCACCTCCTTCTTTTTTCGGATTTCTAAAAGGGTGTCCACAAGGGGGGCTTAAGCTTTCGGGCTTGAGCGGCGAAGGCCTTGAATCCGAAGGTTTTGGGGTTCAGATCTTTGGGTTTAGGGCTTCGGATTTAGGGTTTAGCGTCTTAGCAAGCTAAGGCCTAAGGGGATTCAAAAATCGATACTACTCATATACTTATAGCTGTACTATAATGCTACTATAATATACAGCAAGACCTCACTTAATTGATACGTCCCCTATACTAGATTCCAACTTTGCGTCTATGGTGCATGAGGGTATAAAGTTTGAGAGTAGCGTTGCTGCAACCCCAAGAAGGTAGTCTGCAGGTGAGGTTGTCCGGTGGGCCTTTTATGTCCAGATAAATGCTTTAAATCATATACCTGCAAACAACCAAGAAACCTTGGACATAGGTATTGGAGCGCCCCTGGACCTAAGCGCAACTTAACCCAAAGAACAAACTACGGGTCATAAGGGAGCCCGTTCTTTGCCTGCAACCGACGCCCAAATCCACTTTCGAAATTGGGCCCACAAAACTTGGCTTTTTCTTAGGGTTCCCTTCCCGTCACCAACCAAGCAGCCCTGAGCCCTAACTAACCCTAAAACCAAAGCTTAAAAAGCCCAAGCCCCGAAATCTAAAGCACATCTCTGTCACTCTGCTCAAGATCTGCGACTTGGATTCGACTTCGTCTTTGCGATGGGCACTTCGCACAAGGACCATTCCCCTGGTCTTCCACTTGTGTTTCACGCTTGCCTTCAGAAAGCAAGAGGAATTTCGGCAGAAGACCAGGCGCTTGTCGCCTTCCGTCACTGCAGATCGTGCTGATCCCAAAAGGGTCCAAGTATCATTCCGGTATGTTATTTTGGGGGTCTAAGTACACACCATAATAGTACTTGGACCCTTTGGGGATTGATTGGTTGGGACGGCTCTTCCTCAGCCGGCCCCTTCTTTGAACCAGTTGACGAAGCCGAAAGAGGGTTTCGGGTAGGGTTTAGGGTTTCGACGAAGGCGAGGACAAGGTTACTAATCCTTATGGAAAACCATTTCAATACCACTTAAAGTAACCTTGTAGAACCCTTATCGTAGCCCTTGTAGAACCCTTAAAGAGCGGCTTGCACAAACCCTAAAGATACCCTTACCCTAAGGCTCCAAATAGCCCAAAGTAGGTACCATTTATAGACTTTAGAGCCCAAAGTAGGTAGTATTTGTATACTTGGAGTCTTAGGGTTATGCAAACCATGATAGAACCCCTTGTAGAACCTTTTGAGAAGCCTGAGGGCAACTCTAAGATGCCGGCATCATCCCATCAAACCTTCCCTCGGCAAAGCTCTAAACCCCTAACCTTCACCCGAAAACCCCTAAGCCCCTAAGCCCTAAACCCTAAAGCGCCCTAAACCCCAACCCTAAACCCTCCTGTGCGCAGGGCCTCCTAAGGCTAAGACTCAATTCGGACTCGAACGACGGTGCCAAAGCAAAATGTTCGGCCTTACTCAATTTGGAAAAAGTTGTTTGTTGAAGAGTGCTTTATACGATAGGTATAGATGGACTATGATCAGCCGAAAAACCATTCAAGCAATATACTAGACCAAACACCAAAGCCGCAAGCGCTTTTAGGGTACACGATTTAAATGTGCTCCATAAACCCTCGCAGTTTTGGCGTCTCCCTAAGGCCCTAAACCCTAAACTCCTACATTCTGAAAAACCCTAAACTCCTGAAAACCCCGACACCGTAAAACCCTCAACTCCTAAACCGCAACCTTAACCCTAAACTCCTGAAACCCTCTTAACCTCCCTAAGGGTCCAAAGTGCCAATATAGTAGAATGTAGGGTTCCTATATTAGGAATTACTAGAATGATTTGGGGAAGTAGTTCCCACAGCAGTACCTAGGACCCTTAGAGCCTTAAGGAGTCTCCGATCTGGTGGCACCAGTTGGGCGAGGTTGGAAAGAGGATCTCGGAAGAGAGCATGGCGTTCCCTCGGCAACAGGCACGGGGTGTAGGGATATTGAGATCTAGGAGTTTAGGGCTTTAGGCTTTTAGGGCTGCAAGGATTACACGGAGATAAGTGAGATAAGTAACCCTAAACCCTAAACCCTAAACCCTAAGATAAGTGTTAGGAGTTTAGGGGTTGGCTTCACCTTGTCACAGGCAGCAAGTTTATGGTGCAGGCTTTAGGAGTTTACCGCTGTAGGGACTGAGGGTGTAGAGACAGAAACGCAAAACTCTCCTGTCTACACCCTAAACCCTAAACCCCAAACCCAAAAGCCCTAGCCCCAAAACCTACATTCTGCACCCCCAGCCCGAATCCCGAGTTCAGAACCCAAGCCCGAAACCCAAAGCTGCCACAACCCCTAAGAGATAAACCCCAAATCCCCGACCCTGAATCCTAAACTCTAAAGCTCGCTATTGCCTACTCTTGTTCATGGTTGGGATAGACTCAAAGAACTCGATTTGTACTCCATTTTGAGCGTAAGTACCCATAGCTGTTACCCAACTATGGCCAAGCGCAAACGCAGGCTGGGGCTAAATCCTTACCATAGCCCGTACAATAACCCCAAACCCCTAGAGTAAAACTGATGCTCACCCCCGTAGTCCCTAAACCCTAAACCCCTTTCTGGTAGCCCAAAACCCAAGGCCTAAGGCCAGCACGCTCTCCGCGCAGTGGCAGGGCCACGCGGCAGTCATGAGTGGCGCTTGTCTTGGGTTCGGTCTAGGGGTTGGGCTTAGGGCTTGGGGTGTGGGGCTTCGGGGTTTAGGGTTTAGGGTTTAATTAGGGTTTAGGGTGCAGGGTTTAATTAGGGTTTAGGGGTTTAGGGCTTTGGGGTAAGGGTTTAGCGCTCACGACTAAAGGGTTAGGGTTAAGCAAAAACCCGTTTCAGGGCTTGCATGCCCAAGGCTCTAAAAGCAATCGAGGGCTTTGTGTTTACGGCTCAAAGGTTTTATGGCTGAGGATTTACGGTTAAGGGTGTAGGATTTCAAGATCAGTGTGTTGGGGTATTGCTGGGCTCACGGCTCTAGCTTGTTCGCGATTCGCAAGTGGGAAGAAGCTTTCCCGCAGCTGAAAGTTGGGCTTTTGGGTTTCAGAATGTTGTTGTCAAGGTTCGTGGATCTTTGCCATTTTCTGCTGTACCCAAAAGCTGCGTGCAAGCACTGGTGCTGCGCTTGTGGAGCCCGAGTTAGGCTGTTGCATGAAGACAGTTGAATTTGTAAGTCTTGCTCCTGACAAAAAACTGTACCTGCCGCACTAGCGTGTGTGAGTGAAGAGTTGCACTTGAAGGCTACGGATAAAAAGGTGGCAGGTGTCAGAAACAAGTCGTAGTAAACACCTGAACTGCAAACTACTCAGTCTTTAAACCCTAAGCCCTTGACCCTAAACCATGAAGAAGTCTTTGGCCTCATTGCAGAATCACAAGGCTCGTAAGTACAGTACACTTGCCCCAAGGGTCCAAAGGCCCAATATTAATTAGGTAGTTTAGGACAGTAGCTATGCAGGTTACTATTTGGGAGAGTATATGATAGTTAGGTATTTGGACCCCTAAATTAAGGCTCGTAGAGAGCAGCATACTTGTGCATGGTATGATCGCCGTCAGTTACGGTGCCCGTCTTTCCCAAGTCCACTCATCCTCCAACTAGGACACCCAGGCTCTAAACCCTAAACGGGCCTAAACTCGAGACCCCCAAGTATGTGACCTAAATCTGAAGCTAATACCGTAATATCTTTCTCTCAGCTTCCATCAGCTATCTGCATCAAAACGATGCATCCTCTACAGACCTCACCTCCTGCATCGTCCAAAAATCATAAACCTTTTTTCTGCGAAATCCAGGGCCGATAGACGCCGCTGCACTTTCGACAGCGGGGCCCTTGATGCTGAAACTGGCACAGGGCGGTGATCCTTGATCCTGAACGCTCGGATAAGTGTTTAGGGTTTAGGGCTTAGGGTTTAGGGTTTAGGGTTTAGTGTTCAGGGTTAGGGCTTAGGGGTCTTTGTTTTGCGGCTTGGGGTTATGTAAGGGTTCAGGGTTGAGGCGATTAAGGGTCAGGAGCTTGGGATCCAATCCTACACCCACTGGAGCCCTACGGTTGATAATATACATCCTGGACTACCTGAATGACCCCATACTGTGGTACATTCCTTATTATGGGGAATGCAGGATTTATGTCATCAAAGGAAGCCCTCCAGAACCCCTCGCACATAATGTTGCCTTTGCCTACCTTCGGGACGAAATGATCCCTAAAAGGGTTAAAGGTTCACATACCATATAAAGGGATTCATAGTATCGGGGTATTAGGTCGGGCTTTGCTTCGGAGGTGGGATATGAACAGTTCCCCAAACTCTGAATACTAAACTTACACCCTCAACCCTAAAACAAACCTACAAACGATTTATGGCTTGAGTGATTCAGGCTCTGGGGCTCTCTGGGCTTTAGTGTTAAGGGCAATAAGAAAAGTCCTAAACCCTAAACCCTAGACCTTAGATTCAGATTTTGGGGTATAGGGGACATCCAAAGGGTATTGGTTTCCAAGGCCCACGACCACATCAGGGTTTGTCGCTTGGCGTGTTGGGATGAAGGTTTAGGGTTTAGGGATTGAGGTGTTGAGGGCTCAGGGTTCAGGGATCCACTACGCGCCCGCGCCACTATGTACAACCTCTGGGAAGCTTTGTGCGAAGAAGACTTTGCAGCTTAGGGTATACAAGTAGAGATATCCATTTCAGAAGCTTTTGCTACCGAGAATGAGACCATAGCTCAGTCAGCTAACCGGGAAGTACTAGGTGCGTCGGTGCTTAGGGCTTAGATTGTGATGGCAGAGCAGACTGCTCAAATACTTCGTGTTCTGAAACCCCAGTAGCCCTGACGGATTTCGCCAGCAGGCTACTTCGGGATCGTGGGCGCCTGGGTGCGGGCAGGTTTCCACTGGAAGCTTCCATTAATTAAAGGTTCTTGATGATTGGATTTAAGACCTGCTTAGGGTATAAGCCCAAAGAGGTTTAACTATCATCGTAATGTGCATTATGAAATCCCAAAACGTGGAAGTTAACTTAATTACTCGGCTGCAAGCAGGACGATGCCCATAGCTGCAGTTGGCGATGGCCCAACTACGGAAGTTTAAGGTCCTCCATCATGACTGCAACTCAGAATCCCTAAAAGCTAAACCACAGCCCCTGTTCCCAAACGATGACATGTTATGGGCACCGATCCCCTTTACCTAGCAGGCTCTTAGAACCGAAACAAAATCTCCTAACGACAAGCCTTGCAGGACCTAAGCAGAACCGCTGTACACTATGAAGCAAACTGAATCCAAAACCATCTAAACAACGTGCAGAAAACAAGTTCGAAAGCCCCGAATTCCTGTTTGAAAAAGTATACTTCACGTTGGCGCGATATATCTGAAAACACTAGTCTAAGCACTGAGGCCACAACATTGGCACACGCAGCCTTAAACTCTTCTTGCACAGCGCTTCGCGGAACCCTAACCTATTTGGCGAGGACATTGCATCAGAAAACCATTATATATAGTAAACACCTCTAGATCCTTACAAGAACCCCTGAAGAAACCTTATATCCCTGTGTTCAACTCTTTCACAGAAACCCACACCCCTTAACCTCAAAACCTAAACCCTATAGAGTTTTCACCCTGATCCTTAAAACCTAGGAGCCGAGAGCCTTAAACCCTCAACTCTAAAGCCCTGGACCCCAAACCCTACACCCCAAAACTCCTTTGACAGCAACAACGCCTGAAACCCTTATAAACCCTAAGGCCTCAAAGCTGGGCTCCAGACCACCTTAAACTTGGACATGTCCAAGATGCGGCCGGTTTCGCGACGGTACTCCTGAACGGATTGAAGCTTCCGGGGTTTAGGCGTATACTTGGAGGGGCAGGGGACTTAGTAAGTAGGTTATAAGTAGAGTTATAAGTACCCCAACTGGAGTTATCCCAATTATGACCCTACTTATAAACGACTTACTAAGTCCCCTGCCCCTCCGAATAAAAGATGTTGAAAAGTCAATGATTTCAGGGGACCAGGGCTCAGGAGATCCGGGGTTTGGGGGTTAGGGGCGTAAGGGTTCAGGGATTCGGGTTTTAGGGTTCGGGGTTTCGGGCATGGGGTATAGGATTTGTGGCTCAATGGTTTAAGGGGGTAGAGTTACTATACGGGCATTAATTGGAGCTGGGCTCCTCTTGAAAATCGTTATTCTACAGGACTTGAACCTGGGCTTGGGGTGTGCTAATGGAAGCATAAATTCAAAGTAACCAAAGCGGCCGGGAATCTATCTATTGGGAGTTGATAGGGTTGATCGAGGGTCCAGGGTTTTCGGGGTCAGGAATTTTGGGCCTGCCTTTCTTTTTAGAGGCCCAGCCCCTAGAAAATGCAGGTGCTGTTAGTTACTGCACGGGTTCAGTGGAGCGTATACGGCTGCGGGCTCGGCCTTCAGAAGTTGCCACTGTCGCTACACTCACACCCGCAGATCGAAACCCAGAACCATCCAAACCGAAAGGATCGACTTTGAGGCTTCCCGTCTGCAGCGGCCTTATACGCCAATTGCAACCTGTGCAACGCTCCAGAGGCATTTTATGGCGCCTCTACTGTTCAAGCTTTAGCAAAGCCCTTTGGATCGACAAGCTTAGGGCGGAGAGCTGCAGTCCCGCAGTATTGAAGTCATCAAAGGCCACCCTGGCAGCTGCTAGCCGATCAAGAGGGCGAGCCTGAATCTTCTCGATCATCTTCTGTCCACGCCAGTCTTCAAGTTTGGGTTTTTGGAGCACGGTCACTAAGTACACTTCGGTGAAAGGGGAGTCGATGGAAACATCAGAAGACTTCAGCTCATCATATGCCGCGAGTACTTGCGGCAAGGGCGCAGTAGCATAGGCACCAATCAGGCATGTGGAGGCCGCAATGTTCGGCTGCAGGCCCAGGTCCAACATATGCTGAAACAAGAACTTTGCTGCATTGTGGCTTCGACCTTCAGCTTCCCAGCATGCACGGATAGCGGATGTAACGTGTGCTACGTTGGTTCTGGAACCGGGTGTGTGGTTTAGCAGATCCAGAACTTCCGCCGCTGTCTCCACATCTCCTTCGATCGCAGCTGCATCGAGACGTGCGCCCGCCAAGACTTCATCCAGAGGACAGGTGTGCAGAGCCTCAGTCCAGATTTGCTTCACGGCTTCTGCTCGATTCAGCCTGGCATGAATTTTCAATGCAGCCGAGAAGGTGGGAGACGTCTTGGATATGTTCAGGTTGCATGCCTTTGCGTACACAGCAGCACCTTGCTTAAACTGGCTGCAGTTGACAGCAATGTGCATGACAGCATTGAATATCTGAGTCTCACTTCCTCCGTAGGTACCAAAAAGCTTCCGAACCTTCAGCCAATCGCCGCGGCTGCCGGCTTCCGATATGTCAGACAAGAGGATTTGGCTTTCCCGGCTGAGGAAGTTGCCAGGCTGCCATGCACGAGTGTGAAATGCAAGCCCAGCATTCTCTCTGACTACGCTCAGTGGTGTCTGTTTCTGTATGCCGAAAGCGACGGAGGAAAGATGAAGGAATGCAGCCACCAGGGTGAACTGAATCCCTCGCTCCCTGCGACCACTCTGGGAAATGAGGCGCGCCATCAGCCGCTTGCTCGGATCTTCCTGTATCGGGTTTGGGGCTCCTGCTGGCGTTAGTTGAAACCATATCCTTGCCTGCTTGTCGGGTATCATGGGGAACTCACGGTTAACCTTTTTGGTTATATAAGGAATAAATAAATAAATATATATATATATATATAGGGAATGTACTACCCAAGAATTGTTAAAGGTTACCTACTCTACTACTATCCTTGCGAATCGAGCGGCACCTCTCGTCATCTTTCGTCCCGAGGGTTCTCTCTCACACGATTGCGGCTCGGAGTTTAGGGCAACCGGGCTGACTCGAGAACGGGGTTGAGGTCGCAGGATTGAACGAGGTTGTTTGCTTTTTTTTTTGGGGGGGGAGCGGAAGATGCGACTTGGGAATGCCCGAAAAGCTGCTCATCTGCTGAAACCCTGCGCATGAATCTTAACCAAAAAGCCGATCACGGTAGAACCACGGCCCTAAGCACTGAACGTCAGTAAACTCATGGATATCTGGACCCCCAAAGTATGCAGAATGACGGCCTGTTTAGAGCTCTTGCGCCATGATTTTGCCTACCTTTGGGGGGGTCTAGGTAGAACATCATCAAACCCTAAACCCTAAACCCTAAACCCTAAACCCCTAAACCCTAAACTCTAAACCCCTAAACCCCTAAACCCTCAACCCTCAACCCTAAACCCTAAACCCCTAAACCCCTAAACCCCTAAACCCTCAACCCTAAACCCCTAAACCCTAAACCCCTAAACCCCTAAACCCTAAACCCCAAAACCCTAAACCCTAAACCCCTAAACCCCTAAACCCTAAACCCCTAAACCCCTAAACCCTAAACCCCTAAACCCCTAAACCCTAAACCCCTAAACCCCTAAACCCTAAACCCCTAAACCCCTAAACCCCTAAACCCTAAACCCTCAACCCTAAACCCCTAAACCCCTAAACCCCTAAACCCCTAAACCCTAAACCCAACAACCCAACAACCCCTAAACCCCTAAACCCTAAACCCTCAACCCTAAATCCCTAAACCCTAAACCCCTAAACCCCTAAACCCTAAACCCAACAACCCCAGACCAGCCCTGAACCTTATACTTCTCAAACCTCTGCATCCATGAAGATCCAGACTTTTGGGAGGATCTAGAAAGTAGATCCCCTAATTTTGGGGCCCTATGCTACTAAGGGTACATTATAGGAACCCCAACTAAGAGATCGGAGATATCAGCTCCCAGCCCTGGATGCAGAGACCCCCGAGAGATTTTTGCGGTCTCTCTCAGGTTTCGCGTGGAAGGTTTCAAGGGTAGGGCTCAGGGTGTGGTGTTGATACCTCTTCATAGGGGCCCTCTTACAAAAAATATTATACGGAAGCCCCAAAATCTTGTAGGCAATTATTTAGGCCCCTAAAGTACACACTTAGCCCCGAATTTTCTGCTGCACCACAAACCCTGAAGCCGAAACCACACTTCAACAACAGTCGAGTCGAGCCTGCAAGGCACTGTCTCGCTGAACCTCCATCTCTTCGATGCGCTTTCGTGCCTGCGGCCCCTTTTGCTTCGGAAATGTGAAGGTTTTGTGTCTTCCTTACCTGCACTAACCCCAAACGAGCTAGAAATACTCGGTGTTGGTGCAACGAAATATCCGGACGCGGCATTTCCGGCAGTCCACGATTTTTCTGTGGCGGCGCCCGAAACCCTGTTGCAATCACTCAAGCCGCAATATTCAAGGCTTGTGGGTGCCGGACTGGCATAGGTGCAAGCCCTGACTGTACTATATCGATACATAGGAACCCTTGGGTAATGAAACCAAGCCTGAAGCCCAAACCCCAGAGCTACGCTAGAGCAGGGAGTTTAAGCTGTAGGATGTAGGGTTTAACTGAGCTTTATAGGGGTTTGGGGGCTATGGCTTCCCTGAAAGCAGCTCAGGGCTGGGCGCGGCGAAGATCCTCCTCAAGTTCTCGGATGTGACCATCCTTTCCCTCAGGGCTTTCTTTTGGTTGGGAGTTACCGGTTTAGGGTTTGGGGCTTCTTAATTGCCCTCAGTGGCTTGAGTCGGGGCTTCATGGAGGCTTTCACAAACGTCTAACGGTGCGCTTCTAGCTTCATAATGCGTTTCATAAGAGCTTACTAAAGGCCTCAGGGTTTAGTAGGTGACTTAGGCCATTTGAGAAGCCGGATCACGGTTACATTGATCTTGTATGCAGGACCATGTAGCCACAGTCCACTACCTCTCGGTCCTGTATGGAGTATATCGTATACAGAACATCTGCACGGTTGATGATATAAATCCTGCATTACCCATAATAAGGAATATACCATAATTCCCATAGTTTAGGGTCCTTAAGGTAATGCAGGATTTATATCATCAACCCTAAACCCTAAATCCCTATAGATCCCTTAAAAGGAACCCCATTCAAGGTACCCTTATAGATCCCTTTAAAGCGCATCAGACGCCAGCAGCGCTGCCTCGATGACACGGAGTAGCTCCTGTCTTTGAACCTCTCGCTGGGCCATGCTTGCCTCCACCTGTGCCCAGACCCCCGGGAGGATCTAGAAAGTAGATCCCCTAATTTGGGGCTTTAGGGTTTCGGGTTTAAGGGTTTAGGGGTCTAGGGGTTTAGGGTTTAGGGTTTAGGATCTAGAAAGTAGATCCCCTATTTTGGGGCCCTATACTACTAAGGGTACTTTATAGGAACCCCCATTAAGGGATCTACTTTTTGGATCCTTCCAGGAATGGGTGGGTGTCTGTGTTTAGGGTTTAAGACTTTTTAAGCAGGTTTAGGGGCTAGGGGAGCTGTGGAGGCAAAGAGGCTTCTGGTTCACCGGGACAAGGGCGGCTGCTTTCAGCCGTTTAGGTGCCTTCACCAAAAGCATAAACAGTAGGCCTTCCTCAGGCCATGGTCTAGGGTTTAGGGTTCAGAGGTTGTAGCACAGTTCACTAAAACCCAAAACCCTAAACTCGAAACTTGGTGGGATCACCCATCTTACGGCTTGCGTCTCATGAACTCTAAGTTGGACGGTTTAGAAAGCCATGATCAACCTAGGCTTTGACCCTCGTCCCGTTGAGTTTTATGGGGCGTAGTGTTTGGCAAAGGCACAATAGCCGGAAATGGTTTTCGGTCGGGGTTCTTGTTCAGAAGTTGAGTCGAGCTAAGGGTGTGTGAAAGGTTTTGTGTCTTAAAGTAGAAGCCAGAAAGTTGGAACATGGCTTTAGGAGGATTCGTGCTAGGATCCATTATACTTTACCTTTGAGGGCATGGGGATAATGATATTCCAACTTTCTGGCTTCCTAGGGTTGATCAACGAGTTTTCTTAAGGCTTACCCTCGTGGGCATTCTGGAGCTTCCGCCAAGTCTTGAACGGGGCCTGAGCCGTAAACTCTTAAGGTCCAGCTCAAGCTATAAGCCCCGAACCCAAACCATAACCTGAAACGATCCTTTCTTGATAACAATGGAAGCTCCTCAACGCCTTAGCCCAGTTTGTTCCACAGAAAGCAACGACTGTCTGGTGCTTAGTAAGGAATGGGGGAATGGATCCCCATAGTGGCCCCAATGATAGTCCCCATAGTCCATTCCCCCATTCCCTACTAAGAACTAGACAGATGATTGCACTGCAGACCTTCACAATACGATCCCGCTGCTCGTTGAAGCTGTCCTGGACAGAACAGAGGACGACATGCTTTAAGTCACGTGAGCGAGGCTTACAGTCCAGCGCTACCTGCCGATATTCCGAAACCTGAACCCTAACCATAAACTTAAACCCTGATCTCGGGAATGGCTGGTATTAGTCATTTTACGGTTTCGAATTTTGGGAATTTAGGTTTAAAAGTTAGTGTTAAGGGGCTTATTGGTTCGGGGGTTTGGGGTTCAGGCTTTAGGGTTTGGGTTTAGGCGTTTAAGGTCACGGACCAAAGAAACCTCAACCTTGCAAGGACACCGGCGAATACCAGCTCCAGCCCGAAGGCCATTAGGAAATCAATAGTTTAGGGTTTAGGGTTTAAGGTTTAGGGTTTAGGGTTTCAGGTTTAGGGCGTGTCTTTGTCCCATAGTAGGGTTCTTTAATACAGGGCCTTAACAATTAGAAGAGGGTTTTGGGGCCCATTATACTATAGAAGGAACCCCGAAAAGTGTATTGGTAATTATTTTGGTCCCTACAGTAGTCTTGAAGGATGCAAATAAACGCTTACCAAGATTGTGCACCAAAAGCTGGCTATAAACCCTACTCCATGACCCCAATGTAGGAACCTGATTAAGAAACCCTGGGTCTTTATCAGGGAGCCTTTTATGAATCCTACTTTGCGGGGGTTATAGGGCCAGGGTTTCTTAATCAGGTTCCTACCCTGCCCTGCGAGTCCTGGATGGACCTTCTCGCCGCCATGGTTCTCAAGTACCTCATGGAAGAGACCGCTCTAAAGGGGAGTTCCCGAAAACTGGGAGGGGGAACCTTAGTTTGGGGTCCTCATAATAAGAATCCTACTATTTGTTGTACTATATTAGGGTCCCCTATTTCCGAAACTCACACATGTAAAGCATTAATCCCTAAATCAACCATCCAACCTAAACACAAGCCCCAGACTCCGAATTTCCCAATACCCGACACCAACAAACCACAGAAGCCCTGAACTAAATCTTGAAATACGGTTGGTGACATAAATCCTGCATTACCTTAATGACCCGAGATTATGGGGATTGTGGTATTATTCCTTATTATGGGTAATGCAGGATTTATATCCCAAAACCCCAAAACCCTATAGATCCCTTAAAGGAGCCCCTTAAAGGTACCCCTATAGATCCCTTAAAGGAGCCCCTTAAAGGTACCCCTATAGACCCCTTTAAGGGAACAACAGTAGGATCCCCCAAACACCCCTCCGGCACATCGTCTCCACCTTCTGCAGCTCCACCTCTTCAGTGATTCGAAGATATGGACCCCTCAAACCATACAAGGTAAACCGGGGTTTAGGGTTTAGGGTTTAGGGTTTATAGGGTTTAGGGTTTAGGGGGTTAGGATACCCAGTAACCTAAGAATAAAAAGGCCTCTCTTTTTGGTATTGGGTAACTTTATAAGGAACCTGGGACTACAAAAAAGGAATAAGGGTACTACTGGGCATCCTAGAAGGTAAGCCCCGAACAAATGCAAACTTTGCCCAAAACCATACACCCTAAAGCCTAAACCCTAAACCCCACCACTCAAGCCCAGAACCGAAAATCTGAACCCCTTTTCCTACTGGGCTCAACTCTGGCCAGTCCTCCAATCGAAGGAAGTTTCAGGTTAGAGCTTTGACGTCCAGGTAGGGTTTAGGGTGAAGGGCTTGGTTCAAGGTTCGGGGTTTGCGGCCTGGGAACTGGCTTGGCGGGCTTGTTGAGGGTTTGAAGTTCAGAGCTTGTTTGGGTTAGCACACTGAGGCAATCCTAATATTGATTGCAGATGCCTCTTATGGCAACTTAATTAAGCCCAATTCCTTAACATGAACCCAGCATTGTCTTTGCTGCTCCGGGGACCGAACTTCAAGGCTTTAGCATAAGGTTGTGTCCCGCCTTGCGCATCTGACCCAAAAGCCGGAAGCCCAAACCCCAAACAGCATACGGTCGATGGCATCAAAACCTGCGGTTACTTCGGTACCCTGGCCCAGGATGGGTATATTATGCTGACCACAATGCCACATGTAGCAAAACGGCGCAAAGGGAATGATGAGAAAAAGTAGCCTAACTATCTGTGCGGTTATGGAAACACTGTACACTCGTTGTTCTGCAGGAGCGTACTTCCCCAAGTATTCATAGCAAGAAAATGCAGACTCCGGAACCGCGCATCCAGCGCTCCAGGGTCGGTCCCTAACTCTAAGGGTCCAGGTACCCAACTGGTATATACTTTAGCCTTTAAAGTAGCCCCTGTACATGTACTCTGGGGCCAAAGTACATAATTACTGTGCTATTTAGGTACATGGACCCCTAGAATAATATGGAATATGGAAACCAGAATAACTACCCATCCTACTCCTCAGGGATCCTTATGATAATGCAACACTCCGACCCCGTTCCAATTATCAGGGCCCGCATATTGGGTCATGGGGTCTCCGGGGGATATGCTCTTATGTGCTGAATTAGGGGCCTTAATACTCAGAATAGGGTTTTGGGCCCCATTATACATATAGTTGTAATAAGGAACCCCCGGAATGGTATAGGTAATTTAGTTTGGCCCCTTAAACTATTTATGCTAAGAAACCCTAAGCAGTATCATTATAAACATATTTCGGCTTCCACATTGGATTCTTCGGGTCTCGCGCGACAACCTATGTAAACTCTACACCATAATAACCCTACCAGCCTCCTTCACAGTGTTCTTCTCCTTTTCTACCTGAAGCTGCCTGGCGGAGCACAACTTCCGGAGCAGGGCCGTGATCTTCTTACGGTCTAGTTTTGGGTTTAGGGTTTAGTAATATTCAGGGCTATAGAGTTTTTCTAGAGTTTTGGGCTTAGGGTTTAGTAACATGTAGGGCCGTAGGGTTCAGCGGTTTAGGCTTAGGGTACGCAAGTTGGAGCCAGGGATTGGCGGTTTCATGAAGCCTTGGTGGGTTTAGGGTTTAGGGTTCCCTTGGGTTTAGGGTTCAGGCTTTAGGGTTTAGGGGCTTGACTGGAGGCTTTCGGGTGACAGGCTGAAAGCGGGTGTGCCTTGAGACCCTTTAACTAAGGAACATACTTTCTTCAATCATATGATTAAGCCCGCGATAGTTTTCAAGGTATATTCCTTAATTTTGGGGTATTGGGATCTCGAGGCGATAACGATCCGGGTGGACTGGTTGAAGGCGTAACTTGGGCTCAAGGTATTCACTTGCAGCTGGGGGGTTAAAGGGCTTCAGGTGCAAGCCGCCTGAGCCGTAGCTGGCTGATACTGAAAGCCGGACAAGAAGACATCGCACCCTCGCAAGATCTACAACCGTCGGTAACCCAAGACCCCATACCATAACCCGCAGACCCCGCGACATCCAACCCCAAACCCGCACCCCTAAACCCCTACCAATGTAAACCCCGAACCCCTAAACTCAAGTTTATCTATACCCTGCCATTTACGGTGCGTTGAGTCTGCACACAGCTGTCGAGGGCGGATCTTGGGCCGTCAGGGCCTGCAGCATGTTCCTTCGCTTCTCCGGGGTATCTAGCTAGCCGCCTTCTCGATCATCAGCAGCGTTCTCGCCACCAGGCTCGTCGCCCGCGGCCGCAGGTTTCTTTTGACTGGAGGATTCCGGAAGGTGGTCACCAAGCTCGGGTGGACGAGGCGGCGCTTCTTGAACACTGCTGTGCTCAAACGAGCGGTGGCTCGCACATCGTCAGCGGACACGTTGATTTGTTGAATACATATATGGTAGGTGTTTGAGTAAACGTGATTTGTGGTCACGCGGCTCCCCGGCTCGAAGCATCCCCTGCCAACCAATTCCTCCCTTGTCAGGTTTGCAAGCCCCTGCAGGTCTTCCAGACCTGCAGGGGCTTGCTCTTTTGGATCTGGCAGGCTCGCTGCCGCCAGCTCCGCCTGCTTTTGGCGCAGGCGGCGTCTCTCTTCGACGTCGCATTGACAGTCCGCTCGTTGTACAGCGGAGCATCGGCACTTGTAACAACCCAATGAGGGTGTTTTACGGCCATTTTGGGCTTCCAGATCCGTCCAAGTGACAATCATACACTTGCCTCCAATACTGATCTATATCACCGCTATCCTAACCAGCCGAATTGGGAGAAAAACTGGCCTTTAGGGTTTAGGGTTTCAGCTATTGCAGACAACGTGCTTTCGAACCCAACGGCCCTTGAGGAATCTGGGGTCTGCATTGATAGCTCGAGGCCTAAATCCTCAGAGTGAAGGGTTATGGGGTTTAGGTTTAAGTCATAAAGCAAGCCGAAAGTAGAGGCCGGAATAACTACAATATGTAAGGATGGCCTAATATCAGTGCACTGCAATATACCACCAAACCCCATTCTAAGCATTGCGTCCCATTTTGTTAGAACCCTAATATCAGAACCCTTATTCATCTGCACGACCCGAACCACCGACCAGGTACAACTTCGAAGACTCCAAGTACAAACAATACGTACTCTGGCGTCTAAAAGTTCAATATGGGAGTTTCCGGAAATTGGGGGGTACCTTATTTTGGGGTCCTGAAAATCAGGATCCTGCTATTTAGGGTACTATATCAGGGTCCCCTATCTTCGGAAACTCCCATATAGCGGGGACTCTAAAGTTCATCCATAATACCGCTTGCATTGGGCTACAGAGAGTGTCAGGGAACGGTTTAGGGTTTGAGGTTAGGGATTAGGCTTTAGGGTTTAGGGTTTACGGTTTAGGGTTTAGGGTTTGAGGTTAGGGATTAGGGTTTAGGGTTTAGGGTTTAGGGGAATAGGTGTTTTGCAGTGCTGCAGAAGCGTCCGATAGTAAGTGGCTGCTTGTTTGCTGCCACATGGACCTGACGGAATGATCATCTACTGAAGTGCTAGGTGCATGCCATACAATGACGACCCGGCTGTGCCGGCTATAAAGAGGTCCATGCCCAGTTCTCAACTCTGCCTTACGATCTGCGGTGGACGGTCACTTCAGACGGGCGTCTGCAAAATGCCACGGATGCTGAACCAAACGTTGACAAGCTTACCCTCCAAAACTTCCAGCTTGAAGTACTTCACAAGGCTGGGAGGTCTCTTGCACGCCAGGAAAGTCCCAAATGCGATCTCCTTCCTATGAGACTCATAGGCAAGGTGCCAAGTCGCACCGTCTTCCGAGGACCAGATAACGAAAGATGTCGTAGCCGATACCTTTTCTTGCACATTGCGACTTCCGAAGTGGAAGCCCTGAAGACAAACCCAAGAATGAGGAAGCAGCCACTGTACCCACCCTTCTCCGAGGGTTAGTGCCCCTCCCATCAGCACTCGATGGCTGCGATTAGCCGCAATTCTTTCGAGATCGTCAATGGTGTAGGCATCACCCTGCCCAGGTCCCAGGATCATCGACACCCAATGGCTCAGGAAAACGCCCTTCTTCCCGGCCGCTTCGTAGATTTGCCAGAGGCTGTACAGCACGTCCCGCGTGTACTCACTACGTGCTCGGGTGTTGACGATCGACTTCAGAGCATCGCAGTCCGTATCCCCCCAGCTCCGGAGCATCTTCTTGACGTCATCTGCTGGTATGCACAGTAAACCCGATCCCAGGATCTCTGCCAGGAGCTCCGGTCGGATACCCGGACGCTGTTTCAGGGCTTTTGCAGGCTCGGTGAAGATGAGATCCCGAGCCTCTGCCTGAGGTATGACATGAACCCTAACAGGGTTAAAGGTTCATATACTTTAATATAGAGGTCACTATATCAGGGTTTGGGGTGCGCTACTTTTAAGGGTCATTTGGTGTCCAAGGTGCTCGCAAGTCGTGCATGTGAAAACGGTCTGCGGCAGCGAAGATCTCACATGCCAGCTCAGGTTTCAGTGCTTCCCGAACAAGGGGCAGACACAAAGACTGCAATGCATCCACCTGATATTTGTCTGCCATTGCAGCCACCTCGACAATTGCCGTGACGGAGCCCTCAACGCTCCCTGAGTACATGAAGCGCAGAAATTTCTCAACCGCACTCGCCGAGAAGTCTTGGATGACGACCTCCGCCCTCTGTGACTCGGCATAGTTGTCCGAGCCGACCATCTTCCCAAAGACAGGAGACCACTGGGTAAGCAGGAAAGACCACACTTTGAACTCCGTGCGCTTAGCCGCCGTCTGACCTTCAGTATCTTTGGAAGCTTCGGTCGAGGGTTCTTCAACGACGACCGTGAAATTGCCGTCTTTGCCGAAGCAGGCCATCAACACATCAGACAAAGCAGACAGATCTTTGTCTGCAAGCGTTTCCACTGGCTCCAGTTTCCGCTTGGACATGTCGCCAATCGGGGATGCCGCTGTCCTACTGCACGGACTACCGATACGACACATTCAGCTTTTCGAAATCGTGAGAAATGGCTCGTCAATCAAATTGGGACTGTGGAGATTTAAGTATCGCCAAGATGACTTTCACATGTGCACACACACACACACAATCACACAATCACACACACACACACACCTACTGACCCAAGAGCTGCGTCTTGCGGCGCTGGGGAAGTGGTGATGTTTCACAGTTTCGGGCTTAGGCAAGGTCCAGGTTCAGGCTTTGAAGCATTTAAGCCTTAAGCTACATGAAGTTATATGGCATAAGGCTAAACATGTGGTTTTAGGGCTCTAGGCCCTGGTCCCATGCTTTTTTTCACCGAAACCCTAAACTCCCAAACCAAACACCTGAAACCCTGCACCTGACACGCTATCTGTGAACCCAAACCCTACAAAATGGAGGTTATGACCCCTTAATTAGAGGGTAGAACCCTTTGAAACGGTAGGTTTTTGGATTTTCAGGTATTCCCTAAACCCTAATCCCTAAACCCTAAACCCCTTATAGATCCCTTTAAGGAACCCTCAGGGTAGAACCCTTTAAGGCGGTAGGTTTTGGGATCCCCAAGTACACGCAGACTGGTGCGAGTTAGGATTAGGGGGACCCTTGGGGTTATAGACCCTCTCAATAAGGCCCCTTTTAAGAGAGCCAGAAGTAGGGTTCAGAAGGGGTACCCTCTAGGGGGTCTCCCTAATACTACTACCTACATGGCACCTTTTCCTCCCTCGCATGCTTGCACACTCGAGCTCTGCGCTTCCCACATGCCAACGCTGCTTCGGTTGCTGCCTCGGTGGTAGAGGGATTCACAGAGGGGAACTACTAGGCTTTAAGATAACACCATTCAGGGGGATAGTATCTGGAAACCCCAAACTCCTTAAAACTCCCGAAAAACTCCAAACCTCTGCAACCTGAAACTCTACCACTTTGGTCGTTCAGGGGTTCAGGGCCGCAAAAGGGGTCTAGAGTTGACGCTTAGGGCTTAGGGTTAGCTTACCATCACCTACCAAAACCTTTTCTCTGCAGGTTCTTTATACTATACCCTAACTTTTGTGGAATTTATATATAAGGACCGCACAAACAAGTAGGTTGTTTAGGGCTCAGAAGGCTGGGGGTTTAGGGTGTAGGGCTCAGGATTTAAGAAAAACTCATCCCTGTAGGGTTTGCTGAAGAACGAACTTTAACTGCGTAGTTTCCCACACACCCACGGACGGCACGTTTGGGTGAAGGTTTTGGGTCTAGGGTTTAGGATTCAGAGCTTAGGGATCAGGGTTTTAGGTTTAGGGTCTCGGGTTCACGGTGTTGAGGTTTTAGGGTCTGTGGTGTGGGATGTGGGGTCTTGCAAGAGTTCGGACGGACATGGGTCAGTCAGTCCTTGCTCCTGCTTTGGGTCACCCGATCCAGACACGGCTTACAGTAGGCATGCCTAGAATTCTTCACGACCCTTCCCGTCCTCACAGAACAGCCCCACCACACCTTGAAACCTTCGTCATAAACCTTCAAGCCCTCACCAGTAAAGCCCAAATCGGAAGCCCCTAAACCCTAAACCCAGCCACATGCATCTGTGAGACTTCTAGACAGCGTGCTCCTGACTTCGGAGCCCCTAGGCAGTCTTGAAGAGCTCCATCGAGAACCAACTCCAATACCTTGGGTCGAGGAACAAAGCATAGAGGGGGCTCCTTCAAGGGTTCCATATAGCGGCTTGTGAGGATTCATGAGCTTTTCCATTGGGTTTTAAGTTACTATCAATGGTCCCGCACGTTGTTGCTGCACACCTTAGTTCTTGCTTTAGGATCATAACCCCCGCACGCTGGTCAAGGAAAAGCTGGAGCTCTGACACGCTACAGCAGCTTCAACTCCCAACACTTCCGACCAGGTTCTTGGAGCGACCCCTCTACTACGACAAAATTACCGAACAGAACCTTTTGGAAAGAAGACACTCAAGCCGGTGTGAGTAAACCTTGTCCCCCTAAACTCTACAAACCCTGTAGCCTAAACTCGCAACTGTCGGCAGCCTGTAGATACCAAAGGCCGGCAACAGCGCCAGCGGCACCTGTGACTGCACATCTTCTCCGAAAACCACCTGCAGGGGGCGTCCAGTCACAGAGTTTCCCCGTTAACTATAAAGTAAGCTACTGGGCTAATTATCAATACTTTAAGGTTAAATCCGGATTTAAGTATTTAAGGCACAGTAGCCAACGATGTAGGCAACTCCTAAACCCTAAACTCCCTAAACCTTAAAGCCCAGGGCTCCGTAGAACCATCAGCCTGGGCCACGATGGCGCACCAGGCTGCGATAGCGGCCACAACGAGAAACAGGCCAAATACCTGGGCTTGAGTCCCTGGTAGTATGGGGTCCTTAATGCATAGAGGAATTCTGCAAGAGTTCTACGGCTACTTCAACGGCTTTATGGTATAGGGGCCTGAATAGTTAATGTCAATATGAGTTTTCGGCTACAGCGTACTGCCAGACAAAATAAGAGACCTAAGGAGTGATATTGGCAATCATTGAGGCCCCTATACATATATATATATATATATACAAATACATCTGTGTATATACATATATATATATATGTATATACATATATGTATGTACAAACATATATACATGTAGATGTATATATATATATATATATATATATATATGTAGATGTATACATATATATATATATATGTATACATATGATGGGGTTGTGTTGGTCGTTTTGTAATTACCAGGATAAGGTTTGGGGTTTACGGCTTAGGGTGTAGGAACTCAAGCTCCGCGAATGCGCTTGCTGAATGAGGGTGTTGGAAACCAATATAATATAATGTTATATATGTATATATATATATATATACATATATATATATCTGTTTATTTACATATATAGGGTCCTTGATAATTCTAATAGGGTTTTGGGGCCCCCTATACTATAATCAATTGGAATAAGGTACCCCCAAAAAATAGCAACAGTATAGGTTTTTATTACGGCCCATAGAGTAAACTACAACTTTAAGGCCCGAGGCTTGGGGTGCAAGGTCTGGGTTTGTCAAGTTTGGTCTTGGGCTGCATCGGCCACCAGGGGCCGAGCATCCAACGTCGCCTAGGGCATGTTGCACAGTTTCAACTAGAAAACCAAGAGCATTGAGGGGTAAGGGTTGCCAGGGGTGTTCGTCCATGCTGCTACCATATATCTCAAAGTCTATGCTGATGCCCCCTAAACCCTAAACGCTAAGCCGTAAATTTAAACCCGAAGCTCAATTAAACCCTACGCTCTCAATGCAACATCTTGAAATATATCAAACCCTAAACCCTGCACACAATAACCCTACAACCTATGAGCTGTAAGCCCTGGACCCCATAATGAACCTAAACCCTATTAGCTCCCTATAAGCCCAACAAGCCCTGTAAAACCCTAAACCCCGTACCCGCCCTCTCAACGATGAAAACAACCCTAAACCCTAAACCCTAACCCCTAAAAGCTTAAACCCCGAACCCTACATCCCAAACCCGCCCTATAACTCCTAATCCTCTTACCTTTGGTTAGTAGGGAACGGAAGAATGGTAGTAATAGTAGTTATAATTGTACCCCATTCCTCCATTCCCTACTAACCAAAGTCATGTAGGGGCCTGAATAATTACCTATACTATTTTGGGGGTTCCTCATTATAATTATAGTATACCGGTCCCCAAAACCCTATTCTAATTATTAAGGCCCCTATCTTATAGTAGCCTTGTAGATCCCCTAAATCCCCAAATCCCCACACCCTCTAGAACCCTTATGGATCCCTTTAAAGGAACCCCTATAAATCCTAATCCAGCCGAGGTCGCCGGTCGCCTCGCTGGCGACGGCGCGAAGTCCGCGCCCACGGCTGCCGCGACCAAGGCCGCAGGGGCGGCCGCAGGAGGAGAGGAGGCCATTTGGGAGTTTCAGAGGGGTCCTTTAAAGGGATCTATAAGGGTTCCTTAAAGGGATCTACGAGGGTCCTATAAGGGGTTTAGGGTTTAGAGTTTCGAAAATTAAGGGCTACCATATTTTGGGGTCCTTATAATAAGGGTCCCCTATTTTCGGAAACTCCCATTTGGGTTTAGGGGTCTTGAGGTCTGGGGATTAGAGTTTTGGGTTGGGGTTTAAGGTTGGTTTAGGGTTTAAGGATTAGGGTCTTAGGTTTTGTGGGATGGGGCTGATAGGGCTAAGACTGGGATATTTGGCTGCACCGGGCTGTCAGGGGTTAGTTTAGATTCGGATTGGGGCTTTATCGCTTTAGAGCCTGTTGCAGTTTTTGCGGCTTAAGGGTGGCAGCTTACCGTCTGAACGGCCCGATTTCGGGCAAAGATTGCAGGTCCCGGCTTCCATGTGTCTTGAAAGTAGATGGCAGCATGGGGGATAGTTCTCCAAATGAAGGCCCCTTTTCGGGTTCTTTGCATAAGGGTGCCGTGCTCTTTTGCGGACCTTGCCAAAAAGCAGCCTGATTTAGAGAACTACCCAAATGGCAGTATGTTCATGCCCACACACTGCGAAGTTCGCCCTCTGAACCTGCGACTCGCAAGTGCTTTCGACTTCATTGTTTCAGAGTACGGCAAAAGGCTATCGTTTAGGGTTTAAGCTTTAGGGTCTAGGGTTTAGGGCTTAAGGGATATATCAGCTAAACCTATCCTTTTCCGCCTCGACCCCGTAAGTGGCGCTACAGCGTTCTGAATTGCACCCCTATACTCTCAATCCTGAAACCTTCCAGGGACTAAACCTCAAACCCCTTAGCATGAACGGATAAAGCGCAAAAGCCTAAATAAAGCACTGAGAACCCGAACCAGCAAGAGTCCCATAACAAGGACCCCCTATTCCAAGAAGTAAGGTCTTATGTTATACCCTAAACAACTCGAGAAGTAACCCTTGCAGATCCCTTACGGGAGCCGTACTCTGATCATGAAGCAATATCCCTTAATTAAGGAAGACACCTGGAATCAGATCTAAGGTATAATCCTCTATTGAGGGATTGTGGACGGTCTGAATAAGCCTACACCCTCAACCATAGATCGCTTTTAGATCCGTTTAAAAAACCCATCAAGGAACCCTATAGTTATATTCCTTCTAAACCCCAAACCGTGAACCCTAACCCGAAACCCTAAACACTAAACCCCAAACCCTAAACCCTAAACCCGAAACCCTAAACACTAAACCCCAAACCCTAAACCCGAAACCCTAAACACTAAACCCTAAAGTCGACCCTGAACCTCAAAGCATCCTTCGCCGGGTGCCTCTTCGCCCTCTCTAGGTTGCTCTTCTGTATCACGAAAAGACATGTTTTTTCGTGAAGGTGCAGTATAATATTCCTTCTAAACCTTAAACCCTGGAGCCTAAACCCTAAACCCCTAAACCCTTAAACCCTAAACCCTTAAACCCTAAACCCTAAACCCTTAAACCCTAAACCCTAAACCCTAAACCCTAAACCCTTAAACCCTAAACCCTAAACCCCCGACAGGTGCCTCTTCGCCTTCTCCAGGTCCTTGCCGATCTTGTCCCTGTCTTCCAGCACCCGCTCGGTCTCTTGTACCTGCTCTTAGGGCTTATGATTTAGCTCAGGGTGTCGGGTTTAGGGTTGAAGCTTAGGAAGTAATGTAGGGTTTAGGGCTCAGGGTTTAGGTAGTTTAGGGTTCGAGGTTTAGGGTGTAGGGTTTGGGGTTGGCTAGAACCTTAGCTACCCTATCAAACTCCGGCCAGGAACTCCCTAAACCCAAAACCCTAACTCCCAAACTGGGACTGGACTGGGCCTGCTTTCGGAACACGCTGGACAAGAGCAGCGAATCCTTCGTCAGCCGCTGCGTGGCCTGTGACTAGCGTCTCGGGTGTAATTAGGGTCTATAGGGCTTAGGGGTTTAGAAGGTCTATTTAGGATCTGGGGTTAAGGGTCATGGTTAAGGGTTCAGGTTTCTGCGAATTCATGAGGTTTACGGCTCTTAGAGTTTAGAGCCTAGGGTATAGAGTTTCATTGTATGCTTCGGGCTTGGGTCTTACGGTATACAGTTCAGCGAAGGCTTCTAATTTTCCTACTTGTCGGGTATCATGGGGAACTAAAGGTTAACCGTTTTGGTTAGAGACTAAACTACCCAAAAGAGGTTAAAGGTGCCTACTCTACTTTTAGGCTTTGGGTTTCGATTTTACTTGCGCATGGTTGCGGGCCAAGGCTGTGGTCTTTGGGGCTGGGAGCAGCTGAAGTCTGTCTGGTTCTTAGTACCCTAAGGGTCCTAACAAATTGGGGAACCTCTCTTACACCCCTATTGAACCCTTACAGAATCCTCAAACCCTAAACCCTAAACCCCAAACCCTGAACCCTAAACACCCAAACCCAAAACCCGCGAAACCCACGGGCGCCTTTGGGCCTTACCTTTGGTTAGTAGGGAATGGAGGAATGGTAGTAATAGTACTTATAATTGTACCCCAATCCTCCATTCCCTACTAGCCAAAGGTAACCCCAAAACCCCCAGACCCCAGGACCCCGAAACCCCTACACCCCTGAGCCCCGAAACCCTGAGGCCTACAACACTAAACTCCGAATTAAACCCTAAACCCTAACCCCTAAAACCCTAAAACCCTAAAACCCTAAACCCTAAAACCCTAAACCCAAAACCCCTAAAACCCTAAACCCTAAACCCCTAAACCCCTAAACCCCTTAACCCCAAACCCCTAAACCCCTTTACCCTAAACCCTAAACCCTTAAAGGACCTCCATTGATCGATCCACAAGCGCACGCATCTTCTCGATCCTCGAAGTGTTAAAACCCGAGGGCTCTGAGGAGTCATTCAAAGGGATCCATAAGGGTTCTTAAGGGGTTCCTTTAAGGAGATCTATAACCCTAAAGCATTCAGAAGGATCCATACTGTTGATAGACAAAATCCTGCATGGCCATATATACATAAGCATAGGAATTATGTTCCCATACCATACCTAGGGCAATGCAGGATTTTGTCCATCCGCCGTAAGGGTTCTTAAGGGTTCCTTTATAAGGAGATCTATGACCCTAAAGCTCTATAAGGACTCGACTGTCGTTTTTAAGGCTTTTGGGGCCAAAGACCATATCATTTAAGGCTTTTAGGACATTTTGAGCCTTAGGTAAACACTCCGTTCAGGGTTCTAGGGGCTTGGGTTTAGGGTTGGTCTTGGCGGTTTGTGGTTTGAGGGTTTGGGTTTGGAGGTTTGCAGGGACAGAGACAACCTAGCTGAGACCGTCGCCCGCAGCCGACATGACGTGATAGCAAAGATCGCCGTGAAATCTGGACGACGGCCAAACCATGCTTCACCATGTTCTGCGGCAGCATCATGAAGTCTTCGCGTTCCGTAGTCGCTTGAAAGAGCCTACCAAAGAGACGTGGACCAAGTCCCATAGCATCAACAAGCTTGAAGTGAGTACCTACAGTATATACAGTTGCCCAAGATTGCACCATGTTCAAGCCTTTACAGTCTGAAGACTACCAAACTAGTGAGCCCATCTTTTAAAGTTTAGTTTGGGCATTAGAGTGTCTGCAAGTTTGGGGCTGTGTATGTGTTTATTTCGTTCCCTAGACTCTAAAACCTGCTAGAAATCGCCGTAGGCCCTCTTGCAAACTCTTTGAAACAGGAACTGCACATCCTTGCAGGAAGCCCTTATGCAGAACAACCTCCACGGTTTAGAGTTCAGGGCTTGTAAAGGTTTGAGAGCTTAAGCGATTTATGGCTTAGGGTTGAAGGCTCAGGCCTCTAAACCCTAAACCCTTAACCCCTTAAACCCTGAGCCCTTAAACCCTTAACCCTAAGCCCTTAAACCCTTAAACCCCTAAACCCTTAAACCCTTAAACCCTTACACCCTTAAACCCTTAAACCCTTTCACCCTTTCACCCTTAAACCCTTAAACCCTTAAACCCTTAAACCCTTAAACCCTTAAATCCTTAAACCCTTAAACCCTGAGCCCTTAAGCCCTTAACCCTAAGCCCTTAAACCCTTAAACCCTTAAACCCTTAAACCCTAAGCCCTCCTTTAGAAAAGAAGCCTCGGAGCCTGATTTCAATCAACCTCCGTTTTCAGAAACCGTCAACCCAGCCTCGACCCTAAAACCCGTTTACAGGGAACTCCAGAAAGTTGGAATATGGTTTCAGGCTAGGATACCCTAAAAATTTACCATAAAGGGCTTAGGATAATCATATTCCAACTTCTTGGCTTTTGCTTTAGGGTCTAGGGGCTTAGGGGTTTGGGGTTTAGGGTTTAGGGATTTAGGGTTTAGAGGGTTTCTTTCTAACAACCTAGACAGGACCCCATATCCTAGCTTCTTTTGCCTTCAAGAATGCATCTTAGCCGATCTGTCTGTTCTTGGATAGAGGACCTGTGGACAGGACAACCCTGCCCAAGCCTAAACCCTAAATCCTACCTTGACACCAAATAACCTATCGTTTTAAGGACTTGCATGAGGAATTCAAAGGAACCCTATAGAAAGTAGGTTCTTTAGGGCCCAGGTAAACCCTACACCCTAAACCCTATACCTTAACCCTATAAACCCTATATTACTATACTCCTAAACCCATACGACCTAATCCCTGGAGCCCGACACCCTCCCGGGTCTCCGATTTTGGACTTCGGGGCACGTCCAAACCCAAGAGGGTTTATGGTTTAGGGTTTATTAGGGTTTAGGGTTTAGGGGTTTGGTTTTTTGAACGCCTTATTCCATCTGCCCATAGAAATCCACAGGAGTCCGGAACGTCTAGTGCCTTGGGTTTAGGGTTTGCGTTTTCAAGACTACAATGGGGACAACCATGCCCAAAGCCCTGAAACCCAGAAACCAAGCCCTGGAAACGCAACAACCCCAATAAGACCTGAAACCCCTAAACCACCCAAACCCTAAACAAAACCCCCAAACAGGTGTCCCATACCGCGCTGAGCTCGTGGCACCGGCAAGCTCTCCTTTGCGATGCGATTGTTCCTGGGCTGTTCGGGATAGTATGGGCGCCTTCGTTGTTCAAAAGCTGTGCTAGGGCCTTTTGTGAGTTATGGCGTAGGTTTGTCAGCTTTGATAAAGGTGTCAAAGCCAGAGGCTCCATATACACTACTATTATGGATTTAAGCCCCCAAAGCCATAATGAGGATGGTCTTTTGGGGCCTAATTCCATAATGGTAGTATATATGGAGCCTCTAGGAAACGAAGCCCAACGACAAATCAGAACCTTTGGGGCTTCTTCGTCGGGGCCTGGCAGGTTTGGGTATCGGGATCCCACAAAAGAACGTCTGGATATCCGGGGCTGGAACGTATAGGATTTTCTGGGTCTAGGGTAATGGATCTTTGCAACGGAGCTTTGGCAGTGCAGAGGCCTACAATCGAGACTAGGGTTTTGGGGTGCCTGATTACTTACTACACATAGAATAGAGCGTGGCGCTGGTGCACAATCTTTATCTCCGAAAGCTCCATGATGTGCTGCGGCTCAGGGTTGACAGCTTAGGAAGACTAAACCCTAAACCCTGAACCCTAAACCCTCAACCAACAATCAGAGAGCCTCAAATCCCGAAACCAAACCCAAACAGACTAGGTACTAATGGAATAATCCTCAAATTCTTATAGGATCCCTATTACTTCGTAATTGGAAGATCTGGGTAATTACGCCCCTTGACTTTGCAACCCCAGATCTTGAACCCTGAAGCCCGTATCCCAAACCTGAAGAATGTAATTATGGGGGACAAGCGGCTGCTCCGTTAGCTCAGACTTCTCACGCTGCAGCGTCATGAGCTCGTACCTGCTCGGTATGGTGTCAGGCTGAATCAGTGAATGTAAGGTGTTAGCTTCAATCAGTGTACGCAGGTCAGGGTAGAATAAGTAAGTGTTAGATTGTAGAAATCTTGAAATCATTCGGTGTATGGGATCGAAACACAAATGTTGTTTGAGCTTTGAGATTTGAAGCATGGATGGTTAGTTCTTAACTGGAACTTAGGACTTAGAGCAGTCTAATGCCGAGCTTTCTGTTAATCATTGTTCGTGAGTTCTTGGCTCAGGGATCAAGAACTTTTCAGTGCTTGCTACTTACAGCGATACAACCCAAACATAGCTATGCATCAATATACCCCTCCAAATCTACTAAACGTCTCTCGGGCCCCGAGTAGGGTTTCAGGTGCCCCGTTTTGCCCGCGTTGTGTGTACTGTGTTGGTTACGTACCTTGTTTTGATCCTCACCATAGATTGACCCTCACCATACAATAAGGTCAATATAGGGGCCTTAATGATTAGAGCAGCGCTTTGGTACATTTTACAGTAGAACTATAATAAGGAAGCCCCAAAGCGGATTAGTAAAGTTGTTAGGCTCCAAAAAGGAACTACAATGAAGACTGTAGCCAATCAGCCAACGAGGACTAGTCATGGTCTTGATTCTGTGACCCCTTATTGCTATCCTTACTAAGGGCTCCTGTAAGGGTTCCCTTAAGGTCTCCTTTAAGGGATCCTGTAATAGCTACATCATCAATCTCGGCAAGACCCCCAGAGATACACTCACCAAAGCTCCTGGGCTTCAATGAACCCCTTCAACGAACACTCCTTGTAGAACCTGCGAGAAACTTCAAGGAACCCTTAAACCCTAAACCCCTAGACCCTAAACCTCAAAACCTCAAAACCCCTAAACCCTAAACCCCTAAACCCCAAAAACTCAAAGAACCTTGGACCAGGGCCTGAGGCTCTGCTTCTCGTTCTCCAGCTTGTGAATGCCTGTCACGAGCTTCTTGTTCGCTGTCTCCTGTCAGTACTGCGGCTGTTCGTGCTCGGGTTTTTGTGGTGCAGGATTCTATGAAAAGTTTCAGTGCATGTCAACTCTGTAGGGTTTGCAGGAAGGTCTCAACACTCAGTGCTACTAGTCCGAAATATCCGCTTGCGAAACAGGTCTAGAGTTTCGGGTCTTCTGCACGGCTCAATTCACTCCAGAATGTAAGAATTCGGACGTCGGGTATAAAATTTAGGGCGTGGCCAAGGGCCTTTGAACATACAGGACCTGATTTCGGCACGTAGATTTTCGGTGGCGACATGGAGTTCGAGTCTGAGGGTGCGGCGGCTGCTGGTCAAGATATACGAAACCCTACACCCTAAACCCCAAAACCCAAGATCCTAAACCCTAAACCACGGACCCAAACCTTAAACAGGGGAGCCCAGAACTGCAGCCCTAAACCCTAACTTTATCGGATTCGTACTCTGATTGCTTACGGCATTAGGATCCTTTAGGGTGTAGGGTTTGCGGTTTAGGGTGGAGGGTTCTGGGTTTAGGGTTCAGGGTTTAGGGTTTAGGGTATCAGGATCCAATAGCAGACAGCCCTGCTCTTGAAGCTCTACGAATGAAGAGATCACACTGAGGTCTGAATAGGGTTTAGGGTTTAGGGTTTTATATCCCATCAGAATTTATGATCTTAAGGTAACTACAACTTGGAAATTACAACAACACCCCCAGTGTTCAATCTGTTAAGGGTGTTCAAGCTGTAGAGTGACGGAACGTCTTGAATGCTCCGCCCCTAAAGCCTAAATCCTAGCCCCATGACCCTAAATGGCCCTAAAAACCTCGAACTACACCTGAAAAGGCTAAGCCCCAAACCCCTAAACCCTAAAGTCTTGAATGCCCCAAAAGAGCCGAACTTCAGGCTTGCTAGGAAGGGTTCGGATACCAGCAGAACTACTGCAGGTGCCTAAATTTTAAATAATTACCAATACTATTTTGGAGGTTCCTTAGTATACTTATAGTATAGCGGGCCCCAAAACCATGTTCTACTTATGAGGGCCCCTATATTATGAACTTTGGTGCAGGGGCACCATGTGGGTGAAAAAAACTAATTAAAGACCCTTCAGACAAGACTATCAATGGCCTTGTTTGCCAGGGTTTTCTCCAACTCCTCCACCTGCGTTCGGCAACTTGGGCAACCCTAAACCCTAAACCCCTAAACCCCTAAACCCTAAACCCTAAACCCTAAACACCTAAACCCTAAACACCTAAACCCTAAACCCCTAAACCCTAAACCCTACTTTAGGGATTGCAAACTTGTTCCTGGGTCTCGGCTTCGGTCTTTTCGCGCAGTCCGGGCTTGGGATACCAGTGAAGGTTTAGGCTTTGTGGTGGGTGTGTTATAGAACCCGAAATATGAGAGGAGGAGCTTTCTACCAGAAACCCTTAACCCTAGACCTAGGGCACCCTAGGAAGCAGTAGTGCAAAATCTCAGGCAACTAGATCGCCTCAGGATTGGGCAAGCTGCGCATACCCTTAAGCCACTTCAGTGTTAGAGGCAGCGCGACAGGAACAATCACCGCCCTTTGAGGTGATAGTTCTGCAAAAAACAACCAGAGGCCCAGGCCCTTAACAAAGGGCAAACTGCTTCTTCGTATTCAGCTCTCATGAAGAGACCGCTAACTCAACAAGTACAGACCAAAGCAAAGGGTAGTACTCACGGATTTCGACCCGAAACCCTAAATCGAGGCAACTTAAATTACACGAAATTTTGGGGAACCTTGAACCTGCACCTGCGGTTGGACCAGAAGACTGTCGAAGGGTTTAGGGTTTCGTTAACTACATTTTTTTATGGGCTCTTTTCGACCTGCAGGTACAGCTAGAATTCCTGTACTAGGAGGTGCCAGTGGTTGGGGCCTGGTTTCGGGTTGACCGTTTCGGGCTAAGGGTGTAGGCGGCTCCTTGGCCCTGAAAATCCGGCCCTTGAAACTCCGGATGTGTGGGCCTCAATGATGAGCAATAGGCAATCGTACTAACATGCCTTACCCTAGGGATCTAAGGACTCATATATTGAGGCTTCTGGGCCCAAAGACCATACTATGTAAGGCTGTAAAAGGCTTTTGGGCTACTTTGATCCCCAGGGTTAGGGTTCCCTAGTAGATTCACAATATGACGTACCACAAAATACTCTGTTGGTACCGCCCCTAAACAAGCCCGTATAGTAACAAAGGTAACCAGATAGTAACCCGCAAACGACCCCCCAAAATGAAAGTCGCCATCGTCGCGCCTGTCGCTCCATCAGATTCTCTACTTCGCCCTGGCTGTCTCTGGGAATCCGGGACACGTGCTATTTGGTTCAGGGGCTCGTGCCTGGGCTGAAACTGTAGGGCTGTAGGGCTTTGTGCGTCGGCCCATCTACAGCCCAACCCAACACCCAAAATGAACTCGAAAGCCTGACTAAACCCAAAACCCTAAACACAAAATGAACCCTAAACTCTGATACCCTAAATTAGTCCCTTCTACATTAAAGCCAAAGGTTCGGGGCTGCTGAAAGACGGAGGCCCCAGAGAAGAGTAACAAGTATCTTTCTGTAAGGGCCTGAATTAGGGTTTAAGGTTTAAAGGTTTAGGGTTTGGGATTTAAGATTTAGGGTTTAAGGTTTAGGGTTTCTTGAATTGCCTGAGGTAGCCTTGCGTCTAAAATAAGTGCCTTACGAACTCGACTTCGAATAGGGTTCCTGCGTTCTTCAGCCACCTTATCCATCAGTGCAACTTCATTTAGGCCATTCCGGGTTTCATGTTGAAACAAAGCGGAGCAGAATTGGTACCGAAAGACACTGGAGTGGTTTGCTAGCCAAATTGAAATCTGAGCCGCTCATGTGGAGCTACATGCATAATACTTTACACCAGCTATGTAAAACCAGATTTTTTGTGATTACACACACATGCACACATACCCTAAACCCTAAACCACTTATACTTCAAGACTGTAAGCCCCATGCCCTGAACGACTACCCTGCAACATAGGAGTAATACACGGGCCTGAACAATTACCAATACTATGTTTTGGGGCGGGACCCTTATTACAAGTCCAAAAGCCATTTCTAGTTATTACGGCCCAGATTGTATATACTGTGGCCTTAAAGTCGTCGCTACATAGGTCGTTTAAGGCAACAGTATCGACTCTATGGGCACATGGACCCTTAGGGTTACATGAGTTTCTGCTTGTTCCCACCTTTACGGTACCTCTCATTATGCGAAGAATCCACCAACAGTCCAGCGTTTGTAGAGATGATGGTCAAACCCTGCATTACCCTAAGGGTCCAAGTACATAATAATCATATACTCTCCTAAATATTGAGCTACATAACTACTATCCTAAACCCAAGTACCTCATTATTGGGTCCTTTGGACCCTTCGGGTACCTTAAGAGTCTGAATCTATCACGTATCGTATACTGATTGCTGTGGATACGGAAGGGTTTTTAATTTTGTCTATCAAAACTAACTAGAGTGCAGGGTTTTGGAGCTACACTACACGTACTCCCCAGCTACAGCTACGTAAAGCTTTTCTCATCTTCAGCTATGCCTGTGGGCAGGAGACTCCATCCAAGCGGTTTAAGGTTAATGCTTTAAGGGTTAAGGCTTAGGATACTGCTCCAGCCTTGTTTGTGGTCAGCTCCTTTTCGAGCTGCGCACACCTCTCGAACCTGAAACAAGACAAAGCCCCAGACGAGTTGGGAGGTTACGTGGGTTTACAGGGTTCAACTTATGCAGACACGACAAGACGACGGGCGAAACACACTCCAAAAGCTAAGTGCAGGTGAGATATCTTTTATTTGGGGTGGGCAGTTCGGATAGTTATGACTGTGCAGTGACACGCCAGAAGCAGCTCTGCCGAAAATTCTGCTGCTGAGGACGAAGACGGTGATAATGAAGATAAGAACGATGATAGGAAGATGAAGATGGTGATGAGGACGACGAAGAAGAAAATGTTGATGATAAAGACGAAGAGGAAGGAAGAGGAAGATGCCGAAGATTACGAACATCGACAAGGATGAATATGATACCGGTGGCGATAACGATGGCCAGGATGACGATGATGATAATGACGATGATGAAGACGACCATGATGATGTTGATGATGATGATGACGAAATGGTTTTGATGTGCACACTGGTGAGGATGACACTGATTGCGCTCGTGATGCTTGTGCTAGTGGCGATGGTTCCGATAGGGGGCGACAAGCTGACCTGCAAAACCTTTAAAGCAGTATCATTAGAACTGCTATGCACATCTGTTCATGCATGTGTATATGTATATATATATATATATATATATATATATATGTATATATATGTATATATACATACCATGTTGTCATTTGTGTATATATATATATATAGTGATACATACATACATACATACATACATACATACATACATACAGACAGACAGACAGACAGACAGACAGACAGACAGACAGACATATGTGTATATATGCATATATCTGTGTGTGTGTGTACATATGTGTATATATATATATATATATATACAGAAAGTGATACATACAAACATACATAAATATGTGAACAAATACAGCCGTACATCTATGTACATACACAACCCGCCTTTGTGTATCTCTACAAACATATATATATATATATATGTGTGTGTGTGTATCTAGGTCTGTTTCTACATATTCATGTAATTCAGATCATCCATTTATGCATGTACTTCAGTAGTCCACTTCTCAACTACGTGTTTCGCATATGTTCCAAACACCACACTCTCATCCGACTTCTCGACTACGTGTTTTGCATCTGTTCTAAACGCTACACTCTCAACCTTAAACCCTACAGCCACTGAACCTTCAGCCTGTACCGTGGTTGTTCTGACGTAAACCCTCACTCGTACAACACTCGCAGAACCTTCGCGTAACCCTTGTAGAGCTCTGATAGAACTCTCATAGAAACCCCATACTACAACCGTATAGAACCCTCCAGAAAACTCAGTTTGAACACAAACTCAGGAGCCCAGGTAGAAATCTCATAGACGCCTTGTATAACCCTTATACAAGCATTAAAAACTCCTTCTAAGCAAAGCGGACGATTATACCCCAAACCCTCAACCCCTAAACCCCAAACCCTAAACCACGAAGAACCCGTCTCTTCCTCAGTCAACACACCGAGGCTTCGGCCATTTGACCATCTCCTGAGCCAGCTCCTCCGCCCTGAGCTTAGGATTTGGGGTTTGGTTTAAGGTTTGGGGTTTCGGGTTTAGGGGTTTGGGGGTTAGGGTTTAGGATTGAAAACTCGAATTTCGGGTTTGGGATTTCGGAACTATGTTGTAAGGACAGTATATTAAGGGTCTAGAGAAGGATGAAAGCACCCTTCAAGGGACCTTAAATTCAAAGGGCAAAAGGAGGGACACTTAATAAGGACCCCAGGTATATACCCTTAATATAGCTATATACCCATTATATAGCCCATTATAGGCTAGGGGTCCCCATTGAGGGTCCCTCCTTTTCCCCTTTGATTAATGCTTCTAGAACCCAAAGACCAAGAAGCGAACATTTGGGAAACCCCGAAAGCCGCCCCTTCCCGCCCGCTGTAGTGGCCTTAATAATTAGAATAGGGTTTTGGGGGCTCCTGATTATGATTATATTGTAATATTATACCCCCACACCCTATCCTAATTATGAAGTCCCCTATTTTACCCCAAACTTTTTAAAACTCAAACAGAGCACCCCCACACCCGAAACCTCAAAGCCTAAACCCAGGACGCCCTGGTGTCACACTCTCGCGTCCGAAGGGCTGTAAACCCAGAAACACTGAACCCCTGCAGAAAATAGCTCATAAACTCTTATACAGGAAAGTAAGTAAGCAACTCCTACAGATCATTCATGAAGAAAACACTGAAACTCTAAGACCCCAAACCTTTCCGCAACCCTTCGGACCTCCTGAAGATGATCCCAACACAGGCCTGAACCCCGAAAGCCTAAATCCAAAACCCTCATCCTGATATCGTACACTCATACGGTTGATGATATAAATCCTGCATTACCCATAATAAGGAATATACTTTAATTCCCATAGTCTAGGGTCATTAAGGTAATGCAGGATTTATATCATCAACCGTATCATAACCTAGAAGCCCTGGACCTGACAGAAAAAACGGGGCGTGGACGCCGGATTTTCCCCTGTCTCGTTGGTGGAAATGTGCACCTCGCAATACGCGCGAGGGCTCCGTTTCAGGGCTCCTTTTAGCGAGTCCTTGCGAAGGCTCCTTTAAAGGAACAGTTCAAGGAATCCTCTTAAAGGAACCCTTAAAGGAACCCTAAGCCCTAAGAACCTTCAAGGGCTTTGTAGGGGAGCACAAGGGTTTTAATGGAGGTTCCTTCACAAACGGCTTCTATGTAGGAAGGTCCAACAGGCACATTTGTCCACGTGTCCTCTTCTTCCGAGTGTGCTCTACATCTTGGGGCTTTCCTCCACAGTTTGTACAGAGCATAGGGGCCTGAACCCTTGCAGGTACATTTTTCCAAGTATCCTCTCCCGAGGGTCCCTGGGGTGCCTTCGGTCCTGAGTCCAACCTTTAACCTACTTGTCAGGTAACATAGGGAACTAAAGGTTAACCTTTTCGGTTATATAGGGATTATATAGGGACTATACTACCCCAAAAAAGGTGAAAGGTTACCTACTCTGCTACTAGGTTAATTGCGGGAGAGACAGGTTATGGCAACGGCCTTGTGGGCTGGTGCGTTTGCCACAGATCCAACCCAGACCCCTCAATCCTACACCCCGAAGTCGAAAAAATAGAAAAATACATATTTCACCGCAAGCCCAGAGATCCCAATACCCCTTAGTTAAGGTCTATGCCTTAAACTATAGGGGGCTTAATATTAGGAGTTAAGGCAATATTCCTTAATTAAGGGGTATTGGGATCGCAAGGAGGCTCCATCCCCTTGATGCAAATTAGCACCTCAAAATCCTAGACTGAAGCCCTACACCCCCAACTTTAATGGACAGGTTTAGGTTTAGGGTTTCGGGTTTTGGGTACAAAGTTTGCATCACCCACGATGTCCTGTATTCGACCACATAGTGTTAACTGGCATAGCAGACCGCAACATAACCCAGGTTCCCCGTAATCCCTCACTGATATTTCTAGTGATAAGGGCACCCTTTTTCCTTATACTCTGGTTTAATACGGAGACCGCAAAATAGAAAGGGCAAGAGGGTGCTACTGTACTCAGGAACCTAGAATCTTAGAGTCTTCAGCAAAAAGCAGCTTACAGACAGATCGGCCCCATACCCAGAACCCTCAACTCCAAAAACACGTCTACCTGCACCCTACGGAACCTACCTCTTTAGGGCCCCCTAATATGATTTCTTTGAATAAGTCCTTAAAGAGTAGGTCACGTGGGGTTAAGGTAGGTATAACCCTAAACCATAAGGTTTGGGTATCATGCGGAACTAAAGGTTAAGCTTCTTGGCTATGTAGGGATTGTATAGGGACTATACTAAACAAAAAAGGTTAAAGGCTACCTACTCTACTACTAGGTTTAGGGCTTAGGGTCGGCACCTTCTCGGCAAAGTCCATGTTTCTCAGGCCCTTGCCCATTCGCTGCATCTCCTTCCACAGTTGACTGGCTCGGGCGATTCGGGTGCGCTACATGAGGGTTCTATATGGGTGGCTCTCTAAGTTCGGGCCTTTTCGTGTCCTCCTTATAAAGGCACCGTACTATTGTGGGGAACCTGGAAAGGAACGCTAAGTTAGAGAACTACCCATAGAAGGGTTCTAAACGGCTTTGTTATGGTTCAGAACTTGCTTTTGGTTCAAAAGCGAGAAGGTAAACAGCTCTAAGCGAAGGCTCTAGAGGAACTCGACAGGGCCCTTCACAATTAGGGAGCAGCTTTAGAGGTTCTTCGAGAGAGTTTCAATCAGGTGCTCGGTGCAGGTTTTGCAGAGGGACATCCCACACAAGATCTCCGACCCCCCCCCCCCCCCCCCCCCCCCCCCCCCCGCCCACTCTCTGTGGGTCGGCGGCGGGTTTAGGGTCTGGGGTTTAGCCCCTCGCAATCCTTCAACACACAGCCCTTCGCATCTCAACTGAAGAGTACGATGCACTCGCCCACGACCTTGTCACAAGATACTGTCGCTTCTCTGCCATTCCAGGACACCCAACACTAAACTTCAAAGCCCGAAGCCCTGACCATAAACCTGAACCCAAGACCCTGAACCCTAAAACCCTGAACCCTAAAGCCCGAAACCCTGACCCTGAAGCTCGCCACTCTAACGACCCTGAAACCCGACCACAGCTCCTCTTGAAGGGGTTTCAAGAGATCTCGAGGGCAGTAATTTTGGGGGATGTATGGGAGTGTAGGTATAGACGGCCTCGACATTTCCACAGTTTTGTGGCATACTGTTCCACAGTCATTATACTTGTATACGGAGGAAACATGAATAGTATGACCATGTATGCACCTAAACCCTAAACCCTACACCCTCAGACCCCGGAATTCACCGTGACCCCGAAACCTGAAACCCTGAACCTGGGACCCTGAAGGCGCAACTCCTGGAACCTCGGGTTCAAGGCTTAGGTACCATCAAACCCGAAGCCCAATACCCGAAACCCCAAAACTGTGTTTTATGAGGGGGGGGGTGTTTGCAACCAGAGCAGTGTTCCCTGGTATACGAGACTTAGAGTAGGAAACCCAAGCAATGACATCGGTAAGTATTTCGCGGTCTACATCGGACACAGAATACTACTTACTACTCCTAGTCACACAAGGGACCCTAGAACAAAATAGGTTCTTGTAGGTTGAGGTAAGCCCTTAAACCCTAAACCCCTAAACCCTAAACTACGACACTTTAAACCCCTAAACCCTAAACTACGACACTTTAAACCCCTAAACCCTAAACTACGACACTTTAAACCCCTAAACCCTAAACCTTAAACCTTAAGCCCTCAACCCTCTCCAGTCCCCGAGCCCAGCACCCGAAGAACGGCCAGGAGATGTCCCTGCAAGGCCGTGAGACCTGGTGTCGTGTTCGCAGGCTGGCGACCTGGCTTCCGGGGGCTTTGGGTTTAGGGCTTAGGGTTTTTTCAAAGGGCTCCTGAGAGGGATCCCGAAAAGGTTCCTTAAAGGGATCTGTTTAGGGTTTAAGGCTAAGGCTTTAGGGTTTAGGGGTTTAGGGAATTAGGGATTTAGTGTTCAGGGTTCAGGGCTGAGGGTCGAGGGTTTCAGGGTTTAGGGTTCAGGCCAAGGGCTTAGGGTTCAGGGTTTAGGGTTTAGGGTTTAGGGTTTAGGGTTGGCCAAGGGTTGAGGGCTAAGGGTCGAGAGTCTGGGGTTGAAGGCTAATGGTTTAGGGTCTAGGTGTAGGGTTGAGGGTCTGCAGTACGCCAGTGAGCTCAGGGTAGGGAAGTAATGGAATCAAAACTTAGTCCAAAACTTAGCCTTTAAGGAGTAGTGTATGAGGGTTGTATGTATGCATAGGGGTCCGTGCTGAAGGTAAATATGGTGTGTGTGTGTGTGTGTATGTATGTGTGTATATATATATATATATATATGGACAGACATACCGACATACCTGAATAAATGCCGAAGAGCATACTTCGACCCCTTGTGGGTTTAGGTGTTGCCTGTTCAATCGGAACGGTTGACTTTCGGAGGGTTTCATATGGGGTTGCGCGTTTAGGGTTTGGGGTCATGGCTTAGGGTTCGGCGTTTAGGGCTAGACCGGAAAGGTTTTGCGGTTTAGGGTTTAGGCTTTAGGGTTTATATGCATGAATCCCCAAATCGGACAAAATAGTTAGTTGTGACCCCTTAACCTGGAGCGACGTTTAGGGTTAGGGTTTGGGGCTTAGGGTTTAGGGATTGGGGCTTGGGGCTTAGGGTCTGGGGCTTTGGGTTTAGGGATTGGGGCTTGGGGCTTAGGGTTTAGCATGTAGGACTTTGGCTTGAGGATTTTCCTGCAATCCAACTCTCCTAGAAGCATCCGGTGACAGACGCAAAATCCATGCAGTCATGCTGGGACTGTGGCATCCCATGCCTGCATCCCCTGGGCGAGATCCGTCTCGAAAGGCATATTGAAAGCCAGATCTGCTGACCGCCGAGCACAGTCACGAAAACTCGTGGCTGGATCTTCGGACCTATAGCCCTCACGATCACCTCGTCTTCAGAAGGCCCGGAAAGCTTGGCGGCCTGCCAGTGAAGCTGATTGTTCGGAGCTGCAACCTGCATAGGAAAGACGGGCGCCGCTCACCTTGTTGTACCAGAAGCCTGGCTGGTTGTCGAACTGCGTACGGTACATGTGCCACAACCTCCAGTGGCCGTCACCCCGCAACCTCTGGGCTTCGAGATCTATAGGGGCGAATGATATTGCTGCACCCGGACCATTTGCAACGGTTTTCCTGGAATCTTGTGTAAAAATTCGTACAAGAAGTGGATCGAGCATTAGGATCGTGTTTAAACCCCACCAACCTAGTGATACCCTAAACCCTAGACCCTAAACCCTAAACCGATACGGCCGGCCCTTGGTGGCACCTGGCTGTAACAGCTCGATCCCAGTGTACTGCTTGTGGACACGATCTCTAGGCTATGTGAACTATCTTAGACGATGTACCATAACTCACTTGTTTGTAGGTTCTGATTATAACCCCTAATGTGGAATTTATAGGGGCCCTACAAAAAAGTAGGTTCTGGTAGGTAAAATGTTTCTTCGTGGGTAGGGCGGGATTTCGTGCATCGACGTTCAGCCGATACACCCGGCCTCGCCTGATCCCAAGCCCTCAGCCAATGCCCTAAACCCCAAGCCCTGAACCCGGCACTATGAACCAAGCCCACACCCCAAACACGCCTAGGGGTTGCGCCCTGAACCCCAAGACCACCAAGCCCGGCTGACAACGCACGGCCTTTCTCCTCCTTGATCTTGAGGAAGGTGAAAGGTCCATGCCTCATTCGTTCAGGGTTGAGGGCTTCATGTCTGGGGTTTTTAAGGTTTAGGATTTGTTGTTTCGGGTTCAAGGTTTAGGGTTTGAGCTTTAGAGTTTAGGGCGCTGGCTTCAATATAGGGGCCAAATACTCGACTAGCATCCCTGATCAACAGATTGATACTACCAACGATTCGGACAGGCTACATCTCCTGCCTAGTTAGTTGAGCGCCTACCCGCCCCTTCCATTGTACAATGGGTCTCCGGCTTGTGCTTCAGATGGGTATGGATAGGCTAGGGCCCCAAAAAAGCACATAAGCAAGAATCAGGATAGGGGTATCCCATACAAATTCCCTTATAATGAAGCCCAATAAGGTAGGGATATCCCCATGAAATGCTTATGCTTATGTGCTTTTGGGGTCCCTAAGCGGTATAGATAGGGTCCAAGACTCAGGGCTCGAGGAGTTTAGAGATTCACCACAGGACCCAAGACTCTGAATTCAGCACTACCTGGACCCGCGAGGACCTACTGCTTTAAGGTTCAGCAACATGACTTCCTTATGTAGGTCTTTACAAAGGTAGGTTGTGTAGGGTCAAGGTATACCTTACATCACAGGGTCCTTGAAAATATGATTTAAGGTATATTCCCTCGTCAAGGGGTGTTGGGCTCTTCGGGAAAGGAGCTGTCTCTTGATGCACTGGGCCACTGGGCCACGAAGAAAACGTTTCGAAAGATAACAAACCAGCTGCCCCACAAACGGCAAACACTCTCCACTGGAGCTCTTGTGAGAGAGCTTATGGACGCAACAGTACATCTGAACATAAACCTTTGAAGGACTTCTCCCTATTATAAGGGGGGCGTTCAGAACTTGAGCGCGGTCTTTTAATGCGACTTTGATTCCTAAGACACTGTCCGTTTCAGAGGGACCTCCTTAAGTCGTCTTTGGCATCCTAACATAATCTAAGGCACATTGCCGAAATAGTGGATATTGGGTGGTCTAGGTTCGGGCCTCTATGCCCCAGCCACGAACATCAAACCCTGAACAATATCCTCATACACTCATTGTTAAGCCTGGGGCGCGGGGGTTGCTGGTGAACCAATGAAGCGAGAAGCCCAAAGCCTCAACCCCACAATCCAAACACCTTCACCTAAACCGCTGCAAAACCGTAATTACGTGCTTGAACAATCGTGCCTAACCACTAAAGAACACCACAAGACTCTTCTAACCTTCGAGAACCCTACATCAGCCCATACCTAACCCCCATGACAGCACAAAGCACCGAGAGCCTTGTGTACTCTGTACAGTGGTGTCATCCTAAGGAAAACTCATGTCTACTCTCCATGGGAAACCTCTATTATCGAATATCATCGTATATATATATATATATATACATATATATACATGGTCACACCCCCCCCAAGATCTACATCCGCCTCTTCCACACAATTCCACAGGTTGCTTCTCTACATTGGTCGACTACTCATATATGCCGAAAACACCGTAAATTCCGATACAATTGTGCTTTACTCCATGTGCATGCAAACAGTACTGCTACAAGTCGCGGGTTTGATATGTGTAAAAGTCTGGCGCCGAATCTCGGCAGCAGATTTATGGTAGTTTATATGTTGGAGAAGCTGAAATGCTGGAGGGCGTGCTATTTTTGTTCAGGTAGTACTAAAAAACCTCGTTTTTTTTTGCGTTTTATGGTGTGTTATTTAACGACATTCCTCTAATAATAAAAATACTATTGTCTTTCTTACGAGAACGTCTGTGTGCGTGGGCCATCTCTTTCCCGCTGCTCGTGAGCGTCCGATTCTGATGCGGCCTAATAGCTCTAGCATTTGATTTATGAGTTACGAAACACAAAGAGCTCCTTTCATGTCCTGTCCGTTATACACGGAGGAAGTCGAATATACGGGCGCATTTATTTTTGAAGCAATACTCCAATAGTTGTTCATTGCCTCATAAAAAATGGGAAAGCTCCCCTGGAGTTGGAAAGTTCATGTGCATATGCGGGCGCACAAGAAGGCTCGTCTGCAGCAAGAAGTAAGAGAGCTCTTGCAACCTTCCAAACATGGAGCAGGACTAATTACGACTGGCTGCATTGATACGTATCAATCACAAGGCAGGGGCTCCTTAACCTTGTAAAACAAAGTAAAATGGCACTTCATGGAAGAAAACTCCTCTTTATGTTGTGAGTCGATATTAACGGCAGCCATGTGCATAGCAATCGCTATCTATTTTTGAGGGTACTCATTTGGGCCATGAGTTTTCATTCGGTTAACTCTTATTAATGATGCTGTCCTATACCCCGGAGAAGATGCCGATCGCTATGTCCATGGCTGTTTCTCTAATTGCTGTCATAGAACGTAGCGGAAAAAGTAGCTCTCTTCAATCTTCAAGCGACACTCCCCAGATGTGATCAAGAAACAAAGAGAAGCTTGCTTACTGGTATCTTTTATTAAACGGGCAAGAGGCATAAGACTTGTATCGGTTTCTACACCTCCCTCACATCCTGACAAAGCGATACCGGTCCTTCTGTATGTGACTGTGGTTTAAACGCTGTCATAGTTCGTATCACAACATGAAAAAGAGCTCTCTTCAGTCTTCAAAGACTACAGGTGACATCGTAGAATTCTCTTCTGGGTTAGCAGGAATCTTCATGTCTCTTGCTTGATAGGTATGAGGATGTTTCATAGGAAACCGAATAGGAAGTCTCCATTGTTTCTGATGATAGCAAGATGCAAACAGTTTCCCACAGTCTTCAACATGAAATGAATTAAGTTCTAGATAGGCTTGCGCTGCTACAGTGATGGATCTGTAGGCGGTGCAGCTTGCCGAAGAATGGCCAAAACCATTTTCGAGAAAGCTCAGGTACTGGAGCCAGTGCTGCTGGTGCCATAGATCTACCAACCAACGAAAACATATATGAAATAAACTATGCAACGACTAGGCCTTTTTCATACTTACCTAACAAGAGCAATGAAAACCGTTGTTGTTCCAGAAGACACATAAATCATTACTTCCAGTCCTTGACAACGGTTGAAAGCACACAATTATCTTGTGATGCAATATATCCTGTCCTGGACATCAGAAAACACTGTGATGCTCAAAAAACTTCCAAAATTTCCAGCCCTGAAACTCACGAAACACTGTACTGCTCAAAAAAATCCCAAAATTCTGGCATCTATGGCCAGGCCGGGGGCAGATTCCTTAAAAGTTTGGAATTTTTTGAGCATAGCAGTGTTTCGTGCGTTTCAAGGGTTGGAAAAGTTGATTTTTTTGAGCATTACATGTTTTGTGCGGTTGAACCGCACCTCGTCCGGGTGGATTTCCATGGCTTCGTGTGCGGCAAGATTTCAATAGGCTTGGAGTCACACTTGATTGTGCACAGGTGCGCACTTATCACATATCGCATGTCCCTCTTCACTAGACCCTCTCATAAACACTCACTGGCTCAAGATTTCGGCTGTGGGAGAAAGAGACGGACCAGGCGGTTTGGGTTTTAGGACCAACATCACCAAGTTTGGGGGGCGGACAAGACACGCGCATCATGAGCATCAGCGGTGCTGCTTGGCAGTGCAATAACTGGAGCCGCTACCCCATGACCTCGTTGTTGAGTGGTGCATTAAGCAAGTTCATTTCTTTTTGACCATGATCAATCTCAAAGACCATTTCTAACCAGGCGGTTTTGGTTTTAGGACCAGCCCCGAAGCCGACTGATGCTCATGAGGCCACGGCTGATGCTCATGTTTCTACACGTCCTCGAGTTTCCAGATTCCAGATTTGCAGGATAAGTTCCAGATTCCAGATTTCCAGATTTGCAGGCTCTAGGTTTTCAGATTCCAGATTCCAGATTTCCAGATTTGCAGGCTCTAAGTTTCCAGATTCCAGATTTTCAGATTTGCAGGCTCTAGGTTTTAGATTCCAGATTCCAGATTTCCAGATTTGCAGGCTCTAAGTTTCCAGATTCCAGATTCCAGATTTCCAGATTTGCAGGCTCTAGGTCAGATTCAGATTCCAGATTTGCAGGCTCTAAGTTTCCAGATTCCAGATTCCAGATTTCCAGATTTGCAGGCTCTAGGTTTCCAGATTCCAGATTTCCAGATTTGCAGGCTCTAAGTTTCCAGATTCCAGATTTGCAGGCTCTAAGTTTCCAGATTCCAGATTCCAAATTTCCAGCTTTGCAGGCTCTAAGTTTCCAGATTTCAGATTCCAGATTTCTGGAAATCTGGAAACTTTAGGGTGAGCAAATCTGGAAATCTGGAATCTGGAATCTCTGGAAACATAGTGCCTGCAAATCTGGAAATCTGGAATCTGGAAACCTAGAGCCTGCAAATCTGGAAATCTGGAATCTGGAAACTTAGAGCCTGCAAATCTGGAAATCTGGAATCTGGAATCTGGAAACTAGAGCCTGCAAATCTGGAAATCTGGAAACCTACGTACTGCAGAAAGCCGGAAATCAGGAAATCCAGACTCCGAAAACCTGCAGACGTAGATCTTGGGGGGGGGGGGGCGAGCATATATATATATATATATATATATATATATTATATATATATATATATACATTTACATATATTTACATGCGGGTGGTTGTCAAAATTAGGGTCCCTTTTTGGGTACCCTAAATCATAGGTGCCGTACTGTAATAGGGACCCAAAAGGGGACCCTAATTTTGACAACCACCCATATGTATATATGGTCAGGCGTCTGGCGTTCCCAGCCCCCCCCAATGGTATGGTCTGACAGGGGTGGGGGGGGGGGGGGCCTGGCGTGTGCGGAAGGGCTGTTGGAGCTGCCGCTGGATGGTGGGGTGGTGCTGGCGGCCAGGGCTCACGCGCAAGCCCTTCGCAAGCCGTAAACCCTATAACGCAGCGCGTGCCCCCGTTTTGAGCAACCTTAACTTGCACTTAAAACGCTGCACCCAACCTAAACCCCACCTAACTGCAGGCTCTAAGCCTAAAGCAGAGCATACACCGCAAATCCTCCCTAAGCCCTTGTCGACGCGAAGCCTTATACCTTATAACCGTAAACCCAAATAAACCCAAAACTCGAAAGCTTAAGCTAAACCCTGAACCCCAAAACCCCACAACCATCCCACAGGGGGAAGAGGAACCCCGCACCCCACACCACAGGGGAGGGGGGGGCCCCACCCTATATCCTGACCATTGACCTTTGGGGGGAGGGGGGGGGGCTGCGGAGCGCGTGACCATATATATATATATATACACACACACATACATAGACACCCTCCCCTGAACCCTAAACCCTAAACCCCCAAACCCCCGCCGAAGGCTCAGCACCCGACCCACTAAGCTTTGGAAGTGCCGTTGGCCGCAACTTGTATGGCAAACCTCGCTCGCAGAGCGGGGTTGGGTTGATAATTTAGGTTTGGGTTTAGGGTTTAGTCATGAGGGCTTGGATTGGTCTTAAGAGCACTGTTGGTATTGTGTAGAAGTAACTTTTTTAATATTCTCCTGGGTTTTATATGAACAAAAGTCAAAAAAATCCGAAGAGGACTATAACAAAAAAAGGAGCCTTCAAGTCGCGTGCTAGACCCCTATATTACCTCACGATAGACTCGCCCGACCCTGAACCGTGAACCTCCTAGCCCTAAACACCAACCCTTGAACCCTAAACCCGAAATTCCAAAAGCCTAAACCGCAAAACCCCAAAATCCCAAAAGCCTAAATAACCCAAAGACCTGCCCGAGACCCTAGATCTTAAATCTTACATCCTCTAGCTCTTACAGAAGGCCGTATTAACCCTCAACACAGATCTTGCATCCTGGAACCCTTTACGGAAACCTTAGCCGTAAACCCTTGTAGAACCCTTACAGGAACCCTTAACCCAAAACCGTTGTAGAACCCTTAACGGAAGCCTTAAGCTAAAACCCTTGTAGAAGCGATTATCGGAACCCCAGACGCTAAACCCTGCCCTACACCCTGAATCCGAAATCTTGCATCCCAAAGCCCTTATACAAGTTGTATAAGGGAGTTGAACTCTTAAAGGAACCCTGAAAGGAACCCTTTACAGCAATCCTCAAGATCCCTTAAAGAACCCGTAAAGGAACCCTAAACCCCTATAGTACCTTATAGAACCCTTAACGGAGGCCTTAAGCCTTAAAGGTGGTTTTTGGCGCCTCAAAGCAGCATAGTTGCCCCTAACAAGCAAAAAAACCATACATAAACCATACTTGCACACGAGCTGCCAGCTAAACTCTAAACCCAAAGCCTCAAGGAAGCCGAATCCTTAAGGAACCCTAAACCCTAAACCCCTGAACCCTATACCCTTGAAGGGAACCCTTAAAGGAACCCTAAACCCCTCTAGCACCTTGTAGAACCCTCAAGATCCCTTAAAGAACCCTTACAAGGAACTCTTAAGATCCCTTAAGGAACCCTCTAAAGGACCCCTTAGGATACCCTTAAAGGTCACCCTAAACCCTAAACCCTAAACTCCTAAACCCTTAACCCTAAACCCCTAAACCCCTAAACCCTTAACCCTAAACCCCCTAAACCCTTAACCCTAAACCCTAAACCCTCTACCCTTAAAGGGAACCCTAAAAGCCTTAGCCCAAGTGGCTCTCGGTCTTCGAGAAGATGTTCACCGCCAGCTCCGCCATGGCAACCTGAGCTGCTTTTTTGGGGGGGCCGGAAGTCTTCAGAGTAAGGTTTAGGGTTTAAGCTTTAAGGGTTAGGGAAGGGTTTTTGCGGCCCGGAAGTCTTTAGAGTAGGGTTTCAAGGTTTAGGGTTTAGGGGTTGGGGGTTTAGGGTTTTTTAGGGGCTTGGGTTTAGGCCTTAGGGGTTGGGGGTTTTGGGCTTAGGGGTTTGGGTCTGACTGTTTAGGGGATAGGGATTAGGGGTTAGGGGTTAGGGTTTAGGGTTTAGGGGTTAGGGTTTAGGGGTTAGGGGTTTAGGGTTTAGGGGGTTAGGGGTTTAGGGTTTAGAGGTTTGGGTTTAAAGGGGTTTAGGGTTTAGGGGTCAGGGTTTAGGGGTTAGGGTTTAGGGGTTTGGGTTTGGGCGCTAGGCTTTAGGGTTCAGGGTTTAGGGTTTGAGGTCAATTCAAAGGTTTAAGGGTTTTGGGGCTGTAACCAGACCTCCAGTATCCCTTAATATTTGTGGAACATACCTTAAATCATATTAGGGATCCTGCTACAACTAAAGGCATAGTCCTTAATTAAGGAATATGGGTAATCATCCGAATAAGGTTCAATGGAAAGGGTTCCTTCAAAGTGTTACTCAAGGCTTGGGGATTTAACTAGAATAGAGGTTAAGGTTCTTTAAGGGTTCTAATCATTGCAACAGGGCTCCTTTCAGGTGTTCGACGGGGTTGAGTTACGGGTTCAGGTATAGCAGGTATAGGGGCTTGAATAAGACTGATTGGGGCGTTAGGTAAACCCTAAACCCCTACACCCTAAAACCCTAGACCGTGGCTTCAGGGGTCCTTTAGGGTTTCGGGTTTGGAACGATAGAGAGCCCATGAGCCCGGCGGGGTTTGCAGCATGTCAATGCGGTGATACACTTGCTGCGGGTGTTCATTGCTGTTTTGGGGCGGGCTAGAGTTTAGGGCTTAAGGCTTTCAAGTGGGTTTCAGGGGTTTAGCCAAGAGTTTAGTAGGTTTACAGAGCGATGCAAATTTTCATATGGTTGTACAGGATATAGCCCCTCAGTTGAGCAATTACACGTACATACACATCTACATATACATATACATACACACGAACATATACATTGGTGGTTTGGGTGTGCAGTTCAGGGCTATGGGATAGAGAGGGATCGCAATTCTTCGTATGAGTCAAGGATATACTGCTGAAGTAAATGGTATAATCCTGTGCTGGTGGATCAATGTTCGACAGAGCTTACGGAAGCGAGGGGGCTTGTAGGACGCTTCCCTACAGTTATGAACTATGAACTCTCAAACGATTCTTAAGGGCTTTGGGATGGCGAGAAAAACATCACCCAGTCCCAGACCCAGACACTAACAAAAAAGATAGACCAACCGTCCCACCCTCGCATTTTAGTTCCTGACCGTAGGCCCATCCGCGTAGGCCCGCTCTGCCTTGAGATCCCAATCGAGCACTGCCTGCAAGAGCAAAACAAAGAGGCAGAGTCTCAGACCCTTCTCATGGACAAAATCTGCAATGCGCATATACTGTCATTCCCATCGTTTGCGGTGCCTGAGCGTATTGCAAGATCTTGCCCATCAGACGCACGTCTCATCATCAACTCAAGAAAGGTTGTCGCCATGCTGCTCCAAACAAGCTTCATCCACATACTCATGAACAGGGCTGCTTTCATTCTACATCACCTACAATCAGCTCAACCTCTCCTTACACACCACATTCAACATCGGGTCACATCCAACATCATTGACGTCATGAACAACAGCAGGACTGGCGGCATCACACTCGCCATCAGCAACGGCAGCATCCTATCCCAAGTCCTTGCCTTCATCCGCAGCATCGCACAAACCGCCATCACCATACTCATACATCTTCGTCATCGTCACGCTTCCATGCTCGTCCTCATGACTATTACTATTACCGTAGGTACGATTCTGATAATGATCATCAGCTTCCTCCCTTATGGCGAGGTATTGCTTCCAAATCGGTGCTGGCCCGATGGCGCCTTCTTGAACAGCAGGCTTTGCAGCATGAGCGCGATGATCTGGCGTGACATGGGTTTAGGGTTTAGGGTTTAGGGTTTCGTGGGTTTAGGGTTTAGGGTTTCGTGGGTTTAGGGTTTAGGGCTTCGGGTTTAGGGTTTAGGGTTTCGTGGGTTTAGGGTTTAGGGTTTAGGGTTTCGTGGGTTTAGGGTTTAGGGTTTAGGGTTTCGTGGGTTTAGGGTTTCGTGGGTTTAGGGTTTCGTGGGTTTAGGGTTTCGTGGGTTTAGGGTTTAGGGTTTAGGGTTTCGTGGGTTTAGGGTTTAGGGTTTAGGGTTTCGTGGGTTTAGGGTTTCGTGGGTTTAGGGTTTAGGGTTTAGGGTTTCGTGGGTTTAGGGTTTCGTGGGTTTAGGGTTTCGTGGGTTTAGGGTTTCGTGGGTTTAGGGTTTCGTGGGTTTAGGGTTTCGTGGGTTTAGGGTTTAGGGCTTCGGGTTTAGGGTTTAGGGTTTCGTGGGTTTAGGGTTTAGGGTTTAGGGTTTCGTGGGTTTAGGGTTTCGTGGGTTTAGGGTTTAGGGCTTCGGGTTTAGGGTTTAGGGTTTCGTGGGTTTAGGGTTTAGGGTTTAGGGCTTCGTGGGTTTAGGGTTTCGTGGGTTTAGGGTTTAGGGCTTCGGGTTTAGGGTTTAGGGTTTCGTGGGTTTAGGGTTTAGGGTTTAGGGTTTCGTGGGTTTAGGGTTTCGTGGGTTTAGGGTTTAGGGCTTCGGGTTTAGGGTTTAGGGTTTCGTGGGTTTAGGGTTTAGGGTTTAGGGTTTCGTGGGTTTAGGGTTTAGGGTTTCGTGGGTTTAGGGTTTAGGGTTTAGGGTTTCGTGGGTTTAGGGTTTCGTGGGTTTAGGGTTTCGTGGGTTTAGGGTTTCGGGCATGACAGGGAGCTTAGGGTTTCGCGGCGTGGCATGGACATCTCGCCCAAATCTGCGGCTCCTGAACCCTAGACAGTAACCCTGAAGCCGTGCACCCGAAGACCCCAACAAGCCCTAAATCTAAAACCCCCATAGACCCTGTAAACGAAACTCTTAGCCCCGAACCCTTGAAGCCCTAAACTCCAGCCCCTAACCCCTAACTGTTTAACTCCTACCATCGGAGATTCAAAGTACTACTGCTGCTGCTTTTTCTACAGTGACGACGTCTGCTACCTGCTGCTACTGCAACAACTGCTACTACTTTTTTCTACTACCACTGCTATCCGCCTAAACTCCTACCCAAGATAAGAACTAGGAGCTGCAGCTCCGGCCCTCGAAACGGAAGAAGTTTACAGCAGTTTCTGTTAGGATTTCGGTGTTCAGGGTTTTTTGATTCAATGTTGCCTCCAGCCTTCTTATGCCAATGCAGTGATTGCCACCCGCTCTTCCACCCGGACCACGCCCGTTTGGCCGTAACCATACTTAAAGGATCATGGGACTTAGTAACTAGGGTTATATATTACGGTAACTATACGTATAACCACTTACAACCCCATTAAGGTACTTATAACCTTACTTACTAAGTCCCATGATCCTCCAAGTAGCCGTGCCGTCCACAAACATCAACAAGCGGGCTGATGGTTCCATCTCGGACAAGAGGGACTCCGCGACACCACTACCTGGTATCCTGTCTTCTTTACTACCCCCAAGGCTCAAAATAGCCCAAAAGCCTTAAATATAGTATGGTCTTTGGGCCCAAAAGCCTTAAAATATGAACACAAGCGCTGAGAATGAACGGTATTGTGGAGGTTCGCCGTCCTACCCGGAAGCAAGCAATTCAAGCAAGGTCCACGCAACGCAAAATTCACGCTGTTCCGTGTTGGGTTTAGAGTTTAGTGTTTAAGGTTCGGGTTTCACGATTTAGGTCATATGCTGTTCTGGTCTATTCGATGGTATTCTATTCAGCTATGCTGGGAATAAACCACAAGCCCTAGAGCGTAGACCCTGACCCTCGCCACACTCAAGTCCGAAGCCCTGAAGTCAGGTCTTGGGTTGTAGGGTTGTAGGATTTGCTTTCTACGTAGAGTCTAGAAAACAAGAACTTAGGGTCTACGGTTTAGCTTTCTAGGTACGTAGGAGTCTGGGGTTCAATGATTACTTGGGTTCCTTCGGGCTTAACCAAGACGAACGGTCAACAAAATGTTCAGCTTGTGGTGGTACTCTCCCAAAGGGTCCAAGTATCATTATGGTATATACTTGGACCCCCGAAATACCCTACAAGTATATACCATAATGATACTTGGACTCTTTGGGTCTTATGTTTTCTAACTGCAGAGAAATGCCAGACAACACGAGCAGCATCATTGTGGACTGCAGTAGCAGTAGAAGTAGCAGCACCAGTGGCCGTAGTCTAAGCTCTTCTACACGCAGTAGCAGCAGCAGGAGGAGTGCGGTTGCTTTGGTCCTTGAAGTTAAGGGTACCCCAAACCCTAAACCTTGAAAACCCTGAACCTTAAATCCCTCTTGCCCAAACCCTAAACCCTAGAGCCCTGAACCCTAAAACCCTAAAAAGGAAACAACCCTAAGACCGTAAATCTTAAACCCTGAAACCCTAGAAAGCCTTAAAGGTCCGAACTCTACCTAAACCTTTATCTATACTGAACTTAGAACCCTAGCAAAAATTGTAATTTTAGCTGTTTCCTAGGGATTATGACAACCAAAAATTAAACACTAGTTCTAAGTACCCCTATGCTTATCTGCCAGCCCCCCTCAGAGGAGCCGGCCGCATCCCGGAAGTTCAGGAGCTGAGCAGCAGGCTCGAGGCCTCTGCAAGGCATTGGGTTTTGGGGTTTAGGGCTTTAGGGGTTTAGGGGTTTAAGGCTTTAGGGTTTATTGGGGTTTGGGGTTGAGGGGTTCTAGCTTCGAGGTTTGCCTAACCTGAACCCAAACACCGAGGCCCTACAACGCGTAGATGCCCATATCTGTGTGATGTGGTCCATGAACATAAACGACAAGTTAAAGACCCTCGGTCATCTTTCTCCCGAGTTGCGCCGCGCAGGCTGTCGCCGCAGCTCCCGAAACCCTGCTCTAATCTTCTCATATTTAAGGCCGCTATGGAACCCCTTGGCAGAACACTTAACGGAACCAACATCGGAATCCCAAAGCCATGAACCCTGATAGAACCCTTATAGAACATTTATAAAATCCTCATAGAACTGTTATGGAACCTTTTTAGAACTCTCATAAAGGCCATTTAGAACTTTTTTAGAACGCTTACGGAACCCAGTTTGAACCCTTATAGAACCCTAACCCTAAACCCTAAAATCGAACCCTTATAGAACCCTTATCCAACCCATACGAGGCCACGACTCAGCAGATCTCGGTTTGAGCTCGAGGACACGGCCGAGAGGCCCTTCCTTGTGAATATGGAGGTTCAGAGTTTGAGGGGTTTAGGGGTTTAGGGTTTGGGGTTTTAGAGCTGTAAGGGTTTAGGGGTTTAGGGGTTTAGGCTTTAGGGTTTTCGGTTTGGGCTTTAGGGTTTAGGGGTTCAGGGGTTTAGGGCTTTAGGGCTTTAGAGGTTTAGGGTTTAGGGTTGTGAGGGTGTTATGTAGGGTCGAAGGCGCCTTTAGGGGATCCTTTAAGGATTCCTTTAAACAGAGATCTACAAGGATTCTTTTAAAGGGGTCCATAAGGGTTCTTGCTTAAGGGGTTTCTTCCAGGGTTCCTGTCAGGGTTCCTAGAAGGGTTGCAAGTGTCTCTTTACTCAAAGGGTTCTCTTAGGGTTTTCGGCTCAACTTTTCGAGGTTCAGAGGCAGAACGTCTGTATTGTCATGCAGCAATGCACGGTGGGGGCCTAGGCGGACCAAGTAAACCCAAAATCCCCTAAACTCCGAAACCCGTGAGCTCAGGCGGCTCATAACCGTACTAATCGTAATAGTTCGAAGCTCTGTAGTACCTAGCGAAAAGGGGCTCCTGGTACAGGGTTCAAGGTTTGAAGTTTGGGGTTTAGGGTGCATGCCATTTATCCCTGCACCTTCGAACGAAGAGAAGTAATGTAAAGGCTTTAATAATTCGAAGACGTTGTTGGGTACATCACAATACAACTGTGTAGGGACTTATATATTGCTCATTCTTCAGCCCCCTTTACAAAGCCATCCTAGCTAGACCTTGTAAAAGTTCAGGCCTGCCGCCAAGCGCCCGGAGGCCTGAATTACCGGACAACCCCAAACACCCCATTCAGACCCAAAATCCCCTAACTAACATGAGACAGGCTTCGGTGTTACGGTTTTGGGTGTATTTAACTTATTTAGCCCCACAGGCCAAATATTCCCCGGTACAGAAACCCTTACAGGAACCCTTGCAGTGGCTCCCTCAACAAACAGCGTGCCCCCACCTTACCTTGAACTCCACCCCTCAAACCTAAACCATAAGCTCTAAACTCTCGAAGAGAGCCTGAAATTTCCTACTCCTACGTACGACCTAAGACCCAAGACCCAGAAGCCGAAGACCTACGACTCCGCCAGTTCTGAGGGAGCCACAGGTCCATCTCCAGGTCATACAAGCAGTTTTCCCACGTCCTGGGGTTTAGGGTCTCCTTTCACTTACCTTTGGTTAGTAGGGAATGGAAGAATGGTAGTAATAGTAGTTATAATTGTAGTAAGTTCAGAGATCCATTCGGGATCTATTGGAGTTCTCTTAAGTTGTCATTGCCAGGACAACCTACTACGTATTGCAGGATTTTAGGATTTGGTTACGGCTATGATTGCTCATATATTCCTTTACATGATAAAGCCCTTACTACAAGAAAACCTTGTAAAAAGCAGCCCCTGCAAAGCCTTAGCTCCTAAACAAGAGCCCAGTTGTTGGGGGGCTGGGGGCTGGGGATCAACATCGGGACAGAAACTTCTCGGGGGTGGGGCGTTCGTCCAATTTCCTTAACCTATTGCCTCTTGGGTCCAGGGTTTAGGGTTTTGGCTTGCATTTTCTTGATGCCTTGAGCCCTGCCCCGTTTGAAACCTGCACCTTGCTACCTGCTCTCCGCGACGGACGCCAACTCGAAACCCTGAACGTTCGACCCTAAACTGATATCCGAATCGGCACCTCAATCCAGATGCCTAGCCCCCCAGCTTTTGAATACTAGGGTTTACCTGAATCGCCGCAGTTGAAGCTAAATGTTGGAACCCGTCACTGGTGGCAGGTCTTCGGGCGGTGGCTAAATGTTGGGCCCCCCAACCTCACACAATCGCTCATTTTCACTGCAAGCGCCTACAACAATCGTGCAAGCTCAACCTTGTACAAGTACAGAGTTCGCTGAGCCACCATTCTTGGGGCACAAGCACGACCTAAAGTCGCGATCCGATTTATGAAATCCTCCGCCATCTGACAAGAATGTGAAATCGGGCTCAATGCTTCACGGTTGGCGTGCAGGTCCAGCCGAAGCTGGAGAATAATGTGGAGCAGCATGTGGAACTTGGGATTGAGCTTGTATCGTGCTAAGCCTCGTTCATATGCCAAACTTGCAATTTTGGCATACATGTGTACCATGGATCTACCAAGCCGGACGACCTTGGGCAGAGAACGGGGGCCGAGAAAAAGGCTCCCCCTGTAGAGCGAACTCATGAAGCCGTCAGCGGATCTGAGGCAAGAAAGAATATCGCTCAAGTATCGCGAATCCGAATCCTGTAGTTCGTGTTTCTCCAGCACATCTTGAAACTTCCACAGCAGATATTTGATCACAAAAGTGGTATCAGCACCTTTGAACCAAGCCCTGGGTCAGAAGTGCAAGAAACACAAAATCTACGATCGCGATTGCATAAAAAAGCACCACAAACCCACAGAAAGATGTGAATCACAAAAGCCAGGGCACCCATACGGAAAGTCTGCTGCACTCGAAATGCCCAAAAGGCTTTTTGTCAAATTGCACATGTGCAAGTACAGGTTGTTAGCCTGCGAGAAAGCTTTCATGTCATCGAAGAGGTAGCTAAGGTTCTTGTCGAGGCCAGTAGCTGTACAACCAGTGATTTTCAAGTCCCACAGGGTAATCTCGGATGCTCATGAGTGATGAAACGAAAAACGTACAAACTCACTTATGGAAACCTTGAGCGGGCTTTTGGGATAAATACTATGATGGTTCAAGAAGGCTTCCTTAGGGTGTGATATGTTAGAAGGGCGGGCTTGTAGGAGATTTTACGGTTTATGTTATTGTGCAGGAAAAGCGCCAACCCTGACCCGGCGAGGTCTGCACCGACCCCCTTGTGGAAGGTATGAAACAGATCTATCATGTAGAACAAGGGCTTCTTGTCCATCTCCATCGGAATCATTCGTGTGAGTCCTGATTCATCCCGTGCTTTCCAAGGATCAACAGCTGTAGCAATGCTTCGGACCCATGCCGCACTGTCAAAGTCATGTTCGTGCCATGTAGGGCACTCCCGGGTGTTGGCCATACAGCAGTGACACATGCCATGTCCAGACGGGTAGGACTCACGAAGATAGTGTCTGTTTAAGCAGCCAAGCTTGCTTAGGGCCGACCAATCGGCTTTCAAACCAAGTGTCGCGATCCGCCATGTCTGGACTGACCCGCCAGAGCGAATCTCCAGGCCAGTGGTGAAGCATTTGCCCAAATCCTCGGCCCAAGCATCCACCAGCCTGCGAAGTGGAGTGGAATCCTTCTGATACTTTTTTTTCGGCATGACGGCAAAGAGCTGCCTTGTAAGCATGGTGTTCCCTCGGAAATTCATTCGTAGCTCGTCTTGTGCAGTCTGTTCATCTTCTGCTTCACAGCCTTGGCCAAGCACCGATTCTGAGCCGAGCACCATTACGGCTGACTTCTTGAAACCCCGACCCTCATCGCCGATCAAGTATATTGGGACTGTAAAAGCCCTGTCTGCGGCAGGCAGCTTGTATACTGGATGATTGGGTTTCAGTGGCTGCATCTTGTCCCAGAAAGATTGAAGGTCTGCACCTGTAGTCAAGGTTTCCAAGCTGCCCCTTTCAGCCAGCAGACGAAAGTAGTCGGAAAATAGGATGCAAGGGTGACATTCTGGCAGACCGACATCTACCAAAGTAACTGGCAGAGGGACTTGAACTTCTGGCATGGAGTCCAAAGCTTTTCTGGTAACACTCGCTGCGTGGCCGGTAGAGTACCCTCGACTCATCTCCAGTAGAAGTTTTGAAGATTGCAACATACCAGCAGCCTCGTCACCAAATGCCCCTTCAACCTCCGATACAACGGCTTGTGCCAGCTCTGTAGCCAACTCATGGGACACCTTGGCTTTGCAACAGCTAGCCTATAAGCAGTTACAACCATTTCTGACATTACAAGAACCGCATCATCATAACTACAACGACAAGACAAAAGAGAAGCCCGAGCTTGGAAACCACCGAGAGACTACTTAACATTGGTAGCCCGAAGTAGACCTAAAAGCCCCCAATCCACATCCTGCTGAAGAAGACCCCAACCCAGCAGCCGTTACCACTAGAGCCCCTGCCCCCAAAGCAACCCCCAAAACATCCTGCATATGAACATTGTGCTGCAAAGCTAGGACTCCAACTACTCTAAGCGGTCCGAGGTATCTTCCAGAGGCGACCATTTTGGGGTGCAGAAGGCAACAGGGGCTAGGGCTTCGGGGTAAGTGTAGGCGATAAAATTGTTGAGCAAGGCACACCTTTCGTCAAGCCTTTAGTCAAGGCCTTCGCCAAAGGCCCAGATTCAGGGACCGAGGCAGAAGACTTGGATCCAAGGCTTTCGATGGATCGCTGGGATAGAGTACCTGCGTGCAGATGCGATCTTTGGCATGGCTTGGGAAGGGACTCTGGCATTGGTCAGCAACATGAGGTTTCTCAAATGCCATGCTGGGTGCACATCTAGCTAGCGAGCATTTTGCCAGCGAGCAGCCAGTCGTAAGAAGGCAGCATGTTCCCCTAGCCGCCAGGCGTAAAGATCGAAGCTCCCGAAGCTCAGCTGTATGCTTGGGTCATGACAACAGCATCGAAGCAACCGTAGCTGCAAGATCTATGGCATAATCAATCGAATCACTTGCGGGGCTTCTTGCTGGAAGCCTTGGCTTTAGGCTTCCCGTTCGGCCGTTCAGGTTTCTCCGGCTTCAGTCCACTCAGCACAGTCCTTGGTGATTACAGCGAAATACATTTGGATTGCATACACATGTACTGAAGTTGGACACCTGATGCGACGGTAATTCCAGGAGCAGTACTTCTTGATCTTGTTCTCCTCCATTGTCATACGGCTCGTCCTAAGCTCGTTGGGATAGTTCCTACAGCAATATTTTACAGCATGTTTGTGACAGCAGCCCAAACGATATCAGATCATGCCGAGCAGCAGCTTGTTGATGCTGTTAATCAACTCCGACACCTTCCTTCCATAATAAAGCACGAAGACTGATTGCATTGTGCATTTCCAAACATGCATGCGAGGTACGAGTGATCAAGATTCTCATCCGAATCGTGGGCTGCTTTGAAGTCGGCCAGCTCGTCGTGCTGCTTGGACAAATCGGCATTGTGCTGCTTCAACTTCGAGGCTTGCCTGAGATGCTCTGTGGAATCACAGTAGTATATGTGCAGCTCTAGGAACCATTGGTAATGTCAGACCCAGCTACACCCGTCAGTAATTTAGGTGGCTTCCTTTCAACCTTAGACCCATAGCACCCACCAAACTCCAAAAGCCCTGCCCCATAACACCCAGCATACTCTAGAAGTGTTGAACCTCCAGCCCCAGCCTGGGCCCGACAATGAAACCTGTAGTTGAACACATGTAAGTCATAGCAGGCCGCAGCACGAGCATCGCCAAAGCAAGCTTCATCAGCCCGTGAAGACCAGTTAAATCCCGAACCCTTTAGGCACGATGTGGTTTATGCAGAAACATAAAGAAGGCTTAACATACAAGCCTATAACCACCCCTGACCTTTGTAGTTTTTGCCCTAGCTAGAGAACTTGCTTCATTCGCATTTATACTCCTATTCCATGTAAAACACCTTACAGAGGTTTCGTGCAAAGTTTCAGAACGAGGCCCATGCGTATTGAGTTTCATGTGGGTTCGGGCTTGCGGGAAAGACTCAGCAAAGTACACATAAAGTCGAGCTACTCGGCGGCGCCCAAACTCTCACATCGCTTGAGGAGCTTGGCAGTCCTACTCTGGATCTTAAGGATCTCATCCAGCAGGCCGGGCACGGCTTCCATGTCGGCCTCTATAGACGACATGACAAATCGAACTGGTCGTACATGCAATCATCAGACTGGAGGGCCATGTGTTCAAGCACCCACGACAAGACCTCATCGTCATCATCGTCTTTCTCTTCCTCCTTCTTGCGTTTTTTCTTCTCCTTTCCTTTGGTCGGCTTAGCAGACTTAGCTCCTGCTCCATCCGAGTCTGATTCCTCTTCGCTGCTTTCATCTTCGCTGTCATCCTCATTGCCATCATCCTCCGACTCTGAGCTTGCTGCGGCGTCCGGGCGAAGCGGCTGGGATCTACTCAAGCCCAAGGGTACCTTGGCAACCTTGGAACCGGAGGCGATCTCCGTCTCTCTTGTCAACTTCTCTCTGTCGGTCTCAGTCAGTGTTCCTTCATATCCTACATCGGCCCAGAACCATTTGAGCTTCTTCTCGTATTTGTCCTTCCTCGGATGAAGAAAGAGTTCAGCTTTACTTAGCAGGAAGCACCCGACACCACAACGAGAGAGGGAGACACAGAGAGAGAGAGAGAGAGAGAGAGAGAGAGAGAGAGAGAGAGAGAGAGAGAGAGAGAGAGAGAGAGAGAGAGAGAGAGAGAGAGAGAGAGAGAGAGAGAGAGAGAGAGAGAGAGAGAGAGAGAGAGAGAGAGAGAGAGAGAGAGAGACAGAGAGAGAGAGAGAGAGGGAGAGAAAGAGAAAAAGAAAGAGAATGAATATATATATATATATATATATATATATTAGGTAGATATTGGTATAGATATATACATATTAATACAAATACATGCGTATACCTACATGAGCGAGAGACGGAGAGAGTGGTCGACACAACCGACCAACACCGATCCTGAACCAATTCTGTTGCCCGACAAGCAGCAACACGTGAGTTTTGCGGTTCTCCTTTCGGAGGCAAAACTTCCTGACGGCTTTGCGGCGGGACCTTAGATGTTGGTTTTGGGGGGTGAGCAGCGAACAATACCGATAAACATGTGCACACGTGCACGACAGAATGATGCAATTAAGGCTCGCCGAAAAGTTCAGGATTTTCTCCATCATCTCGTCGGTGTAGAACCCACTTTTCACTTTGAACTCGTTCGACCGTTCCTGTTGGAACGTGTGCACGACCTGCTGCTTGAAGAGCTCCTGCAGGATATGTTTGAATCACAAGTAAGGACGAGTATGCAGGCGAATCCCACATGATCGGTCCTTGTCCTCCCCACATTCAATGAGAACCTTCCGGAGCTCACGACGTTGCTTACCTCCAGCCTTCCACATACGATGTATGTGTTCTGGTACAGCAACACTACCATCCTTGCGGCGATTGCCACACAACCGGTACAGAGCAGCTTCCAGTCGGGACAGGTCGGTCTTGCTCAGGTTGTCGAGGTCCAGCTTGGAATTTTTGTCCTGCATTGCACAAACAGTAATCTGTCGTCTCTGAACATGCATACACCTGTTCGACATGCCGGTAGAACTATACATCTGCATTGCAGACAATGAACCTTCGCTTTGGTAATCGCGAGAGCTTTCGAAGTGGGCTTCGTAGTTCGGTGCGACCGTGCGGGGACAGGACCCCCTGTTGGGGATTCCGCCTCTGTAGGCGTGATTTCATCATCGTCGTGCCCGGGTTCCTCTGTCTTGATCGGCTTCAAGACCTGCTCGGCTTTTATGTTGCCAGGCAAGCACAGAAGACAGGGGATATAGAAGTACAACCGCAAGCATGAAACTATCATAGCCGTCCTTGAAATTCTTCAATGGCGAGCCATCGTAACCATCCTGGGATGTGATCACTGCAGCACAAAGACACGGAGTACGATGTAACTATAGAACTTGAAGAACATCAGCTGGGGGGTTCTGTAATTAAGCAAAGTCACGGCTCCCACCATGTAGCAGTCCTCGTCCTCCTCATCGAACTCCCTCACGGTGGCCTCCAGGAGAGAGTGATAGCCTGCATCCAGGTGCCCAGGAGCCTCCTCATCTGGAAGCTGCAAGGTTTCTGACAGAGCACATGGACCCTGGGCTGCACCATCGAAAGATAGCAGCAGGGATTTGCGGGGTGTGGCAGACTTTGGAGTGAAGCCGGTGAGGCCTTTGGCCTTTCTACGGCTACGGGATCCAGGGGTTGCCTTTGGTGCTTTGGTTGGGGTTGAAGACGTGGCCCAAGGGTTCTGAGCATCTTCCTGGCTGCCATGCAAGCGGCTGGGGGAGTCCACACGACCCATCGGCTTTTCAAGCTCCACCCCCAACTCCTCACCATCATGGCTCGGCTTTTCAAGCTCCACCCCCAACTCCTCACCATCATGGCTCGGCTTTCCAAGCTCCACTCCCAACTCCTCACCACCATGGCTTGGCTTTTCATGCCCCGACCCAACCCCATCATCTACGTGTCCGACTCCATACCCCTGGTCGGCCTCATCATCACCCCTTAGCACAAGCCTGCGGGTCTTCTTCCTGCGAAGTTTTCTCTTCGCCCTCTTTCCCCCTGAGGACGGCGGCTCCGGCGTGTCGGCCTCCTCGGCCTCTGCAGCCGGCACTTCAGCATCATGAAGTGGCTCCTCGGCCTCTTCGGGTGCTGCACTGCCCTCCTCATGCCCTGCTGGCACCGGTTCAGGAGGCAGCAGAACACTTTGTTGCAGGTGCTGGAGCCTTTTCTGGGCGTCCTGCAAAGAACGAAGGCAAGTTGTGAATGCATGACGAGTACGAAGTTGGAACTTAACATATATTTGAGTTCATGATCAGGGCAAGCGAGCAGTCCTGAATCATTTGTTCCAGGGAGGGTTCGGGCTCCTCCTTGACGGGCTTCTTACTGCTGTCAAGGTGTAACGACGACGACGAAGCGGCACGACGTTTGCGGTTTGGCTTCGCCATAGCAAGTTCTGCAATCCAGCAGCATCTAGCACAAGAGCCGATCCTCGAACCGACAGCAGCACACCGAATGTCATATACATACATCTCTTGCTTGAAAGTTGCTACAAACCCTTCTAAATGTGAGAGGAAAAGCAACATATGCTTTTCTGCGCCACTTCTGTGGGTTTCTGCGCCACTTCTGCGGACTTCTGCGCCACCGGGCTGTTGCTAAAAATTCTGTGTTTGTGCTACAAAGATCGACAAAAACACTCAAAACCGTAGTGGCTGATATTAGTTTGGCGACAGCCCGACGTCTCTGCATGCGGTGGCAGCTTTCACTGCTACTCTTTGGGTAACCTAGCACACCCAAGCCCAAAACCTAAAGGGTGACTAAACTACACAACCCTAACCGGTGACACCATGGCTGGTGCATCTCAGGATCTTTGCGATGGCTCCTCTCCAGATTTGGCCGGACTCTGCGGCTTTCCTGGTGCAAGGGGCATTGGCTGCATAGAACGTTCTGGGAAGGGCCACCGAATGCATTGTGATTTCGACAAGCCATATCCTGATCTATTGTCGGGGGTCGCAAACCGTACACGTGTAAAGGGATCCTTGTAGGACAGGAGGCAATACTTCACTACGTAATATAATATGCGGGTTTCATCACAGCCATGCACACACACACACACACATGTTTAAGGCCCCACATGCAGCCACAACCATATATGCAGAAGCAACACCCATCATCATGTAAAGAGCATCACCACTGGCCATCGGTATGTTAACTACCCAAGCCACCCTTAAAGACCCATACGATACATGCAAACACGTGCGATGGGTGCCTTGGTCTGCATTCGTCAGAGTCAGCAACAGGATGAGGTAAAAAGGGGCCCATTGCCGCCCCAGTTGAGCATATCTTTCGCCAACCATGTAGGCCTCAACATGTGTAAGCAAGAGGTAGCACTTGCACGGTCGAGGCACTTGTAAAGGCAACCACAAGAGGTCATGCAGTTACAACGACAAAGGCACCAGGCACAACTAAGCTGCTGGATAATTCCATGACCGGACACAAGCCCAGGAGCTGACGATGGTCGCCATGCACAACCTCGGGTGGCGAACGATCAGGGAATAATCTATGCAGGACAGAAGAATGCATGGGGTTCGATATCTCGCTTGCATCAAAGCAGCCGAACCCCCAATCATATCCGGATGTTCGTCGGTTTCCTAGGAAGCAGCGGCAAGTCAATTGCCAAAGAGTTACAAACAAGGCCGTTTCCAATTTGCCGGGCGGCAGATGAGGCGAAGATCCCCACGAGTAGTTAAGCCCACACCAGTGTGCACCTGTTGCCAAAGAAGACATGTTCTTCAAACTCCAGCGACTGTCTGTTTCTTCACCATAGACTTTACATGTGCATGTACTTGTGCGAATGTATATTCCAGAGCTTGTGTGTGCATGCGTGGTTCTGTCTGAGAGTAGGCCAAGGTTATTTAGTGCAACTTCGGCACTTACTTGCACATATTAAGTTTCCTGCTGTGTGCAAAGGGAGGCATGTCTTTAGGTACACATGCATATGTAAGCATGCATGGCATGTCGGCGTGTGTGCGGGTGTGTGTGTGTGTGTATGTCTGTGTGTTGTCTACAGGCATGCATTCAGGAATGCGTGTGTGTGTGTGTGTTTATGTCTATACCTGTGTGCACATGATTTGTGCTGTGCATAAATGTATTTAGAGATGTACAGATGTATGGGTTGTGTGTGTGTGCATATACGGATGTCTCTGAGTGAGTGAGTGTGTGTGTGTGTACTGTGTGTATGTATGTATGTAAGGATTTATGTACATGTGTATGTATGTATGTGTGTATATATGTATGTGTTTATGTATATGTGTGTGTTCTGGCTGTATGTATTTATATATGTATGTATGTGTATGTATGTATGTATGCATCTGTGTAAGTATATATATATATATATATATATATATATATGTATGCATGCATGCTTGTAGGTATGTATGTATGTATGCCTGCATGATGTACATATGTTGTGCAAGTATGCCGTCATGTAGGTAAGTATGACTATATATGTATATATAGCCATGCATGTGGGCATGTAGGCATGTAACTGGCTAGATAGATGGATAGATAGATAGATAGGCAGACCCGTCGAAGACCATCTAAGGAACCTACTATAATCCCTCATCGTAGAACCCATATCACACCCTAAAGCCCGCTATACCACCTTCATTCAGGCGGGGCCGGTAGGTTTGCGGGTTGGCGAGGATCCGGGGCTGCGGTTTCGGGGGCGGTGGCTCCGGTTACAAGGCTGCGACTCCAAGCCTGCGTGAAGTCGATGTTGTCGCTGATGCCAGGGGTCACGAAGCAGTGAAACAAACACATACATTGCAGCAAACTCTGGCTTGAGTTCTTACTGAGGCAACAACATGCCGTAGTGGCTTCTAGAGCTGCAGGTTGCTAGGCGAGGCAGCTTATGTAGTCGAGGTTTCAAGCTTCGAGGCCCACTGCTGCGGTTTATATGCATGACAACACAACACTGAAGTGCAACAGCCACCACAGAAGTCGCATCTTGGCAATGCACCCAACTGCTGCAACTGCTCCGACGGTGATGCGAACTCAGCCGAAACAGCGGGGGCACGTTTGAGCTTGCCCTTTAGGAGCTTGCCGCCTCGAACCATGGAGCGATGTGTCGGTCACCTGGCATGGAAAGGCTTTGGAGGACTTGTCTGGGTTTAGGGCTTTGGGGGCCACTAGGGTTTAGGGTTTGTAAGGTTCGGCCAGGGGTTATAGGGTTACCGGACTGAGTCTATTGCAAGATCAATGGATACAGCAGCATCGTTCCTGTGCATGCTACGTGCAGCACCATTTTCGGTCGTGCGGGGAGACTGCAGGCCTATGGAGTCGGTTGCCTGCAGCACAGCCACACCTAATGCCCAAAGCACACGAGTCGAGATGTGCAGATTAAAGCACACATGACAGCCCGGTCTGGCCCAGGATTTGGCGTTATACACGTAAGCCCAGAAGCCCAAGGATCGTGTAGGGGTGACTAGCAAGCTGGAAGAATACAACTGTTTTCGTACACTCCTGGCACCAGAGTCTATGGCTCTCATGCATGTTCATGTTCCCAGAGGCCACTTTTGGCCTGCCTGCTGGTTTTCGTGGCAGACTTGAAGACCCTATTGAGTAGTGTTGGCTAGTTATAACCTCCACCTATAAAAGCCCTAATGATTCCTAATGGAACCAATCCCATATAATCCCTATAAGCCCCCATAATAAGCCTATAAGCCCGACATACAGCTCTCCTAGGACGAGTTTGCAAATGAATTGTCTGCAGTTCGATCACTCCAGCAGGCCCCCCAACCCGAGTATATGCACCGAAGCTCAGGGGAGATGATAATTGCGATCGTTGCACCGAAAAACATAGACTACTCAGTCATGTTAAGTCCCCGAAGCTCCGTGCATACGTAGCTTCAAGATATCGGCTGCAAGATGCAACAGCTCAGGATCTTCGGGGTCCTCGGGGCCTAAAGTTAGGATTGCGGCAAACCGAACATCCTCCTTTGAGGTATCTGCACTTGCCACACCCCAACTTCCTCGGCGGAACAGCGGATGACGGCTCGCCAGAAGGCTCGGGATCTTCCGGATCTTCTGGACTCTTCTTGCATTTCTTGCCAGGTCCCTTTTTGCCGTTCGGCTTGCTCTTGTCACTCTCGGTGTCCTTGCCCTTGCCCTTGCCCTTTGCCTTACCTTTCTTATTGCTCTCGGCCTCGTCATTGCTCGAGTTGGTCTTCGAACCCTTCTTGGAACCCTTTCCCTTGCCTTTCTCGTTGCCCTCGACACTGCTCGACTTTGCCTTTGACTTGGAATCCTTGCCCTTACCTTTGCCCTTGGCCGCCCTGATGGCAGCTTTCTTGTCAGCACGAAGCGTCCTCTGCTGCATGGGATCAACCATCGGGGTCTCGAGGTCATTCTCCTGCAGCAAATATGCGTAGTAATTGCATGTGCAGTGGGCCCATACAGTGATGCTACATGTTTGGGCTCAGGGTCCTTGTCCAAAGGTGCGGCTTTCTTGAGGATCCCGGGGCGGGAGCTTGAGGTTGATTTCGGAGTACCAGCGGAGCTGGCCGGCGATGTGGCCGTATGGATATCCATCGGCTGTGTCTCCACCTGAACACACACACACACACGGGTATGTCATTTCACAACCAAAAGCCCCTTGGGCCATACATGTAATGCAGAATGCACCAACCAGCATCAGATTATGCTCTCAACCTGAGAAAGAAGACTGCCTCGTCAGGTGACACAGTGGAGGATGCAGCTCTCCGTCGCTTCTTACTCGAGGCCGTCGATGGAGTCGTACCTGGGATACATTTATTGATTTGGATTATGAGGCTGGCCCGGGGAATAATGCATTATACAGATATGTCAGTCGGGATGCTGAGTTTGCCAGCTGAAGTCGGAGAAGTTCCATTGGACCTGTGTATGGTAAAACTGTGGCTGTGATGTGCATGCTGCGTGCAGGGATCTCTTGGCGGGGCTGCGTGCGGGGTGTGATGGGGTGTGTCTTCGCCCCTCTCCTTTCTCTCCCTCTCCCTGTCGCTCTTTGCAAGCGAGTCGCCGATTTCCAGTAGAATATACATACCCCATGCGTATCTCTCTCTCTCTCTCTCTCTCTTTCTCTCTCTCTCTCTCTCTCTCTCTCTCTCTCTCTCTCTCTCTCTCTCTCTCTCTCTCTCTCTCTCTCTCTCTCTCTCTCTCTCTCTCTCTCTCGCTCTCTCTGTCTCTCTCTGTGTCTCAACCCTCTCTCTCATCGGCGGCACAGAAGCTGCAATGGAAGAAGTTTCGTTTAGGACAGTATATTACACGGGAACAACTGAGACCAATGCTTGATCTCCAACAGTGCGATCTGCTTCAAGAGATCATCCAACTGGGCTCGCTGGTCGGACTTCGACTCATCTACAAAAAGAACCTCCTCGTCCTTTAGAGATGTCTTTGCCCCGAGTCGCCGGACCGGCGTCTCCATCTCCACCTCCACACACGGATCATTCTCCATGTCCTCTTCCTCTGCTTGTTCGCCTCCCTCCACACATTCATCCTCCTCCTCCTGCTCCTGTTGCTCCTTCCTTTTGGCCTCGGCCAGCTCAGCCTTCTGCTTGCAAGCACCCTTGAGTTTTTTCACCGGGGCTGGAAGCGTTTCCCTCAAATCACGAATCAACTTGAACAAGTTCTGCACCGACTTTGCCTGCATGAAGATTAAAAGGGATCCCGGCAACCATCATCTATGTTTACATAGCTTCAGATGGAACAGAAAACTGAGAACCCAATTTGCAAAGGAGACTCAGCAGGTGTCTGACCCCTGGTGTAGCAATCGGCTTCCCTTCTGAAGGCGTAGCTGTAAAGCTTGCGTAGCCCCCAGCCGTCTTTGTACACCTGTTGAGAGGTGACCTCCCAGCCGCAATCTTCGTAGAAAGATTGAACCTTAGCTGGCTAGCATTATGATGGAGTTCGAAACGAAGGTCATTAGAGGGAGAAAACAGCCCACTCGTACCCACAAAACGATTCAGCTTGAAGCCCAGCCACAACCTCCGAAAGGGGCTCGATCTTAACAGGATCCAGAGTCTTCAAAGCTTCCACCATACAACGAACCATGGGGCAATTGTATTCGAGGGTTCGGGTACTCGGTTCACCCTGCTTCTCATCAGTCTCGTCCATCCATCGCAGCCAAGTTTTGCCCTTCTTCTGTCGAGACTTCGAAAGGGGCAAACCCTTCCAGGCTTTCGGAAGTCGACTGAACGACATGTCGAGACAGGGAGCTCTACCCTGAATCCTGGGCCCTGGAACTTGAAGCCACAAATCTGCACCGAAGACTCATGCTGAATGCGGCTTCCAATCTCGGTGTGAACGACCACATCCCCCAAGGTAACCATGCCTGGGTGACCCAAGCTCATCGATGAGGCCAGCATCCAGAATCCGGGTCCTTCAAGAAGGGCGGTGGTTGCTTATGAGGTGTTGATCTAATCTAATGAATCTAATGTGGTTGCTTATGAGTTTCTGATCTAATCTGATCAAGCCAGCCTCCTGCTGCGGCACCCAGCCCCAGTCGGCGGCCCATCCAGAGGATTCCTTTCGTCTTTGGGATAAGTTGGAAGTTTTCTCCGTTTTCGGCGCTCACACTCGTTTCTCCGTTTTAGGGTTGTGGGGAAATTAAGTTGCTCGGTTGTTCTACACAGGAGGTTTTATGTGGTTTGTAAGGCCGGCTTTTGCTGTAAGCATGGTTTGCATGGTTGATCGAGGCGTTTAGTGTAGATGCCGAGGTGGCATAAAGGCATCCCCGGAGCACATTCAACAGCACTGTGTATGCATTTGTGTATGCGAGCATGCGAAAACACACACATGTGAACAAATACCGACGAACACACAACCACACTTGCCTATGTATGCACTTAGCATACAACACATCACAAAGAGATACAGCAACATATACACACATGTTTCTGTGCATATATATATGTATATATATTCATATGTATGCATGTGTGCAGCGAACTACAAACATTCAGACAGGATATGAGGATGAGCAGCAGAGCACATACACACACACACACACAGCGGTGCTTTTTAAATGGCACCAGCCGCACATAAGATACTGAAAGGCGTACCGAAGTCAATACTACTGGTAGACCCAGAATTCTCGATTTTTAAAGCAGGCCTCACCAATCATCTAGATTTGGAGTCTAAGCTGTACAGGAATGATCTATCCAATCTAATCTAGCATCGAACCTGACCACCCCGAACCCTCGAGCCCGACACTTTCCATCCCAACTCTCCTCTCCTGCTTCATCGGCTCATTCGCCAGGTCGCGGTCGATCGACGGAGCATGGGAACGGAAAAAGTCGGCTTCTTTAGGGATATGCTTTGCGGTTTAGGGATATGTGGCATGGTCATAAAGGCTTTAATATGATATTTGGCCTTACCAAGTTGGCCAGCATTGGAAGCAGGCTTTCATAGTCATCTTTAGATGGTGTAAATACAGCTCATATGGTCTTATCTTTGGTTCAACGCAGGCAAAGTTTCGATTGATCACCCTGAAACCCCCAGTGGCATTTTATGGGCCTCGGTGGCCTAAAGTAGCGGTGTTCAGCCAGATTTCTGCAGCTGCAACTTTTGTGCACAACTCTGGCGTTCCAGGTAGGGTTTGAGGTTTAGGGTCCCTTGCTCCCCCCCCCCAAAGAATAGCCTGCAAAAAACAGCAACCCTTAATCCAAAAACCACAAGTCCCAAAGTCCTACGACTCTTACAGGTAACCCTTGATTCAAGAATCTTCAAAATAAAGCCCTTCAAGGACCCTCGAAAAAACGGAACACGTAAAGAACCCTTCCAAATCGTGAACCCTGATTCCTCATAGAACCCCTATGCAGATCCGTCGAAGGAGCCCTTGAAGGATTGCTCCTGCTCCGCTGGAAATCCTGCGGCAGGTCGACGTAGTCGTGCAGCCATGTGAAGAGCGTGCGGACGTCCGCCTCTTTTGGAAACTTCTGGAGTTCGGGCTCAGGGAAGATACGCTGCTTTGAACTACCAAATTCTACTTGTTTCTAGGGTCAGTAAAAATTCGGTGTTAGGGTCTATTCAAAAAGCGACCTATGGTAGTTTTTAAAGTAAACCATATTTGGGATCCCACAATTACTTGAGGTACATTCCTTAGTTGCGGGCTTCTTGGAAGATGTGGGTCGTTGGATTTTTTAGGGCGCGGTGAAGGATTACAGTAGGGCTTGGTAAGCAAAAACAGCTACTAGTGTGTCAGGAGTTGTGGTTTAAGATAAAGTTTCAACTGGCCTGTGATTGTTATACTCTTCGGTGGCCCGTGCCTTCTAAAGTCTACTTGTAACCTGCTCACCATCTCACCGGAACCTTGCACACATTTGCACACTGTCCAGGTTTAAAGCATCAGAGACTTTTTGGAAGGGGACGGAGGGGATTCGTAAAGTTTAGGTTTAAGCTCACTTTGGGACCGGTATGCTGCTGTTGCAGGTCGACAAGACCATAGATCAAGCTTGTGCTTGAAGCTTGGATTTCGGATTTCTGGGTGATTCATGCGTGGACTTGCATTGAGGGCTGTGCCGGTTGAGGCTTGAGAGGAAAGGATTTGGGCGTGGTGATTTTGGATTTCAATCTGAACAAGGATGGGAAGCCTACCAACTTGATCGGTGTCCGAACGCGAACCGAAACCCTATACCGCTACACCCTCCTCCACACAATTGATTCCCTGACCCTAAACACGAAAACCTACACCGCCTACACCCCAAGTCACCACTTTTTCGTCGTCACAACGCCAGGTCTGAAGCAGCCGCCGTGCAATTTGCAGCCTTTCGGCTATGCTTGGTCCGCGCTCCTCGCCACCTCAGGGTTTCAGGGGGTTTAGGGTTTAGGGTGTAAGGCTTTAGGGGTTTATGGTTTAGGGTTTAAGGTTTCAGGGGATAGGGTTAGGCGATAGAGCTGTGGCTCTACCATCACCTGCCACATAAACCGGAACATAAACTAAGAATTTCTAGGACAACACAGTTTCAGGATTCCTGTAAGGGGACGGCTTAGGGCTTAGGATTTACCCTAAGGCCCCAAAGTAGTTCCTTTTTGGGGTTCATATATAGAATCCTATAAGGTAATCCGAAAAAGGAACTACTTTGGGGCCTTTGGGTAGGGTCTATCAGGATTCTATCCGGGATCATGTCATTGGGCCTTGCTGTAAGGGTTTTCGGAGGTTTAGGGTTTAGGTTCTGCTATAGTCCAAGGGTAAAAGGAGGGACCCTTAATAAGGACCCCCAGGTATATACCCTTAATATAGCTACTGTATACCCATTATATAGCCCATTATAGGGTAAGGGTCCTTATTAAGGGTCCCTCCTTTTCCCCTTTGATATAGTAGAGCTCAGAGAGGATATCATAGGTACGTAGAGCGGAGTCCTAAGTAGCCCCCAAGTAAGCCAAGTCGTAAAAGCCTTTATGGCCCTGAGGACCACCCTTAAAAGTAGGGATCCCACACCCTTATAATATGAATCCCTATATGGTATAAGAACCTTAGACCTTAGACCCTTTTAAGGTTCATTTCGTCTTTAGGGAGTAGAGCCCGATGCTACCGGCCTTCTTCCTCCGCAAGCTCGAGGAGTCTCACGATGTCGGAGACGCGGGCGCCAGAGGGATGTCCTTGATGGGACGCAAAAAGGGGGGTTTAAGATTCTTGGGGTATGGATTCCTTAATTTAATTGAACCCGATCTTGGGAACCCTAACCCCTACTAAACCCCCATAGGCTAAAACCTCTTTTGGCCTCCTATGAGTCCTGCTTTGGGCTTTCGGAGCGTAGAGTTTTAGAGTAGAGAGGTGGCTCTTGACTTTTCTTGCTTTTGGCGGGGTTATGGCTTTAGGACTTAGGATTTGGGAGCTTCGGGTTGTGGATACCTAAACCCCTAAACCCGAAGCCCTTAGCAGGAAAGGCTTAGCAGTTACTGCAGGTTTCCGGCCTGTCAAGAGCATTCGCAGCGGCCGGTGCACGTGGGAGCCTCAAAGCCAGAGGGAGGCGTTGGGTGTACCTTTACCTCATGTATGAATGACGAGCCATATAATGTCTAAAAATGTCGAAGCTAGACTCCGGAATAAATCACCGGGTACATCTTTCCCTCTGCTGTTGCGGGCGTTGAGTGTGCAAGCGATTAGGGAACTTCGCACGTGACGCTTACAAGTCTGCAGCAAACAAACCTTGCATTTTTGCACCCACTACTTGGAGAGTCGAGGGACTTAGTGACTTAGTAAGTAGTGAGTTCATGGACTTATAAGTTTCATAACCCAAGTAGGATCCCTTTTTAAATACTTCTAAGATTCTAAGTCTACTTCTTGTTCCCTACTTACTAAGTCCCCCGACACTCCACGTACCCGAAACTCTTGATCCTCACAGTCAGGGCTTGGAGTTCAGGATAATGTAGCCGGCCCGAAACGCTTGATGATATAAATCCGGAGCCTGTAAAGGCATCTATAAGGGTACCTTTATAAGGGGTTCCTTTACGAGATATAGCCGGCTTACTCATCAAACAACCAGAAGAAGTTTTCGAAGGTATATGATACAATCAGAACAAAGTTTGCGGGGTGTACAATCAGAATAGGTCTGGGTGGTTAGTATACTGGAACTAGGAACTCTAGGGAATAAGGCCAGCACTTATCAGCAAATCGAGGCCTTGGTATTGGGGGGGGGGGGGCTTCGGACATGAAGCCTTTGCGCCCCTGCTTCTTGAGCTCGTCGATCAGGTCGGGCAGCGAATCGCTGGTGAGAGCGCCGCTGTGCGAATGCACAAACTCCTGACAGAGTGCTGCGAGAATCGGTCCGAGAATCCTCTAGCACTAGCCCATTACGGAAAGATAGGGTTCCCTTTAAGGGTGCCTTTAAGGGTTCCTTTTAAAGGTTCCTTTCAAGGTTCCTACAAAGCCACTAGCAGGATTCTATAAGGATGCTAGGGCTAGAGAGGTTTTGGGGTTTGGGACTGTGCGGCTTGGAATCCTTACCCCCCAAAGCCCTTAAACCCTTCATGTTTAGGGTTTTGGGTTCAGGATCTAACATTACGGGCTTACCTTAACCTACCAAAAGTATAAACCTAGACTTTAAGGGACCCTACAGAAAAGTAAGCTTCGCTGGTGCTAGGTAGGGTTTGCGGCTGCCACACAGAGCTCTGAAGCCTAGCCTCCCTCAAAGTTGAGCTCGCAACGCAGAGAATCCAAAATCCCTGGATGATTAAAGGTTTAGGGCCTTCAGGGCCTTTAGAGTCACACCTTAACCTCCCAAAACCTACTTTTTTGTAGGGTCCCTATATTCTCCATATTAGGGTTTATAATAAGAACCTACAAAAAAGTAGGGTTTGGTTTGGTAGTTTAAGGCATATCATGAACTCGTATACTGTACAAAAGTATGTGTGCTGAATCAGCTTGGAGCTCGAAATCCCGGCATCCCGTCCTCGAGATACGCCGCATCCGCCACCAGCTCCTGCAAATGGACATCCTCCTGCAGTTTACTGGGTTCTTGTTAAGGAAGCTAATTTAAGCTACCATAATACGCATCTATCGTAAATCATACGGTTGCCTTACTATGATAGCTTAAATTAAATCCCTTAACAAGAACCCAGTTTACGGTTCAGGGCTTGGGCCTCTGCAGAGATTTGGGCTTGGGGGGGCCTCGGTTCTTGGACGTTTTGGGGCTGAAGGCTTAAGGGGATGTAGGGGTTAGGGTTTAGGGTTAGGGATTAGGGCTGAGTGGTTTAAAGCTTGAACACTGGATTTCTGTGTTCTTACTTGCAAGGCCTCACAGGTTCGAGATGTAAGCTCAACCTCACTGATCATATCTTGCCCTGAAAACGCATGTGCGCTTTGGGTTTTCACTGGTAAAACCTCAACCCTGAAACCCTTAAACTAAACTCCTAAAGCCCATAAGCACGACAAACTGTAAGGGTTTAGGGTCTAGGGTATAGTCCATTGGCAACGATACAGAGACGATACTCTAAAACTCCGAAAATCGTATCACAAACGCTGGAGCTCCGCAAAACCCTCCCCAAACGCTAAAACTCTATAAAAGACATGAGACCCGCAATCATATATTATCGGGTTCCTTGCGGGCAGCTTGATGACCGAATCCCTTAAAAGAGCCCTTTATGGAATTCTTGAAATCATGAAGGCCCACCTTAACCCCGAAAAACCTGTCTCTGTAAGGGCTTATACAAGGGCCCTGAAGTTAAAAAGGAACCCTTGTAGAACCCTTGAAGGAACCCCTGTAGAACCCTTAAAGGAACGGCCCAAGACTAGGATGCCCAGTAACCGAGGAATAAGAAGGGCTCCCCTTTTGGTCTTGGGTACCTTAACAAGGAACCTAGGACTACAAAAAGGAACAAGGGTACTACTGGGCATCCTAGACGACATAATATAGAATACTATAGATCCCTTATGGACCCCTTTAAAGGACCCCTCAAAGGAACCCCTATTCTACTAGCTGATTATGAAGGCCCGCAATATATCAACCCCTTCACTGGGCCTCGGCCTTGCGGAAGCCTCAAAAATCCTTTAATACCCCTTATCGTAAACCCTATAGAACCCCTTTAAAGGAACCCTTACATGATGGGAAGCCAAAAGAGGGGTTAAAGATTCTTGGGGTAGGGATTCCTTATTATGGCAACCCTGATCCCTACTAAACCCCCATTTTTGATTAAGGGAACCCTAACCCTTCACCGGGCCTCGGCCTTGCGGCAGGTGGCCTCCAAGGTGAAGCTCAAGACATCGCGCATCTCCCGCAGGGCCTCTCGGCTCAGGGTTCAGAGTCTTCAGGGGTTTAGGGGTTACCTTAACCTCCCAAAACCTACTTTTTTGTAGGGTCCCTATATTCTCCATATTAGGGTTTATAATAAGAACCTACAACAAAGTAGGGTTTGGTAGTTTAAGGTAGGCTTTAGGGTTTGGGGCTTTATGGGTTTAGGGTTTAGGGCTTTAAGGGTTAAGGCTTTAGGGGCTATGGCTTTATAGGGTTTAGGGTTTAGGCGTGCAGGGCTTCGGGTTTAGGATTCAGTATTGGGCGTGATTTGGAGCTTAGGGCTGTGGCTGTCGGAGGCGTTCACAGCGCCTTTCGCGAGCTTCCAAAAGGCAGATTTTTCAAGGGTTTTCAAGTTTGGTGGTTTAGGACATGCTTGAAAATTTGGGGTCTTGGTTGTAGGAGTTTGTCGTTTGGTTTGGTCATGCCTGCAGAGTTAAGATCTACCTGGAGGACCGAGATCAGCCATAACGGTTCTGCAAGGGTTCTGTAGACTAACGAAGGGCATATAGGGAACTCCAGAAAGTTGGAATATGGTTTCATGGTAGGATACCCTATAATTTACCATAGAAGGGTTAGGATAATCATATTCCAACTTTCTGGCTTTTACCGTATATGGCTGCGATCGGATTTAGGAGCTGCGGGTGCTCGATTTGGGTCCATGGATTTTGCGGTTTGCAAAGGAGGGTCTTGGTTGCAGGAGTTGGCTTGGCAGAGTTTACTGTGAGCGTCGGGGTCGGCGGGGCGAGAACAAAAAATAGAACTGCCGTGGCCCGCCGGGTCTTTTTACACCAGATGTGGCAAACCTGCCACTTGTTGTTGCTGGCTCGCCGGGTTCGGCAGGACCGGAGCAAAGAAAGAAAAACACAACCCCCTTTGCAAAAAAAACACCAAACCTAAAACCCTAAACAGGAAGCCCAAAGCCATGTTCGCCTGAAGCATCTAAACCCTCATATCCCTTTGGAGAAAGAGCTATACACCGTAACTCTACGCCACCTCTTCGCCCGGAGTTAAACCCTGCACCCTAAACTCCTACACCCTAAACCCTAAACCCTAAATCGAAAAACCCTAAACCCCTAAACCCTAAACCCCTGAACCCTAAACCCCTAAACCCTAAACCCCTAAACCCTAAACTGAAGGCCGACCCCCCACCGCAGCGAATGGGGTCGGCCGCAGCAGGCGGACCGGAAGGCGCCTGCCGGACCGTAGGCGATGGCCGAAAGGCAAGCCGTAGGTCCTGGACCTCAGGTCCACGCGGCTCCAGTGAATAGGCCGCTACTGTCAGCCTATATAATAATAACCCTAAACCTCAGTGCAAACCGGCCGGGGACCCTTGGATTCCTCCTTTCTGGGCCCCGGTAAACCTTAGTGCAAATGGCCGGGCACCCTTGGATTCCTCCTTGCTGCCTTTAAAGAGCCTTAAATTAAAGACCCGGAACCGAAAATTAAGGACCCGGAGCTTAAAATTAAGGACAGGAACCGAAAATTAAGGACCCGGAGCTCAAAATTAAGGACCGGACCTAAAACTAAGGACCCGGAACCTAAAATTAAGGGCCCGGAGCTTAAAATAAGAATTAAAACCTAAAATTGAGGACCCGGAGCCGAACATTAAGGACCCGGAGCTTAAAATTAAGGACCGGACCTAAAATTAAGGACCCGGAGCCGAAAATTAAGGATCCGGAGCTTAAAGTTAAGGGCGCGGAGCTTAAAATTAAGGGCCACGGAGCCTAAAATGACCTAAAATTCAGGACCCGGAATCGAAAAGTAAGGACTCGGAGCTTAAAATTAAGGACCGGACCTAAAATTAAAGACCCGGAGCCGAAAATTAAGGACCCGGAGCTTAAAATTAAGGACCGGACCTAAAATTAAGGACCCGGAGCATAAAATTAAGGGCCCGGAGCTTAAAATTAAGGGCCAGGACCTAAAATTAAGGACCCGGAGCCGAAAATTAAGAACCCGGAGCTTAAAATTAAGGCCAGACCTAAAATCAAGGACCCGGAGCCCAAAATTCAGGGCCCGAAATTAAGGGCCAGGCTAAAATTAAGGCACCGGAGCTTAAAATAAGGACCGGACCTAAAATTAAGGACCCGGAGCCTAAACTTAAAGGCTCGGAGCTTAAAATTAACCGGACCTAATTAAAATTAAGAACCCAGAGCCTAGCGCAGGCCCCCACAAAGCCTGCAGAAGGTCCTCCCCCGTAAACCCTGCAGAGGCCCCAGAGGCCACAAGCCCACCGAAGCCACCCAGAAGGGTTTTTGGGTCACTTTGGGGCCTGGAGATTGTCACTTTGGGGCCTGGAGATTGTCACTTGGGGGCCTGGAGATTGTCACTTTGCGCCTGGAGATTGTCACTTTGGCGTTGTGGAAAAGTTGGCCTGGTCTGGTTGCAAGTTTTTGCAGGTTTTGCGAGGTTCTTAAAGGCTCAGAGTGGTTTTTAAAAGTTTTGAATGGTTTTTGTAGCTGTTTCAATAGGTTTTAAGCAGTTTTGAAGGTGGGCAAAAAGGTGTCCAGAAGGTTTCCAGAAGGCCGCGCAGCCCCCACAAAGCCTGCAGAAGGTCCTCCCCCGTAAACCCTGCAAAGGCCCCAGAGGCCACAAGCCCACCGAAGCCACCCAGAAGGCCCTTTGGGTCACTTTGGGGCCTGGAGATTGTCACTTTGGGGCCTGGAGATTGTCACTTTGGGCCTGGAGATTGTCACTTTGCGCCTGGAGATTGTCACTTTGGCGTTGTGGAAAAGTTGGCTTGGTCTGGTTGCCGAACCATATAAGCCCCCCTTGCTAGGGGGGGTTGGGGGGGTAGACAACCCTACCTAAACTTAAAGGCTCGGAGCTTAAAATTAACCGGACCTAATTAAAATTAAGAACCCAGAGCCTAGCGCAGGCCCCCACAAAGCCTGCAGAAGGTCCTCCCCCGTAAACCCTGCAGAGGCCCCAGAGGCCACAAGCCCACCGAAGCCACCCAGAAGGGTTTTTGGGTCACTTTGGGGCCTGGAGATTGTCACTTTGGGGCCTGGAGATTGTCACTTGGGGGCCTGGAGATTGTCACTTTGCGCCTGGAGATTGTCACTTTGGCGTTGTGGAAAAGTTGGCCTGGTCCGGTTGCAAGTTTTTGCAGGTTTTGCGAGGTTCTTAAAGGCTCAGAATGGTTTTGAAAAGTTTTGAATGGTTTCTGTGGCTGTTTCAATAGGTTTTAAGTAGTTTTGAAGGTGGGCAAAAAGGTGTCCAGAAGGTTTCCAGAAGGCCGCGCAGCCCCCACAAAGCCTGCAGAAGGTCCTCCCCCGTAAACCCTGCAAAGGCCCCAGAGGCCACAAGCCCACCGAAGCCACCCAGAAGGCCCTTTGGGTCACTTTGGGGCCTGGAGATTGTCACTTTGGGGCCTGGAGATTGTCACTTTGGGGCCTGGAGATTGTCACTTTGCGCCTGGAGATTGTCACTTTGGCGTTGTGGAAAAGTTGTTTGTTGTTGTTGCTTCCAAACCATATAAGCCCCCCTTGCTAGGGGGGGTTGGGGGGGTAGACAACCCTAAACCCGTTCAAGGTTTGAAATTAGGGTGGGAGGGTGGGCATTGCAGCTCATGCGCCGACCCCAACCACTTCATGGAGGGGTCGACAGCGCACTCGCAGCGAAAACCCCTAAACCCTAAACCCGAAACTCTCTAAACTGCCGAGAGCGCCGCTGAATCCAAGCACAGTCCCAAATCCAGGTCCCAAACCCCAAATCCAGGCCCAGGCCCCAGACCCCAAACCCGCAAAAAAACGCCCAAAAACCTTATCCCGGCCGCGTCCCGACAAAACGGTGGGTAAAGCCTCGGCACGGGGACGGAAATGACTCCTCCACGCCTCACACAACACGGACGTCAGTCCGTTTGTTTAGGACCTTCTGGCTGGGCCCCCCCTCCAGAAAGGGCTGCCCCCAGGCGGGGTCCAGGGCCTCCAGCGAGCAGAACGCAATTTTGAGGATGTCTTGGTTTTGGGTGCCCGCTGCCCTGCTGCCCCCCTGCCCTGCCCTGCCCTGCCCTGCCCTGCCCTGCCCTGCCCTGCCCTGCCCTGCCCTGCCCTGCCCTGCCCTGCCCTGCCCTGCCCTGCCCTGCCCTGCCCTGCCTGCCCTCCCTGCCCTGCCCTGCCCTGGCCCCTGCTCTTCCCTCCCCTGCCTGCCCTGCCCTTCCCTGCCCTGCCCTGCCCTGCCCTGCCCTGCCCTGCCCTGCCCTGCCCTGCCCTGCCCTGCCCTGCCCTGCCCTGCCCTGCCCTGCCCTGCCCTGCCCTGCCCTGCCCTGCCCTGCTGCCCTGCCCTGCCCTGCCCTGCCCTGCCCTGCCCTGCCCTGCCCTGCCCTGCCCTGCCCTGCTCCCTGCCCTGCCCTGCTGCCCTGCCCTGCTGCCCTGCCCTGCCCCTGCTTTCTTGCCCCTGCACTGTCCTTCCGGGCTGCCCTCGCCTGGTTCCTGACCTATTCCTTGCCCTGTCCTACCTTATTCGCACTTCGATTACAGGGCGCGAGATGCAAGCTGTTTGTTGGAAACCCTTGCTTTACGTCGAGCGGCAGGCACAGGCCGCGAGGACCCACAACCCGACAGAAACCATTTCTGTTGTGATTTCTGGAGCAATATTGTTGTTTGCATGTCAAGCTGCGAAAGGAAGTTGAAACTGATAAAGCAAGCCTACTGATAAATCCTAAAACTCACGCATGACCTCAAATCCGGTCCTGGTCCTCTGCCGAACTGAAGCCAGAGGAAACTGTTGGGTTCAAAACCCTACGGTCACGACATTTTGGCACCAACGCAGAGGGTCGGTGGGAAGTAAGAAATTGCGGTGTCATAAACGGACAGCTTTTGTCTAATAAAGAGTAACCCGAGCTACCATCCCAACGTCAACTCTACTCGCAAGGTACAACCGATGGGGTTTGGGGGGTGAACCCTAAACCCTAATTGAGAATAGTTGGGGTGGTTGGGGCGGGACTACATGCTGACGCAAGCGCGCGATTAGTGGGCGCGCCCCTTATTCCTAAAGTAAAAGGCGCACCCACCGCGCGCATACTGTTACACACCCTAAACCCTAAACCCCTAAACCCTAAACCCCTAAACCCTAAACCCTAAACCCTAAACCCCTCAAGAGCAGGATAAATAGAAATTGTGCGATTTTCGTTTCGAACCGCATTTGCATTAGTTTCAAATTTTTAATAAACATGTCCAACCAAAATCCAGCCACAGCAGCCCAGCCCAGCAGCCGACCCGCCCAGCCCACCCAGCCCCCCAGCCCAGCCCCAGACCCCACCAGCCAGCTCGGCCCTCAGCCCGCAACTCCCAAAACGAAAACTACAAGTCCAAAAACAAAACCCTCCCAAAACTTTCGCCCAAAACTTTCGGTCAAAACCCAGGAATGCGAAATCACAAGTCAAAAACCCAAACTTTCACTCAGAACGTTTCGCTCAAAACCCCGGGTACATCTACATATGTATATGTGTGTAGATGTCATAACATAGAATATATATATATATATATACATACCTTCCTCATTCTCATCCAGACTTCCTGAGGATCAAGCCCCAGCTTCGTCAGTCGGTCGATGGCAGAGCACCCAGATTGCGTGAGTCTCGGTTCGAAGACGACGTATCATACTGCATCTTGCTCGTTCTGCTAACCACAGTTCGTGTGCCGAGGCAAAGCAAGATATTGACTTATGTGACATCTGCTGAGCTGGTGAAGTCAGGTCTCCGAACTTCATACTTTGTCCTCCACAACTCCAGGGCAGGCTAATCAGTGTTCGTCGTACAGATAAGGTTGAAACATAGTATCTTATCAGGAATCCTCTCCCAGCGTCCAGTGGAGTCGATGAACCCTGGAAGGATCGAAGCAGGCACAAGTAATGCTTTTCTCCGACAACTAGCAACCTGCATCTCTTCCCGAGAGCAGAGCACTTCGCAAAGCGATGTGGGCCTTCGGGCTTCAGAGCTGGATGCCTTCGAGACAGGAATGGCTCAAAAACAGCACAGACCTTGCAAGTATGCGCACAAAATTCTACTTACGCTGCAACTGGTCGTCTCCAAGCTCAGTAGCTTGACGCCTTGGTGAGGACGTGCAATACGGAAGCAACATACTGCGTGCAGCGCGAGACAGAGATAGGAAAGCTCTGAAGTTAAGAGTGTGGCTCCTTCAAAAATTGGGCGGGTGTTCTCACGGCAGACGGCTTCCTGAGATTGAGACATGAACTTCACGGACTTCACGACCAAGCGGCCATGCCGAGTAAGTTTGAAGCAAGTCCGTCCGCCAGCGAGGAAGACGCAACACCGGTCCACTTGAGTGTCGCTGCGCAACTATTTCGCAGCGCTACCCAGACCCTGATGTCTGTCCCAGTGGCTTTGCACGGCAAAGGAAGTGGCAGCCGAAGAGTCGGCATCCAACCTGATCATGCTGAATAGAACCAAACAACTTACGATCGCTGCAAAACCCCTATATATGTTTCTTTTTTACAGCAAACCTTTTCCAAACCCGCTCCAGGTCAAACCTAACATACGGCCCTGTCAAGACCAGCTCCTGGCGAAAACCAGCAAACCTCCAACAACAACTACCCAGCCCACAGCCCAGAACAAACCAGCCCAATTCCAAGCCAATAACCAAGCAAAACAACCCAGCCTCAGCCTCCCCACGCCACCCCCAACCACGGCCAGCGAGCAGCCGGCCCCAGCCCAACCCCAGCCCCACAAGCCCCAGCCCCCGCCCCACCAGCTCCAAAAGCAAAAGCAATACCGCCCCAAACCCTCAAAACCAACCGGACCGCTCCTGGCGAAAACCAGCAAACCTCCAACAAAAGCTGCCCACCAGAACAAACCAGCCCAATTCCAAGCACTTCAACCCAGCCTCAGCCCTCCCCACGCCACCTCAGCCAGAGCCCCCCTGGCAGCCAGCCCGGCCGCAACCCCAGCCACCAGCCACCCCACCAACCCCAGCCAGCCCCAGCCAGCCCCAGCCCACAAGCCCAGACCCCAGAACACAAAAGCAAAAGGCGAAAACCCCCCAAAACCCGGCAACACCCCCCAAAACCCCCCAAAACTCCGGACCCAAACCCTATACAATTTCTATAAACCCTAAACCCTAAACCCCTAAACCCTAAACCCTAAACTGGAGCGAGCTGCGGGCTCTGCGATAGCAGCAGCGAGCGTGCCGAAGCGTCAGTGAGGCTGGCTCCGGAGCTGGCGCGACAGGCGCAGCGGAGGAGCCCCAGCACCGGCTCAGCTGCTGGCGCATGGCGCATGCTAGCCAATCAGAACTACGGCCCTGCCTGGTCCTGGCCCTCGGCCCCTGGCTCTGGCCCTGGCTGGCCCTGCCCTGGCCCTGGCTAACCCGCCCTGCTTTTGGGCCACCGCCAGACCAAGCCACAAACCTTGAAAAAAACCCTAAACTCGACAAAGGTCACAGACTGGGTGGGCGGGTAGGGCGAGAGCGTTGAACCTAGGCGCACACCACAACACACGTCTCGCGTGGTGGTGTGCGCGGAGCATCGACACACCCTAAACCCTAAACCCCTGAACCCTAATCCCTAAACCACGAAAAAAATGCCCCACGGCCTCGCCCAGAGTGTGGCAGTGCCGAGAGGCGCAAAAGGCCAGCGCTGCGCTGCAGAAATCAGAGCCGGGTCCTTCCGAATCTCAGGGGGTGCAGGGCTTAGGGTTACTGGGGTTTAGAGTTTAGAGTTTAGGGTTTATGGAGTTTAGAGTTTAGGGTTTCGGGTTTATGGAGTTTAGAGCTGAGGGTTTAGGGTTTAGGGTTTAGGGTTTAGAGAGTTTAGGGTTTAGGGTTTAGGGTTTATAGGGTCCAAGGCTTAGATTTTACTGGGTTTAGGGTAAAGGTTTTTTTTTTTTAAGTTAGGTTGACGGCCTTCTTTGTGCGTAAAGGGTTTAGGGTATGGAGTTTATAGGGTGCAGGGTTTAGATTTAGGGTTCATGGTGTTTACAGTTTAGAGTTTAGGGTTTAGGTTCCTGGTTTAAGGTTTAGGGTTTAAATTACAGTGTCGAGGGTGGTGGTTTTAGGGGGTGTGGAGTGTAGAGATTACAGGGTTTAGGGTAAAGGGTTTAGGGTATAGAGAGTTTATAGAGGTTTCGCGAGCTTTTGCAGGTGTATAGAGCTATGATTTGTTTTCAAGACTTCCGAATCCAGATGCTGTTTGAAGGCAATATCAGGGTATTCAATAAGGTCTACATGGTTTCAGATTCGATACTTCCGAATCCAATGCCTTTGGATCCACAATAGCCCAAGCAAGCCTCAATGCCCCGAGCCTGCAAAAAGAGCTAAAAGGGTGGTTGTCAAAATTATGGTCCCTTTTTTTGGGTACCCTAAATAATAGGTGCCGTATTATAAGAAGGACCCAAAAAGGGACCCTAATGTTAGACAACTACCCACAAAACTTTGACAGCCGTAGACCTCTAACAACACCGCTTGAAAGCCCTATCTCCTCAACCAACAATAGCCCAAAAGCCCTAAAGCCCTAAAGCCCTAAACCCTCAACCGAAACACCCGAAAAGCCCTAAACCCACACTAATCCTAAACCGTACCTAAATATGTAACCTTAAACCCCCAACTAGTAACTCAAAGGTCACAACCCCTAAACTAAAGAAAGCTCAAGGCCCCCTGGCCCCGACCTTTCGCCATACCTTCGGCCACCAGGACATCCGGGAGTTTCAGGGTGAGCTCGGCCTTCATATTCCGAAGGAAGGGTTTAGGGTTGAGGGTTCAGAGAAACTGTATAGGGTTCGGGCCCTGTCTTGTTTTGCATGCTTTGTTGAGAAAGTGTGTCGGGCTCGGGTCCTAGGTTTTGACCGGGTTTCGGGCAGGTCGTTTTCAAACAGGTGACATGCTAAAGGGAAGCCCGAAATCGTCAAAAATCGTGCCGGCCATCGACAATTTCAATTTCTTTGGCGTGTTCCAAGACACACAATCCCAGAAACTTTCCGGCCGCCGAAACAAACCTGATTTTCTGGGTTGTAGTTTTGGGGCTCTGAAAAGTATTTATGAATAGGTACCTCTATAGGAACCATAAGGGAAATTAAAAAGTTTCCAAAATTGCCACCTGGTTTTTGAATGTTCCTAAGCGCCGCGGGAACACGTTGGTTTCTGGAACTGTCGCCTCTGTGTTCTACCTTGTTTGTCCGTCAAAGAATTGGGATCAAAGCGGTAAGACAGCAATGTCGGCATGGATGTCATAACATAAAATCTCTATTTTTCCTTGGCTCGAGGATTCAGGGATTCGGGATGTAGAGGTTAGGGTTTAGAGTTTAGGCTTTGGGTTAGAGTTTGGGCTTTGGACTTCAGTTATGGCTTAGAGTTTAGAGGTTCGGGCTTCTGGGCTTAAGGGGTTCGTAGTACAGGGGCCATGTTATTTAGAGTGTAGTGCAGGGCCAATAGAAACCTAACTCCAACAGCCCCTTAACCCTCAGCCACAAATCCGGGACAGCCAAATCGCCCTAATTCAGGTGCCTTACGAATTAGAATACGGTTTTGGGGCCAATTGTACTATACTTATAATCAGGAACCACCAAAATAGTAAAGGTCATTATTAAGGCCCCCTAAATTACCGTAGCTGCGGGCCTCAGGAAGGATCTCTTCGAGATGCGCCGTGTATGATGCATCTTCTGGGCGCCTGCAGGCGGCTTTCAGTTAAGATCTGTAGGGTTTAGGGTTTAGGGTAAACCCTCAACCCTAAACCCTAAACCTAGATATAATATAAGTACCTGATAGAGGCTAATTCCATAAACACCTTACTTAGAAGCCTTCTTGCAACCCTGTCTTTTTGTGGTTTGGGATCCCAAGAAGGCTGGTTTGAGCCTCAACCATGGACTCTGAGCCCCTGAAAGCCGTGAATGCCGCGCCTGGCGACACCAAGGAAGGAGGAGAAGACGGTGACAAGAGCTCCGTCATCGCTATGGCAAACCACCTCCCAGTTTGGGGTTTAGGATTTAGGGTTTAGAGAGTTTCATCTTGACAAGATTTGGGAGTTTCCGACCATAAGGAGTACCTTATTTTGGGGTCCTTATAATAAGAAGCCTACTATTTAGGGTATTATATAAGGGTCCCTATTTTCGGAAACCCCCATTTGGGAACACAGGTTCCAGGCATCGGATCTAGAGCTTTGGCTTCCGCGATAAGTAAAGTCAATATCAATACAGCAATATAGCAGATTATAACCCAGAGGGTCCATATACACTACCATTATGGAATTAGGTCCCAAAAGACCATCCCTATTATGGCTTTGGGAGCCTAATTCCACAATAGTAGTGTATATGGACCCTTTGGGTAATATACCAGAAGGCATGGGGTGGGGCTTGGTCTCCCCTGATCAACCTACTTAAACAGTAGGCCCTAAACCATCTTGAAGCACACCCCGCCAGCAAGTCTCACACTTGTATGGATGTATTCTATGTGCACTAAGGCGGTGACCCGGTGGGTGCTTAAGCAATGTAGAACAAAATACAGTACCAAGCCGCACCAAGCATACGCTTCATGCCTCTGAATCCCATCCCTGGACTTTCCACCCTACCTATAGTCTCCATTGTAGTTCCTTTTTTTGGTTTAACCAATCTTATAATAAGGATCCTGTAAGGTAACCCCAGACAGGAACTACAATGGAGACTATAGGTGAACCCTAAGCCCTAAAAACGCTAAAGACCCCGTAAGCGCAGTGGACCTAAATCCGAACCCATCGACCTGTCGACCGCCATCCAAATCACCCTGAACAGTAAATTTGGGGTAGTTGTCAAAATTAGGGCCCCTTTTCGGGTCCTTTATTATAATACGGCACCTATTATTTAGGGTGCCCAAATTCAAAAAGGGATCCTGATTTTGACAACCACCCATATGTAGCATCATGATGAACCTTCTCAAGGTAGGGAGCGTATTAAAACTTATTTAAACCCGAAACCCTAAACCCCTAAACCCTAAATCCTCAACCCTAAACCCTCAACCCAACAACCCTGCACCCTAAACCCTAGAACCCGCGTAACCCTGGGGATCAAAATAGCCCAAAAGCCTTACATAGTATGGTCTTTGGGCCCAAAAGCCTTATAATATATGAGTCCTGAGATCCCTAGGGTAAGAAACCCAGTGCCTTCCGATAGCAGAAGCCTTCGTGGATCACGTCCTTGGTGTAGCCTCGTTACCATCTTTTAGGGTTTAGGGTTTGAGGGTCTGGGGGTTTAGAGTTTTGTTTTGGTTTCAGATGTCCAGTTGCAGGCTTAGGGCTCCGGGGTCCACGCCTTTCGTGCGCACTTGGAGGGTCGGGGGACGTAGTAATTCGCTATTTTGGGGACTTATAAGTACCATAACCCCAAGTAGGGTCCCTTTTAGGGTACGTATAAGTCTACTTACTACCTACTCACTAAGTCCACCGACCCTCCAAGTACCCAGACCCCCGGGAGGATCCAATAAGTAGATCCCGTAATGGGGGTTCCTCTAAAGTACCCTTGGTAGTATAGGGCCCCAACCACCCATATATGGTCATATATACTACCATTGTGGAATTAGGCCCCCAAGGACCATCCTTATTGTGGGCTGGGGGGGCCTAATTCCAGAATGGTAGTACGAGTACTGGTAGCATATGTGGACCCTCCCCATGACATGAGCACATTATTAGTGTTCAGGGTTTGGGGTTTAGGGTATTACCAAGAGGGTCCATATATACTACTACGAGGTCTCCAAATCGTTTCCAAAACCATACTAGGGATGGGCTTTTGGGACCTTTAGTTCCAGAATGGTAGTATATATGGACCCTCTAGGCTGGGGTTTAGGGTTCGATAATCAGAAATAAGCAGCGCAGAGCTTTCAGCCACCCAGAACCCAAAATTCTGACATCCTGAAAAGCAATCACTTCAAGAGCGTTTTGGCACAAGCATATCAGAACTCCTGAAACCCTGCACTCATCAGCCTCCCTTTGTTAGCGTGACAAAAAGAGAACCCTTACTTGTCGGGTATTATGGGAAACTAGAGGTTAACCTTTTCCATCATATAGGGGTTATATAGGGATTATACTACCCAAAAAGGTGAAAGGTTACCTACGCTACTGCTAGGTCACAAGCTTGCATTGAAGCAGAAGGGGGACAGTTGCCATAGCCCTGGGCTGGAGCAGCGGAAAGAACTCGTCGTGATCAGTTCCCTGTACCAAAGTTAGGGCCCAAAAAAAGCACATAAGCAAAAATTGGGATAGGGATATCCCATATAAATCCCCGTATAATCAAGCCCAACCAGGTAGGGATGTCCCAATAAAATGCTTATGCTTATGTGCTTTCTGGGTCCCTAAAAAGGTGGGTGCAATCTCCAAGCAACCTCGATCCCGCGCGCCCAGCCAGGGTTGCCAGCCGTGCTCTTCAGCGTCTCTGTCGCGAGTTTCCTTGGGTTTTCGGTTTCATCTTCGGGTCTATACGGGTGGTTGTCAAATAAAGGTCCCTTTTTGGGTCCTTATTATACTAATATGTGCTCTTCAGCGTCTGTGTCGCGAGTTTCCTTGGTTTTAGATGGTACTGTGGATGGACAATATCCTGCATGACCCATTAAAAGCAATATACCATAGTTCCCATAGCTTTGAGTCCTTAGGGTCATGCAGGATTTTGTCCATCAACAGTATTTTCGACTTTATGAGGTATCTTCATAAGGGCTTCGTTGCTGCGGAATTTCCATCAACTTGCTGCAAAAGGACACCCGCATAGCTACTACATACCCCCAGTGCCGTAAGCCAAAAAGACTCCTTGGCAAGAACCGCGAATTTGCTTCAGGCTCTTAGGTCCTGCACAAGGGAGAAACGGTTTAATTAGGGTTCAACTCATAGTCGGCATCAGGGACTGGGCCACAGGTCCAATGCAAACTATTGGGTAGTTCAGCCACACTTCGGTTTTTTTCCACAACTCTACGTCTAACCTGCCGACGCTAAGTCTCGCTGATTCTTCGAGATATTGCCACTTGTCAGTTCCGGAGCGGTAAAACCCTCAACCGTACAAGCCCTGCACGTCTTAACGCCTGGATCTGGAATAACCGACCTGAACCTTGCAACTTGTAACCCGAGAATGCGTTTTACGAGAAATCCGCAACTGCATTCCACAGGGCTCTCCATATTTGGATAGCTTTTCAGGGTTCCTTTTCCCTTCGTAAGCACAATAGGATCCACGGATACCCAAAAGCCTCGTTGAAGCCCAAAGCCGAAATACCAGAACTCCACATTGATCAGGGCCCGAAATGAGTGTCATAAATCTTTAAAACTGGGTCTCTCAACAACCCCTGAATAGTAGGGGTACCCTTCTTCCCTAGCTCTCAGTTTTAAATAAGCAGACCTGTCCAAACCCCAAACCCTTCCTTCTTGGAGGGTCGGTGGACTTAGTAAGTAGGTAGTAAGTAGACTTATAAGTACCCTAAAAGGGACCCTAATTGGGGTTATTGTACTTATAAGTCCCCAAAATAACCAATTACTACGTCCCCCGACCCTCCAAGTACGCACTAAAGGCGTGGACCCGAAGCTAAGCCTGCAACTGGACATCTGAAACCAAAACAAAACTCTAGACCCCCAGACCCTCAAACCCTAAACCCTAAACGCCTGAAACTCTAAACCCAAAACCCTAAATCCTAAACTTGAAACCCTAAATCCTAAAACTCTAAACTCTAAACCCTAAACCCTACATCCCTAAACCCTCAACCCTGAACCCCAAACGCCTAAACCTAATCCCTACTCCTTGAAGTATCGTGCGATCGACAGGGTTCCAGGTAGGCGATGGTTCCATCGGCCAGGAGCCACTCTGGCGAGACTCCGACGAAGAAGCCGCCTCCAGGGTTGAGGCTTAGGGTTCTTTAAAAGGGATCTATAAGGGTTCCTTAAAGGGATCTATGAGGGTCCTATAAAGGGTTTAGGGTTCAGAGTTTCCGAAAATTAGGGGTACCCTTATTTGGGGTCCCTATAATAAGGATCCTACTACGTAGGGTACTCTATTAAGCTTCCTTCCTGCTTGTCGGCAGCATGTCGCATGCCTTGATCCTATAAAACCTTCCTTTTTAGAGTTCCCTGTTATGATTCCCTTTTTACATCCTTAGTAAAGGTAGGTTATTCGGCCTACTGGTCGGGTATCATGGGGAACTAAAGGTTAACCTTTTTGGGGATATAGGAATTATAGTAGGGACTATACTACTCAAAATCTACTAGGCCTTTGTTGCTTTCAAGGGCCCACCCGGAAAGGTTCCTGCAACGGTGTCTTTGAGGGTTCCCTTAAGGCTCCGTTTAAAAAATACTGACCATAGCGTTTAGATGGCGTTCAGGGTTTGAGGTTTATGGTTTGCCCCTGGGTGTTTGCGGGGTTTGGGGATTTGTGCCTTCAGAGTCTTTCAGGCTTGAGATCTTTGGGGCTTTACGGCATCGGGGGTTAGGCTTGAGAGCTTGGGCTGTAGGTTTTTCGGTTTAGGGTTTAGAACAGTGTAGGATTCCCTTGTTTGGGATTCCCTGGTCCTGAAACCCACACCCTGAAACTTAAATCTTAATTCCTGAACCCCCGCTGCCCCCCACCCTGAATGATCCCTGAACTCGCAAAGCCTAAACCCTGAACGCAGCTCTTGCTCCAAGAGTCCGAGTACCAAATGATCATATTATCCCAGGTACTGGCCTACACATCTACTCTCCTAAACCCAGGTACTGAATGAGTGGGTCCTCTAAGACTCTACGTACGCCCTTCGGGTAACTTCCGAGGCCTGAAACCCCACACCCCAGAATTCTTTCGACAAGACTCGGAAGTTAGGATGAGTGCGCCTTCGCGCATTCCCTGGAGCCCTATGACAACCATAAAGAGCCCTTTAGAAAAAGGGATCTGTATAGAACTCGCATTTTAGTAAACTCAATAACACCTGCTACAAAATGGCCATAAGACCCCACAAAAAGCCGTATCAAACCCTGTAAAGCCCGTTTTTCCCGTGCCCAGCATGAATTCGCGCCTTCTTCCTTCAGCAGGTCACGGCCTCTCTCGGCAATAACAGACTTTAAGCTTAAACCTTACACCTGCTGCAAAAACCACCGAAACCCGGAAGCCGAAATCAGGAACCTTTTGTAGGGTTTAGGGTTTAGGGTTTAGGGTACCTGAATACAAACCCGAAACCCGAAATCCTGGGTTTCAAACCCTCTGACCGGCAGTCGCGTTGGTATCGTTACCTATCTGGCCTAGCCGAATCAAAACCAAAGTATGGCTTACAGGGCTTCATCCTGGATGCCCAGTAACCTCGGAAGAAACAGGGCTCCCTTTTTGGTATTGGGTACCTTAATAAGAAACCTGGGACTGCAATAAGGGAATAAGGGTACTACTGGGCATCCTAGTTTAGGGTTTGCCGGGCTTTTGTTCAGGGTTGCTTGAAGTTGGGGGGGTGCCCTTGTTTAGAATGAGGATCGCACTTGGGGTGGCCCTTGATAAAGGAACTGAAATCTTGGCTTCGTACCACCGGAACAAAAGCCCTCAATCCTAAACCCGTCGGGCTTCCACGGGCTTAGGGTTTGGATGGGAGATGGGTTTAGGATTTAGGGCCTATAATATGTTGTTTAGATGGGAGATTTCTTGAGGGTTCAGGGTTGAATGCTGTGTCAGGGCGTTGCAGTTCTCTTTCAGGAGCACCTGTCCGTTCTATGAGGTGTCTCGGGCTTGGGGTTTAGGGGACAGGGTTTAGGGACATTTCACTCTGTCTCGGACAAAGCACGAAACAAAGCCATATTGCTGAATGGCTTGTAGGGTTGAAACGTGTGCGCCTTGAGTTGCACTTGGAGGGTCGGGGGACTTAGTAAGTAGGTAGTAAGTAGACTTATAAGTACCCTAAACGGGACCCTAATTGCCGAAAATAACCAGTTACTAAGTCCCGCGACCCTCCAAGCACTCGCATACACACTGCAGGACTCCGGTCAGGGGGTGGGCTGGCCTAACACCCCATACGCGTGCTTCGGTTGATGATATAAATCCTGCATTACGTTAAGGACCCTAAACTATGGGAATTATGGTATATTCCGTATTATTAGTAATGCGGGATTTATATCATCAACCGTTGTATTGGGGTCCTAGGCTTTCTGCCTTTTTGTGGTCTTGCATGCTTGGGTTGTGGGGGGCCTCGAGTTTAGGTTCCGGTCTAAGCAGTCTCAACCCGAAACTAGACCCCAAACCCAAAACCCTAACGCCGAAAAGTAACGAACATATAAACCGCAAGACCTCAAATCCAAAAAGCCTCAACCCTAAACCCTAAACCCTAAATCCTAAGCCCTAAACCCTCAACCCTAAACCCCGGGCTTACAGACACTTCTGTCGCGGCTCATGGGGCCTGCATGATGCCAGGTGAACTTCCCGGAAATGTAGCGATGATCCTGGCCCGGAGGTCTCATTAAACTCGTGAAGCCCTGGGCCCTAACCCGCTTTTTGCTTTGGGGTGCACCTAAGCTCTTGTTCTAAACTCAAATATGGAAGATGTAGCGACCCTACAAAAAGTTGGGCTCTGGTAGGTTAAGGTAGGGTTTACGGGTCAGCTTTCGGCTTGAGGTTGAGGGTTGAGGGTTCAGGGGTTTAGGGTTTAGGGGTTTAGGGGTTTAGGGGTTTAGGGTCTAGGGGTTTAAGGGTTAAGGGGTTTAGGGGTTTAGGGTTTAGGGTTTAGGTAGGGTCGGGGAACCTAAAACCCTCAACCCCAAACCCTACCCCACATGCACCCAGGCGCCCTGCGACTGTAAAGAGTTTTTCGATCAGGACTATAAGGCACAGGTCCTACTCAGATCTTCCGATATCCCTGAATCAAGGAATGCACCTTAAATGAAAGTACAATCCCTCGTATGATTTGAGCAGAGTTCCTTAAATACTGTTGATGATATAAATCGTGCATTACCTTAAGGACCCGGGTCATGCAGGATTTATATCATCAACCGTAGGGAGAGTTGGAAGATTTGGGTAATTATTCAGACCTCCGTTTATCTTAAACCCCGAAGCCCATTCCCAGACCCCCGGGAGGATCCAATAAGTAGATCCCTTAATGGGGGTTCCTATAAAGTACCCTTAGTTGTATAGGGCCCCAAATTAGGGGATCTGCTTTCTACATCCTCCCGGGGGCCTGGCTAGAGGCTAAGCCCTAAACCCTAAACCCTAAACCGTAAACCCTAAACCCTAAAGCCCTAAACCCTAAACCCTAAACCCTAAACCCTATTAACATTGGGGTTCGGGTTCAGGGCATCGCAAGACCTTGGTGGATTTTGGAGCATGGATCCCAAACCCAAGCCCGAACCCTTTAAAAACCCTTCAGCTTAAACTCTATACCCTTAAAGGGACCCTTGTAGATCCCTTAAAGGAACCTTTAAAGGAACCCTTATAGATTCCTTGCAGGAACCCTTACAGATCCCTTAAAGGAACCCTTATGGATCCCTGGAAGGAGCCCTTATAGATCCCTTGAAGGAACCCTTATAGATCCCTTAAAGGAACCCTTATGGATCCCTTAAAGGAAACCAGGAAACCCTTATAGATCCCTTGGAGGAGCCGTAATACATCCCCATTTCGGTAATCCTAAAACCAGAGCTTCAACCTTAAAAACCCCACGCCTGCAAGGCCTCTTTGGGCCTTCGGTTGTACATGTAGCCAAGGTACCTCAGCCGCACTTGAAAAGCCACCCCCGAGCTTTTGCATTAGACTGAGCCCCAAACCCCACAGACCCAAACCCTAAACAAAACCCTAAATGCTGAAGCCCACACCCTAAACCCAACACCCTCCCTGAACCCTAGACCCTGAACCGTTAGTAACTCTAGACCACTCCTGCCCTCAAGCACCCAAGCCGTCAAATTTGCATCGCTGTCCGGAGCACAGAAAACCTAATCCCCATCAACCCCAATAATTGCCTCAAAGCCTAAACAAAAAACGGCCCAAGCTCGAAAACCTAAAGAAAAAACATACATGTCTTGTACACCCGTTTAAGCAACCCTAAACCCTGAACCCCAAACCTTGAAACCCCTAGAGTACCCTCAAAGGAACCTTTTTGACAAACCCTGACCCCTATGGCCTAAGCCCTAAACCCCAAACCCTAAACCCGAAGCACTAATCCCTAAAACCTAAACCCTACACCGTAAACCCTAAACCCTAAAGCCCTAAACCCTAAAACCCTATAAATCCCTTATGGAGAACCCTAAACCCTAAGGCTAAACCCTAAGGCTAAACCCTAAACCCCTAAAACCCTAAACCCCAAACCCAAACTTCCTGCGTCCGAGGAGCTTCGCAGTACCTCGCAGCTCCTCGAGGTAGAACTTCCTCGTCTGGGAGCGAGGATTGGGGGGACCCTTTGGGACATAGACCCTCTGAATAAGGTCCCTTTTAACACAGCCAGAAGTAGGGTAAAGAAGGGTCCCCTTTGAAGGGTCTCCCTCACACTACCTAGGATCGTCCAGGGCACGGAAAGTCGCAGGGTTGGAGGGTTTGGGGTTTTGGGGTTTAGGGTTTAGAGCTTAGAGTTTAGGGTCGTTCGAGGGTTTAGGGTCGAGGGTTTAGGGTTTAGGGTTTAGGGTAGAGAGTTTAGGGTTGAGGGTTTAGGGTAGAGAGTTTAGGGTTGAGGGTTTAGGATCGCCAGGCTGCCTTACCAAGGACGTGGATGAGCCGAGCACAGACTCAGAAGGCCAGCGACACAGCAGCGCCGGAGTCTTGCTTTGTCACCAGAGCTTCACCCCTCGGTTGGCCGGCTTGAGCTTGCATCGATCGGCCTGATGGGCATGCTCCTCATCTCCCTTAAACTCAAACTCGAAGTTACAAGCCAATACCCTGGCCTACTCGGCCTATTCCTAGGGTAGTAAAGTTGCCCGAATGTTTGTCTGGACGAGCATGCTTCCCTGCGCCAAAACGGTCCGGATTCTCTGGAAAACCGTAGCAGGAGCCGTAGCCTGCCTATCTATCGGCCTCGCTCGAGCTCTGCAGCTAAGGGCCCGCCTAGGCCACAAAGTGCGACCTGAACATGACAGAAGGAGCTTAGACGGCTTCCTAGAGTGGCACAACGGATCGAGGCCCCAGCTGTCCAAGTCCAAGAAATCTGTTTCGCCACAGCACAAACCTGGGCAACAAACCACTCCACTCGCCGACATGCGACACGGACACTACACCTCGCCGGATGACAGGGAGCACCATATTTCTCCTTAGCGACTCTTGCCTCCTGAAAAGCAGAAGAAGCGTGCAAAGCCAACGGGGTTTCTGGTGGCTGGCAAACTCGTGACTCGTCGCAACGCCAGGGTCCTGGCGTCATCGCATCTGCTCCAGAGTGGCTTTGTTCCGACCTGACAGCATGCAAGGACACCCCGGCCGCTCTCTCCATTCATTCCCGCGCATGCTGCCCCGAGCAGCCCCGCCTTGGTCTTGGTGCACCCGGGCAGGTTACGAAACCGATCTATCATCTCCGCGATGCAGCCGCAGTCATTGCCTTGTGCGTGCAAGTCGACGGCGTGGGCAGGCGCCACGAGAGCTGGGGCCGGGCCTGTCATCGCCATCGCCGCGTCCCGCACGCGGGACTGCTCGCTTGCGACTGCAGGACGTCGCGCCCCCGAGTCTTAGTTTCGGGGGCCAGCAGAGCCTGTCGCCCACTGCGTCCGCAACGAGCACCACTCCGGTCGCGAAGTTCAAGTCGACGAGTAGTCTGCGATTAGGCATAGCGTCATCTCACGAAGCATCCAGATCCACCCGACCTTCTCCCATGCGACGAATGTAGACATCGACGCATTTGCAGGAGGGAACATGTCGGTGTCGTCCGTGTAGATGGTGCGAATGCTTGCTATCTCGACCAAAAAGCTGCTGGAACGTAGCGACAGGTCACATGCGCGTGTCATTCAGGTCCAAAGTGCAAAATAATTGCATCGACGACTGTAAATGTTGTCGCCAAAGCAACTTCGTAAGAAAGGGCACTTCACGGTACAACATGCATCCGCAAGTTCGACGATGCTCGAGAGCTAGTTTGGTAGCGACACACGTGGCAAGACGTAACTCAGATCTTCGGGTTCGCATTGGAATTCCACCTATTGCCGACGTTGCAGTTCTAAGACCACAGTCAGTACGTCGACTTAGTATATTTTTAGGAACAACGCAAGCATGTAACGCCAGCGTCCGCCCATGCTTCCTAGCATCTTCGTATGATTGTAGACTCTGCATATTTCAAGGACGCCTGAAGTATGTAACGGCAACGTCCACCTGTGTTTTTGGGCATCTTCGTATCGTAGACTGTTCGGTTTGTAAGACAACGGAATCTATGTAACGCCGGTGTTCGACTTTGCAGCTTTCGAGAACACTGTCAAGACGTAACGCCGACGTCCACCTTCGTTGTCGGCATCTTCGTACATTAGACTTAATTTGCATATCTGGCAGGACACTGCAAGCATGTAACGCCAGTGTCCACCCACGTTTCTTGGCATCTTCGTATTGTAGACTTTGCATGTTTCGGGGACGCTGGAAGTATGTAACGCCAAGGTCCACCTGTTTATTGGCTATATTCGTTTCGTATACTGCGTGTTATAAGGACACTGTAAGTATGCAACGCCAGTGTTGAAAACACAGGCACTATGGAACGCCAACGTCCACCTTCGTTGTCGGCATCTTCGTATATTGGACTTTGCATATTTTTCGGGACAATGCAAACCACTCCACTCACCGACATGCGACATGGACGACAACACCCCGCCGGACAACATGGAGCACCAGAGTTCTCCCCTAGCGACTGTGCCTCCTGAAAAGCATAAAAAACGTGCAAAGTTAACGGGGTTTGTGGTGGCTGCGCAAACTCGTGACTCGTCGCAACGCCAAGGGTCCTAGTGTGATTGCATCTGCTCCAGAGTAGCCTCGTTCCGACCTGACAGCATGCCGGGACACTGCAAGCAGAGCCGTCTGCATGGTGCCGAGTGCAAGGCGCGATTAGCTTCCACGGAAGAGGAACATCTGCAGCCAGTCTCCAGATGCTGTCTACAAAATGGCGAGTTCACGGTCCCACCGTTGCGAGGCAATTTGCGAGTCTGAGTCGCAGACTTGAGGGAGGTCGAGCAAGGTCTCCAGAGAAATGAGCTGCGAGTGCTGGACGAGCCGAAAAGAAATTGCAGCCATTACAAGTACCGGGATCGCGTATGTCTGCGGCCGAGGGTATCTGTCTACGCCCAAACCTTGGAGACCCCTCGTCGGGATGTGATTGTCCGCAAGGTGAGACTATATAATGGACATCATGTCACGTAGACGCAAGAGAAGTATCTTTTTGCAATGCTCGCGGAGCTAGTGCAGAGTCTCAAGCGCCGTCCATGCAGACTTCGGGGCCGACCTGGCGCAGGCGGATGATGATGATGACCAGAGGATGACTGCATGGCATGGGCTCACATAATAAGGCACAGACACGCAGACTTCTTTATCACTTTGCAAGATGGTAAGCAGCGCAACACGCGCTCAGATCGGCCCGCTCTTCTCCCAAAAACACCATTTTGTCGGTTTGCTCAGCCAATACTGAGACCAATTTGTACACATTTAAGACCTGGCCCAGGCAGCCGTTCTGGTTGGGTTCGGTGGCCGACTCAGGGCAAGTCATCCAGGGCACAACGGCTGTCCACGATAAAGGTACTCGCAGCAGAACTCGGACTTTTGCACTGCCCTGAGCTCGCAACGAGCCTTTGCTGTGCGGGGGATAATAGCGACGGCCACCGGCCGCCGGCTGTAGCAGTGCCGGCAAGGCAAGGATGGCTTCACTGCCAGCTGCTCTTCCCTGCTGCCATGGGTAGAGGGTTGAAAGTTTAGGGAGGCTTTCATCAGGGACGTATCTTCATGAGGGATTTACAGTGATCCGGGACGTAGGAAGGATTTAGCGTGTATGGGATTTTGGCTTGAATTTCGGGTCTCAGTCAGCTCAGGGCTTTGGATTTGAGTCGGTTTAGCAGCTGTTTAGCTTGAGGTCTCGAGAGTTCCCTAAACCCTCAACCCGAGGTGTGCAAATCCCTAAGAGCTGGACGAACTTCGGAAAGATTAGGGTGTAAGCGGTTTACGTCTTAGGGGTGAGTTGAGGGCTTACGATTTCCATCTCTGAGCTCTCACATTTCTCTGCATCTATTGCCTGATGAAGCCGTGGTGCTAACCTGAGACATTAACGTTTTAAAACAATTCGCAGCCTTCTGAACCGAAAGCCCCTTGATAGTAATCGTATCCCTTCCCTAAACCTTAAACCCTCAACATCCCTAAGCCATTGACATTAAACCCCCGAAACCCGAAGCCCTGAAGCCAAAAGCTCTTGTTGCTGCTAGGCGCAGCCAGCAGTGGAGGCCGCCAGCCACGGGATGGCCATCAGCCTAAAGATGTTGGAGGGTTTAGGGTTTAGGGTTTTACAGCTTACAGGATTCAGGGTTCAGGGCTTCAAGGGCTCGAGTGCTTCAGGGCATAGGCTTTAGGGTTCAGGGCTTACGGTTTGGGGTTAAGGGTTGACGGTTGACGGGGTTTAGGTTTCAGGGCTTCGAAGATTCGAGGTGTGTAATGCCCTTCGAAGGTTGTTGAGCCGATCACGGCTTCGAGCTCTAGGGCTTAATTAGGGCTTTTCATCCAGGGTTTAAATTTAGGGCTTACGGCTTTTCATCCAGGGTTTGTTTGGGGTTCTATAAAGGTTCCACAGGGTGTTCGTAAGGGTTCTCTAAGCCGCCCTGCGACGCAGTGGCGCGGCCTTGTCATCGTGCTTGTTGCGGGTCTGTGGGACTTGATCCTAAGCCACAGACTCGAACAGGCGAGCCCAAAACTTGAAAATCACAAGTCTGAAGTTTAGGGTTGGGATCTGGCGACGCAGTAAGCCTTCACGTCCAAGACTCTGTGAAACCGCAGCCCTTGAACCCAGTCTCAAGACCCTAACCCCAAAACCTTCTTGCCTCAGAGGGGCTAGCCGCCGAAATCCACCCCTACAGCCCCGAACCGGGATTCAACAAAGTATCATCCTCTCTAAGCCGTAGCCCTAAACCCTAAATCCCTAAACCCTATACTCTAAACCGTAAATCCCTGAACCCGGATTCAACCAAGGATCATCTTCTGAGAGGTTACCCACGAAGATGTGCTCAAAGGCCTCCACAGCCGCGTGAGGTCGGGCTCGAAAGTTTGGGAATTAGGGTTTGGGGTTTAGAGGTTTAGGGTTTAGTGGTCAAAGGTCAAAGGTTGAAGGTTCGGAGGTTTAGGATTCAGCACATGCGGAGTGATGTCGGGCTGAAAAGTTAAACCTAAGCTCTAAACTCTGAACCCCTACACTGGGTTTAGGTCTCAGGGATTCTTGGTCAGAGGGCTTCGGGTTCAGGAGCTGGCCTCCAGCGTGTGGAAATTCAGCGCAAAGGGCGGAGTGATGTGGGTAGTTGTCAAAACAGGGGTCCCTTTTTGGGTGCCCTAAACAATAGATGCCGTACTATACTAGGGACCCAAAAAGGGATCCTAATTTTGACAACGGCTCATCTGATTCTACGGCTGGCGGCTTGTGCCTTGACGGTTAGGCATTATAGGACATTTCGAACTTTGGTTTATCAGAACCAGAAGCTTCGACCTACAAGGAACCTAAACGGAACAAGGGTTCAGGGTTGGAAATTTAGGATTTAGGGCTTAGGGCTTTGGGCGTAGGGTATATACATGGCTTAGCGCAAGCCGGAACTGACCAGCAGTCCCAACACACCTCAAGCCATCAACGCGACACCCTTAAAGCCTTATCATGCTGTCAAACCCTGCGATGTCGACCCGTAACGTTTAAGGCCCTGCCCCCAATCTACCCCACCGCCCCCACTGCAACGGAAAAAAACGAAAGATCCCAAAAGAAACCCATCCGGTCTAAAACCCGAAAGCATGCAGAGAGACAGAGACAGAGAGAGAGAGAGAGAGAGAGACACACACACGCACACGCACACACACACACACACACACACACACACACACACACACACAACAACAAACACAAGGTACACATAACGACAGCGCCCTAGACCTGACGCCCTAAGCCCTAAAGCCGAAGAGCCCCAAAGCCCAAACCCTAAATGCTGCACTGTAGACCCAAAACTATGAGTGCTAAGCCCTAAACTTAGCCCTAAGCCCTAAACCCCGCAACCCTAAGCCCTGAACCCGCAACCCTAAGCCCTAAACCCGAAACCCTAAGCCCTGAACCCTAAAGGCCGGTCCAAGAAGCGCAAGGGCGGCCCGCACGGGTGAACCTCCACGGCTTACCAGTTCATGGTTGGGACAGGATTAAGAATTTACATGTTTATTCCTTATTGGGTTTAAGTACCCACAACAACCTAAAATGTTACCCAACTATGACAATTTAGGGTTTAGTCGAAGCTTGGGGATGTTTACGATGCTGTGGGGTTTAGGCTTTCGGGCTTGGAGCGTTGTGGGCCTCAGGGATTAGGGTTTAGGGTTTAGGGTGGGGGGATTTGGGGCGTTCTGGAATTTAGGGCTAATTCAGGTTTTGGGACGTTGTGGGGTTTAGGAATTAGGAATTATAGGCGTTTCAGTGTTTTAAGGGCTGAAGGCGTAAGGCGTTCTGGGTTTAGGATAGGGGTGATAGGAGCTGCTGAGTTTACATGGATGCGTTGGCTCTTGGAGTTTGGGGGTTTAGCAATTTCGGGCCTGAAGGTCTTTGCGTGAGGTTTATGGAGAGCCTTCATAGGGTGGAGGGCTCAAGGTATGGATGGATGTTGTTGTTGCTGTTAATGTTGTTAAAGCAAAAGAACATGCAGCAGCAGCAGCAGCAGCAGCAAGCAGTAGGTCCGTTTTCGCTCCAAGATTCGAAAGCATGCTTCAGCTTGGTACTCTTGCAATCTGAACTCCAACCCCAATCCCAAGGCCACAAACCCTACACACCAAACCCCAAAGGCCAAGCTAAACCTGAAACCCTGAAAACCCTGCCTATAAGACTATGGAACCCCATAGAACCTTATGAACTCTGAAAAAGCGTATGTAAACCCTTTCAAAACCCGGTTACTCTTTCAAAAGCCCACGACACTGCAATAGCTACTTGCACTCCCTCAACCGCAAACCGCAAGCCCTGAACCCAACCCTAAACCCCCGAAGCTCGGAAAGCCCTGTCGTCCCCACGGCAGGCTCCCCACCAGATCCGGCGTAGCTCGGATTGCCAAACTCCCTCGAGGTTGTCCAGCCCTGGAAGTATTCCGCAGAGATTGCTTTTGGCGGTTCGGGGTTTAGGGTTTAGGGCTTTGTGATGAAGATACCGGGACTATATGGGAAAATCATTGTGGAGGTCGTCCAGACCGGGAGGTTACGGTAACAAGGGCTTAGCTTTTTTCGCTTAGGGTCTCTGGTTGAGGTTTACCGTAAGGGCTTGGTTTATTCTTTGAGCTTGGGCTCGGGGCGTAGGTTTTGGGGTTTAAGGAAACCCTAAACCCGGAAACCCTAAACCCTAAACCCCTTAACCCTAAACGCCAAACCCTAAATCCTAAATCCTAAACCCCAAACCAGCTTAGGAGTTGGCCTTACGGTTGCACTCTTAGGCTTTAGGGCCTTAAAGGGCTCAGGATGCAATCTCCCGGAACACTCAACTCATGTCAACTCTGAAGACAAGAAATAAAACCCAAAGCACGAAATCCTAAAAACCTTTAGCGCTGAACCTGTAAGCCCTGAAGGTTAAGAGTTCAGGCTAGGGGCTATAAGGGCTTCGGCCATCCATAGCTGGGCACGGTGCCTTCAGTTTTCGTTTTGCAGTCGCTGTAGTATTTGAAGGTTGTGGTCTGAGCTAACATGTCCCCAAATACGCTTCTACTCAGAAGGACCTCAACTGCAACTTTGGCTACAACTGCCTGACCATAGCTCCTCTACTTCAGCATGCCGATGGAACCCTTAACGCTTGCTTAGCCTTCCGGGCCTATGGCGTCCACGGCGTAGCGAAAGGCGCGGCGCATCACAGCAGTGCGAATTATGACCTGATTCCGACTGGGATGTCTAAGCCCAGAGCCCTGAACCCTGAACCCCCAAACCGAACCCCGTAAACCCTGAACCCCTAAACCCCCAAACCCTAAACCCTGAACCCTAAACCCAAAGCCCTGAACTCACAAACCAAACCCCGAACCAGAGCTTCAGCGCATCACCCAGGAAGGATGCTCAGGGCTGCGAAATACAGGCTTTAATTTTATGTTATCATAGTACACTATATGTTATGTTATTACTTTATATTGTATTACAGCATACTATATTGCAGTATATATTGTAATATCCGGTTATGTTATGATGATTAGATTGTTCATATTAAGCTTTAGAGCCTTTTGGCACACTCCGGCCTGCAGGAATTCATCGATTGCTGCCTCCTCCGAGGCGGTGAAAGCGACCTTCGGCGTAAACCCCCAAAGCCTAAACGCTAAACCCTACCGTTGATGATATAAGTCCCGGGGTTCCTTTAAAGGGACCTATATGGGTATCTTTAACGGTATCTACAGGATTTTGGGGTTTATGGGTTTAGGATTGATGATATAAACGCTGCTTTAGCTTAATGAACCTAGACTATGGCAAGTATGGCGTATTTCTTACAATGGGTAATGCAGGATCTGTATCATCAACAATAAACCCTAAACCCCTTTCACCCAGATCTGAAACTGGTGTTCTTTTGCATAGTTGCCGTCTGCCTTAAGCGTCGTCGAGGTTTAGGTTCAGGACAACGATCCAGCAAAACGGGGATGTGCTCTTTATTCCTTCTGCTTCTTCGTCACCAGCACTCTGATCTTGCGGCCCTCAACCAAAATCGAAAAACCCAAAACCCTAAACCCTAAACTGGCCCTAAACCCAAACCCCCAAACCCTAAACCCCGCAGAACCAGCTGTCCTCCCCTCACTTGCCCCCCCGAGCCTGCTCGCTCTGAAGATGCTGGAAGACATCGAAGAGCCGGACCTGAGTGGTGGCTTCCTGGAACTGCGGTTGATGATATAAATCCTGGGGCCCTTTTAAAGGGATCTATAAGGGTACCTTTAAGGGGTTCCTTTAAGGGATCTATAGGGTTTTAGGGTTTAGGGCTGATGATATAGATCCTGCATTACCTTAAGGATCCTAAACTACGGGATCAGGGATTTATGGTATATTCCTTACTATGGGTAATGCAGGATTTATACCATCAACCGTAGGGTTCCTGTTTCGCGAGGGTGTCCTTATATTGGGGATGCTCCTACTTATGGCTCTGCATGGGGATTCTTTATTTCCTGTGAACCAAACCTTGGGTACTGCCCTCATACAGTGACAGCCTTTGTTAAGCTACGATACAGGGCCTTAACAGTCTATATTATGAAAACTGTTAAATCCTGATTGGGGGCAGCATCCAGCCTTCACCTTCGAATGCAGGCCCAGCCAGGACCTGCACGCTAAACACCTCAACCCTGAATTCTAAACCCTTAAGCCGTAATGGCTACAGTACAATAGGTTTCTGATGCCCTAAACTTAGACTCTGAACCTCAAGCCCTATAACCCTACCCTTTAAACCAGGCCTGAACTGATGGTAGTTCCTGAAATTACGTATAAAACCAAAAACATGATGTTGTCTGATGGACAACATCCTGCGGTCGCTGAAGTATCTTAGACGATGGGAGTGTATCTTAGACGATGGGAGTTACCAAATACCCTAAACCCTAAACCCCTAAACTAAATCCGTAACACCTAAACGTCTCAACCCCTCAGCCCCTAAACCCCAAACCCTGAGCCCTCAGCCCTAAACCCCAAAACCCTTTTTTAGGCCCCATACAGCCCCCGAAACTGGAGGAAGTCGCCGAGCCAAGGCACCAGGCAGAGTAGAGTCGGCTTCGCGAGCACCTGACAACCCGAAACCCTGAGGCCCGACACGTTTAGGGGGTGTTTGGGGTTTAGGGTTTAGGGGTTAGGGTTGAGAGGTTTAGGGGTTTTTGGTTTAGGGGTTTAGGGTTTGGGGTTTTGGGATTTCGAGGTTTAGGGCTTACTTGGAGGTTCCTGGGTAGTTATAAGGGTTCCACACGAAACATCTCGAGTACTGCCCTGGCCACACGAAACCACACGAAACATCTCGAGTACTGCCCTGGCCACACGAAACCACACGAGATCCCTTTAAAGGGATCTAAAGGGATGCTATAAGGGTATAGGGTTTAGGGTTCATGGTAGCTGTAGGTGGAGTCACAAGACCCCCAATATGGGTTGTAATTATAGCTACCCTACTTATAGCTCCACTTATAACTACCCATGAACCTCCAAGTAGGGGTTTAGGGTTTGGGAGTTTAGGGTTTGGGGTTTGGGGATTTTGAGGTGGCGGGTTTATGTGCCTTCCCGATTACAAATCGGCAGCGAAATTATCGGGGGACGCAGGCACTTCAAGCAAACGCCTGGCTGGAAACCATTCAACTCTACATCAACATCAGAAGGCTTTGTTAGGCTTTGTTCAGGCCACACTGGGTATCGGGAACTCAAAGGGAAATTGAAACCGCAAACCCCTAAACCCGAAAAACTGACACGGTTTGGGTTTTCGGGTCTGCTTGCAGGGCCAGGAGACTTATAATGCAGATAGCTCCGTGTAGTTGCGGTTGTCGTACCAGATCTTGCAATATACTGTAGGAACCTGGTTAAGAAACCTGGGTCTTTATAAGGGTTCCCTTTACTGTATTTTGGGGCTATAGGACCAGAGTTTCTTAATCTGGTTCCTACATTATCTTTGCGTAATTCTCCTTGAGGCATACCCGGGATCCATCCAAAGTATACTCCTTAATCCTGCCACTGCAGCTGATGGAATAAGTCCTGCCTTGTCTATTCCAACAAGTGTACGTACTACGGGCAGTTGCCGTACTATTTGGGGGACCTAGGACCTAAAAGGCGATCCCAGTTTAGAGAACTTCCCTTATAGTTCCACAACTAGTTCTTACTTATGTAATGCAGGAGTTTGTCCGTGAGCCATATTTTTCGCACATGCGCACGGCGAGTGCTGTACTACTAGCCTGCGAAAATCCGCCAGGTCTATTGCTAAGCCTAAGTTGGCCCCAGAGAGCCCATTCCCAATTAAACCTTCCGTAACTCCTCATCCATCAACGGTAAATTGGGCTCGGTGGGCGTTCTAACTGCTCTGGAAAGTTGCGCTGCACATCTGTCGCAGGGCCGAGTCGAGCAGAACACGGGATTTAGGTCTTTCATGTAGAGTTTAGGGCTTAGGGTTGAGATTCTCTTTTGGTGGTTCCTTCTCTTCGTTATCGTTTAATATACCCCGAAACCCTATTCTAATTATTAAGGCCCCTGTATCCGCCGACCCTGCTGGGGCGGCGCCCAGAAGCTCTTGGATTCTTGCAGCATCTGGCCGACTCGCTCTTACTCGGGAATCTAGGCCGTCCCTCTATGACCAGCCCTCCCGGCACCACCCGATACCACTCGGCACCACGCGGCACTAGTCGGCTCCACAGGCTGTATTTTTGGTGGTATTTCAGTTGTAGTAGAGTAATTTTAAAGGCGCTCCAATGTCTGCCCCACCCCCTCCCGGCACTACCCGGCACCTCTCGGCACCACGCGGCACTACTCGGCTTTACAGGCTGTATTTTGGTGGTATTTCAGTTGTAGTAGAGTAATTTAAAGGCACTCCAATGTCTGCCCCACCCCCTATTTAAAGGCACTCCAATGTCTGCCCCACCCCCTCCCGGCACTACCCGGCACCTCTCGGCACCACGCGGCACTACTCGGCTTTACAGGCTGTATTTTGGTGGTATTTCAGTTGTAGTAGAGTAATTTAAAGGCACTCCAATGTCTGCCCCACCCCCTATTTAAAGGCACTCCAATGTCTGCCCCACCCCCTCCCGGCACTACCCGGCACCTCTCGGCACCACGCGGCACTCCTCGGCTTTACAGGCTGTATTTTGGTGGTATTTCAGTGGTAGTAGAGGCACCCCAATGTCTGCGGCACTACTCGGCACTACTCGGCTCCACAAACTGTAGATTTTGGTGGTATTTGGTGGTATTTCTGTGTTAGTAGAGTAATTTAAAGGCACCCCAATGTCTGCCTGACCCCTTCCCGGCCCCACTCGGCACCACGCGGCACTACTCGGCACTACTCGGCTCCACAAACTGTAGATTTTGGTGGTATTTCTGTAATAGTAGAAAAATTTAAAGGCACCCCAATGTCTGCCTGACCCCTTCCCGGCCCCACTCGGCACCACGCGGCACTACTCGGCTCCACAAACTGTAGTATTAGTAGAGTAATTTAAAGGCACCCCAAGGTCTGCCTGACCCCTTCCCGGCCCCCACTCGGTACCACGCGGCACTACTCGGCACTACTCGGCTCCACAAACTGTAGATTTTGGTGGTATTTCTGTATTAGTAGAGTAATTTAAAGGCACCCCAATGTCTGCCTGACCCCTTCCCGGCCCCACTCGACACCACTCGGCACTACTCGGCTCCACAAACTGTAGATTTTGGTGGTATTTCTGTATTAGTAGAGTAATTTAAAGGCACCCCAATGTCTGCCTGACCCCTTCCCGGCCCCACTCGGCCCTACTACTCGGCACTACTCGGCTCCACAAACTGTAGATTTTGGTGGTATTTCTGTATTAGTAGAGTAATTTAAAGGCACCCCAATGTCTGCCTGACCCCTTCCCGGCCCCCACTCGGTACCACGCGGCACTACTCGGCACTACTCGGCTCCACAAACTGTAGATTTTGGTGGTATTTCTGTATTAGTAGAGTAATTTAAAGGCACCCCAATGTCTGCCTGACCCCTTCCCGGCCCCACTCGGCACCACTCGGCACTACTCGGCTCCACAAACTGTAGATTTTGGTGGTATTTCTGTATTAGTAGAGTAATTTCGGCACTACTCGGCCTACTCGGCTCCAAACTGTAGATTTTGGTGGTATTTCTGTATTAGTAGAGTAATTTAAAGGCACCCCAATGTCTGCCTGACCCCTTCCCGGCCCCACTCGGCAC